ATTTTCCTGCCTCAGCCTTCCGAGTACCGGGGATTATAGGCACCTGCTACCACGCCTAGCTAATTTTTTTGTATTATTATTATTATTATTATTTTTTTAGTAGAGACGGGTTTTCGCTATGTTGGTCAAGCTCGTCTTGAACTTCTGACCTTAGAAGATCCGCCCGCCTCAGCCTCCCAAAGTGCTGGGACTGCAGGCGTGAGCCACCGTGCCCGGCCTGGGCTGCTTTTTATTGAAAGGAAAGCTCTGCCAAGGACTCTCTTACCCTCACTATCTGCCTAAATAATTTCTGTCTGTGTCCTGTGTATCAATACTAGGGTGAGGGTGATTTTAGGCATCATGTGGGGGCCTCCATCACCCATGATCCGTATCCTTCCTGTTGTTTTCTTTATCAACCACCCACCAAGGAGACCTTCCTGTGTCCCTTGCCCACCACTCCCAGGGGACATGGTTTTTTTTTTTTTAGACAGAGTCTTGCTCTGTCACCCAGGCTGCAGTGCAGTGGTAAGATCTCGGCTCATTGCAATCTCGGCCTCCTGGGTTCAAGCAATTCTCCTGTCTCAGCCCCCTGAGTAGCTGGGATTACAGGTGCCCACCACCACTCCTGGCTAATTTTTGTGTTTTTAGTAGAGATGGGATTTCACCATGTTAGGCAGACTGGTCTCGAACTCCTGACCTCAGGTGATCTTCCCGCCTTGGCCTCCCAAAGTGGTGGGATTACAGGTGTGAGCCACCGCGCCCGGCCAGGACCTGGTTTATTGGCCACAGCTCCCGCCTCCCCCCTTTCTTCCTTCCCTTGCTCTCCTGTCCCACCCCATCTGGTCTGCGCCAGAAGGGCCTGTATTCGCACTTTGTGAGCAGAGCAGCCTCAGAGGGCCCATGTGGGACCTGAGGTGGGGAAGGAAATTCTGAGTAGTGTCTGCACCTTGCCACAGTCTGCTGGTTGGGAGACAGGATGCTCTGGGGGATTCAGTTTTACGGAAGCAGGAAAAACAAGGTCAGTGAGGCCTCAGCAGAAGACTCCCAGGGCAGACACCACTTCTGCCTACGGGGCAGACAGAACACTTGTCTCTGATCCAGGCGGGAGTGCTACCGACACCCAAGGTTTGCTGCTGTGTGCACTGAGGGTGGCTGGCTGGTATTGGAGGGATGAGAGAGCCTGGAGGGGCGGGGCTTTAGGGGTGGCCTTAGACAGGGCTTGGCAGGCAGGAGGTCACTCACTCATTCAACAAACATTCATTGAGCACCTACTGAATGGCAGGCAGTAAACAAGCCAGACACAAATCCCTGCCCTCATGGAGTGGAGCTAATAGGTAGAAGACAGGCAGAGAACAAGATTAGGAAGTGAGGTATGTGCAATGTGAGATATGATAAGACTGTGACAATGGTTAAGGGGAAAAATGGCAGACAGAGTGGATGAGAAGGGCTGGTCTGGAATTTTAGTTTTATTGTATCTTTTTGAGACAGGGTCTCACTTTGTTGCCCACGCCAGAGTGCAGTGGTACAATCACAGCTCATTGCAGCCTTGAGTTCCTGGGCTCCAGGGATCCTCCTACCTCAGCCTCCTGAGTAGCTGGGACTACAGGTGTGTACCAACATGCCTGGTTAATTTTTTCATTAATATCACAGTGTGTAAGCCCTGTGATTTGATAAATATCAGAGGGATATTTCATTAATTTTGTAGAGACAAGGCTTCCCTATCTTGCCCAGGTTGGTTTTTCTCCATGTTGGTCAGGCTGTTCTTGAACTCCTGACCTCAGGTAATCCACCCGCCTCAGCCTACCAAAGTGCTGGGATTCCAGGCGTGAGCCGTGAGCTACCATGCCCAGCCTGATCCTCCTCCTTATTGCAATCCCCCATGTACATGTGATTCCTTTCTCCGGCTTTCTTTTTCTTCTTTTTCTGTTTCTACTTTTTTTTATTTTTTATTTTTTTTGGGATGGAGTCTCCTGTTGCCCAGGCTGGAGTGCAGTGGTACGATCTTGGCTCACTGCAACCTTCGCCTCCCAGGTTCAAGAGATTCTCCTGCCTCCGCCTCCCTGGTAGCTGGGATTACAAGTGCCTGCCACCATGCCCAGCTCATTTTTGTATTTTTAGTAGGGACAGGGCTTCACCATGTTGGCCAGGCCAGTCTCGAACTCCTGACCTCAGGTGATCCCCTGGCTTCAGCCTCCCAAAGTGCTGGGATTACAGGCATGAGCCACCGTGCCTGGCCATCTACTTCTTTTTCTTTTCTTGTTTTTAGAGGTGGGGTCTCACTATGTTGCCCAGGCTGGAGTGTAGTGGCTGTTCACAGTCTGACCATAATGCACTGCAGCCTCAAACTCCTAGGCTTAAGGACTCCTCCCATCTCAGCCTCCTGAGTAGCTGGGACTGTAGGCTCACGCCACTGCACCTGTGTTTTCCTTCTTTTTCTATTTATGATTATCTAACATAACTTCTAAGATAGTTGAGTTATTTATTTTATTCACTCTCTTTCTCCCTGTTGCTGCTCCTATGGGTAAAATTTTTTGTTGTTGTTCACCAATGTATTTCTGGTTCTTATGTGTTAGAGCCTAACACAGAGTAGGTGGTCAGTACTTATCTGTTGAATCGATGAATGAACAAATGAATCCGTTTGACGTATCAGGAGACCAATGCTCAGAGATGTTGTTCTACACCCCCAACGTCACACAGCAAGAATGGGCCTGAGCTGGAAGCAGCCTGGGCTCATAGCCTTGTTATTTCAGTTAATGGGGCTGGATTCCAACATCTGTTCCTGAATACCTACTGTGTGCCAGGTCCCGAGGAATGGTATGGGCCATGCAGCTTGTAGCTATCATCCCTGTACCATGAGACCACCGAACCTTTATTGTAGGAAGGTCCCCTCACTTCTAAGAGTGCCTTTTTTTTTTTTTTGGGAGACAGAGTTTTGCTCTGTTGCCCAGGCTGGAGTGCAGTGGTGTGATCATGGCTCACTGCAGCCTCAATCTCCTGGACTCAAGCAATCCTCCCACCTCAGCCTCCCAAGTAGCTCGATCTACGGGTGTGCACCACCATGCCCAGCTAATTAAAAAATTTTTTTATTTGAGAGAAGTCTTGTTCTTGTCCCCCAGGCTTGAGTGCAATAGCTCGATCTCAGCTCACTGTAACCTCCGCCTCCCGGGTTCAAATGATTGTCCTGCCTCTGCCTCCCAAGTAGCTGGGATTAAGGCACCTGCCACCACACCCGGCTAATTTTTGTATTTTTTAGTAGAGACGGGGTTTCACTATGTTGGCCAGGCTGATCTTGAACTCCTGACCTCAGGTGATAGGCCTGCCTCGGCCTCCCAAAATGCTGGGATTACAGGCATGAGCCACCGTGCCCGGCCTAAAAAATTTTCTTTTTTGTGTAGTTGGGGTCTCACTTTGTTGCCCAGGATGGTCTCAAGTTCCTGGCCTCAAGAGATCCTCCTGCCTCGGCCTGCCAAAGTGCTGGGATTATAGGCGTGAGCCACCATACTCAGCCCAAAAAGTGCTCTTGATGGGCAGATACACCGTCAGTCCTTTTGACCTATTTACCTGTCCCTCCCCCTGTTACTTTTCCCCTTCTCCTATCTTCCTATGTCTGTTTGGATCTGCTCCCCACCCCCATCCATCTGGAGTCTGATTAGCCCTGTGTGTGCTTAGCAGATGTTGGCTGAACAGACGGGCTCTTTCTTCCTTCTCAGACAGGCCTCCATTTTCTCATCTCTAGAGTGGGTACAGTCATATTTGTCCTCCTACAGGTTGGGAAGGCTCTATGACATCAGGCCATGTAACAGGGGAAAGCCCAGCCGCTACAGTCAGCTTTCAATGGAAAGGGAGGTTAATCTGCTGCCGCCTTCCTACCTCAATTAGGACCGGGGCTACCCCATTGCCCATGTGCGGTGCAGGGGAAGGTTTTTCTATTTGTGGACCCTCACTTGCTTATAGTGAGCCTTTTAGGTGAGAAATACATTCTGTTTTGTTTGAGACACTCTTGTTCTGAGTCTCAGTTATGGAAACCCAACCTAATGCTCTCCATGGGCCTGATGAATGTTGCTTGTTGTTGAAGCCAATTTGAGTTGCATTTCCTCTTACTTTTAGTAAAAACCCCTACAAAGGGAAATTGGGGTCTTGTCTCTTGGGGTACATATTAGTTTCCTATAGTGACTCTAAAAAATTTCCCATACATTGAGTGACTCACAACAACGGAAATGGATTATTATTATTATTATTATTATTTTGAGATAGAGTCTTGCTCTTTGGCCCAGGCTAGAATGCAGTGGCAAGATCTTGCCTCACTGTAGCCTCCGCCTCCCGGGTTCAAGCAATTCTCCTGCCTCAGCCACCCGAGTAGCTGGGATTACAGGTGCCGGCTGGGATTACAGTTGCCCACCATCACGCCCAGCTATTCTTTTTTTTTTTTTTGTATTTTTAGTAGCGATGGGGTTTCACCAGGTTGGCCAGGCTGGTTTCGAATGCCTGATTCAAGTGATCCACCGTTTCAGCCTCCTAAAGTGTTGGGATTACAGGCGTGAGCCACCTCACCCAGCCAGAAATGGATTAGTTTATATGGATTATTTTATTTTTTTGAAATGGAGTTTCATTCTTGTTGCCCAGGCTGGAGTGCAATGATGTGATCTCGGCTCACTGTAACCTCTACCTCCCGGGTTCAAGCGATTCTCCTGCCTCAGCCTCCTGAGTAGCTGGGATTACAGGCACCTGCCACCATGCCTGGCTAATTTTTGTATTTTTAGTAGAGATGGGGTTTCACCATCTTGGCCAAGCTGGTGTCAAACTCCTGGCCTTAAGTGATCCACCCACCTCAGTCTCCAAAGGTGCTGGGATTCCAGGCATGAGCCACCACGCCAGGCCAGTTGTCATTGTTCCTTATGTGCATGAATCCAAAGTGGGGAGAAAGGCTCTGTGTGTGTGTATGTGTTTGGGTGAGCACGTGTGATGTCTGAGGGCTTCTCGTCAAGATGAATTTGCATGTATTTGACTTTGAAAGGAAAAGGGAACTGAGAGAGCCCCCAGATGCCTGAGTAGGAGAGACAGGGGACAGAGGTTGCCAAGCCCTGGCTGCCACTTGTCAGGTTCCTTGTGTTAGACATGCATAATCTGTATGCCATCACTGGGTACCCGGACCCACCAGGTAAGGCCCCGGCCAGGCTGGGGCTGGGGCCCAGGTGTGATCAGGACCCAGGGTACAGAATCCCCACCATGGGGCAGCTGAGGCAGAGACCAGGGCTTGAGGGATGAAGGGAGGAGGGAATGGCTGGGTGCTGACTGGCTTTTCCCCTGGAAGGGACCATGGAGGAGGAGGAGGAGGATGATGACTATGAGAACTCAGCGCCTCCCTACAAGGACCTTCCTCCCAAGCCAGGTAAGAGGACTTTTTGGAGCATGACCTGGGGGAATGCAGAGAAAAGGGTCTCCAGGGGGCATTGGCTGGGCATTGTAGATATACAGTCTCCTCTGTACCCAGCCCATGCCGGGCACCGTGGAACCCACACCCTGCCCAGGAGGACCTGTCAGTCTGATGGCGGAGGCAGGTTTGGGCACAGTCTTGGTGAGCAGGGCTGAGAGAGGAAGGGTCAGGAGACTGGCCAAATCCTTGAGGGATGGAGGGCTCAATTAGAGGAAAGGATTTTGGGGTGGGACTTGAGGGATGAGTAGACATTTCTTTTTTTTTTTTTGAGACAGAGTCTCGCTCTGTTGCCCAGGCTGGAGTGCAGTGGCCAGATCTCAGCTCACTGCAAGCTCCACCCCCGGGTTCACGCCATTCTCCTGGCTCAGCCTCCCGAGTAGCTGGGACTACAGGCGCCCGCCACCTTGCCCAGCTAGTTTTTTGTATTTTTTAGTAGAGACGGGGTTTCACCGTGTTAGCCAGGATGGTCTCGATCTCCTGACCTCGTGATCCGCCCGTCTCGGCCTCCCAAAGTGCTGGGATTACAGGCTTGAGCCACCGCGCCCGGCCTAGACATTTCTTAAGAAGAGAAGTCCAGGAGAGAAATGTTGGGGGCAAAGTCCCTGAGTCACAAAAACTGGTGCTTGAGAAACTGGGAGTGGACTGTGGGCTCCCAATCTCCTCACCTTTCCACCCAAAGCCCAGATTTTATTTAGACTTGGATCTCAAACCCAAGGCATGGCACAGGGTTCAACAAGAGTCTAAGTGGTTGTAAAAGTGGAGGTTTGGGCCAGCCGCAGTGGTGTGCGTCTGTAGTCTCGATACTTTGGGAGGCCAAGGCAGGAAGATCATTTGAGGACAGGAGTTTGAGACCAGCTGGGGCAACATAGAAAGACCCTGTCTCTGCCAAAAAAAAAAAAAAAAAAAAAAAAAGTAGAGGTTTGGGTCGTGTGTGGTGGCACACATCTGTAGTCTCAGCTACTTGGGAGGCTGAGTCAGGAGGATGGCTTGAGCCCAGGAGTTCTGGGCTATTGTAAACTATGTGATCGGGCATCTGCACTAAGTTTGGCATCAATATGGTGACGTTTTGGGAGGAAGGGACCACCAGGTTGCCTAAGGTGACTGAGGAGGGGTTTCCAGGTTGGAAATGGAGCAGCTGGACACTCCTGAGCTGATCAGTAGTGCAACTGCTCCTGTGAGTAGCCGCTGCACTCCAGCTTGGGCAGCATAGCGAGACGCCACTTCTAAAAAAAGAAAAGAAAATGAAACTGGAGGTTGTTGAGGTTTTCCTGGGTTTACTGCCACCAGGGACCCTGAGGCCATGAGGGATCCCAGGGGCCCAAAACACAAAATCCCTGAGATACGCTGATGGTCTGGTCCAGGTGACCTTAGACAGGGGCCATTCTGTGAGGGCTAAGGCTGTATATCCCTCATCTCTGGGTCCAGAGTGGGGCCACCTGGGAGGTCCAGAAATATGATGGGACTTGCATGAGGTAGGAGGTGAACTGGGCTGTGTTGTTTCACTGCCTCATCTCCAATTTATGGTCCTAATGTGACCCTCAAGCCCTGGGTCTACATATATGACCAACCAATCCCATTCCCTTCTTCAGGGCCATGTCTCCTCCAAAAGCACAGTCCTGTCCTCACCTCCACATGCAACCTCGCATCCACTCTCCAATCCATCTTCATCACCCTCTCTACTGCAGCCCAGCCTCGACTCCTTCCCCATTCCCAAACCTGGCAAGGATTCTGTTCATCATTCTAACCACATCATGACCTTACCCACATCCACCCCTGTCCCCAACCCATTTTCCATCCCATCCCACCCCATCCCAACTCCAATTCTAACCCAAACCCCACCTCATCTTCATCCCCGTCCTCAAACTCAACTGTGTTTTTGTGTTTTGAAATCCCCTCCATCCCCTTCCATCCCTTCTCCTTTCAATCAAACCCTCAAAGAGACACACAGAGAACTGTCAATTGTCAGCGCATTAGTTTTTATGAGAGGAAACCAGAGAATTAAAAAAAAATTTTTTTTGAGACAGGGTCTTGCTTGTCACCCAGGCTGCCCTGCAGTGGTGCAATCATAGCTCACTGCAGCCTTGAGCTCTTGGGTCCAAGCAATCCTCCTACTACAACCTCCCGAGTAGCTGGGGTTACAGGCATGAGTCACTCTCTGTAAAGCCTCATGTGAAGCTCAGGGTCTGCATATATGGCTCATATGACTCTCAGGTGCTGTAAGTTCTGCAGAGATGACTGTGATAGTCAAGATGGGTTCCCCATGACCCTTACATTCTCGTATTCATGCCCTTGTGTAGTCTCTTCCCACAATGACTCAGAGCTGGTCCGTGTGATAAACAGAATACTGTATAGCAGAGACCATCCTTTACGAGTCGTGAGGCTAGATCATAGAAGCATGGTGGCTTCTATCTTTGCCTCTGCCATGTTCTGAAGATGCCCAGTCATCCCTTTGGAGAGGCTCACATGGCAAGGAACTGAGGCCTCCCACCAACAGCCATGTGAGTGCATCATCTTAGAAGCAGATCTTCTAGCCCCAGTCAAGCCTGCAGATAGATGACTTGCAGTCCCAGGCAACATCTTGACTACAATCACACAAGAGAGCTCAAGCTAGAACTACCCAGCTAAGCTGCTCTCAGATTCCTGAACCACAGAAACTGTGAGATAATAAATGCTTATGGTTGTTTAAAGTCACTACGTTTTGGGGTAATTGTTTATGCAGCCATAGATAACTGACCCAGTGCCCTGCTGGCACTTCACCCTGGAATGTGGGGGAATACTTAGCACCTATCCCCTTAACATCTTGTTACAAATGTTACCACTTCTAGGAGGTACTTCCTGACTACTTCTCTATGTTAGCTTTTATCCTATCCCATTGCTCCGTTTTATTAGGTTTAGAGCAATAATACTTAGTCTATATAAAAACATATTTTAATGTTTCTTAATTTCTTTACAATTATTATTATTTTTGAGACGGAGTTTCACTCTTGCCGCCCAGGCCGGAGCGCAATGGTGCAATCTCGGCTCATCGTAACCTCCGCCTCCCAGGTTCAAGTGATTCTTCTGACTCAGTCTCCCTGGCAGCGGGGATTATAGGCATGCGCCACCGCGCCCTGATAATTTTGTATTTTTAGAAAAGATGAGGTTTCTCCATGTTGGTCAGGCTGGTCTCGAACTCCTGACCTCAGGTGATCTGCCTGCCTCGGCCTCCCAAAGTGCTGAGATTACAGGCGTGAGCTACTGCGCCCAGCCTCTTTTCTTTTCTTTTTTCTTTCTTTTTTTTTTTTTTAAGAGTGGGATCTCCCTCTGTTGCCCAGGCTGGAGTGTAGTAGTACAACCATGGCTCACTGCTGTGTAAACCTCCTGAGCTCAAGCAATCCTCCCACCTCAGCCTCCTGATAGCTGGGACTACAGGTGTGCACCACCATGCCTGGATGGTTTTTTCTACTTTTTTTTTTTTTTTAACAGAGATAGGGTCTTGCTATGTTGCTCAAGCTGGTCTTGAACTCCTGGCCTCAAGCAATCCTCCTGCCTTGCCTCCCAAAGTGCTGGGATTATGGGCATAAGCCACTGGGCCCAGCTGATTTCTATGTTTCTTTACTAGTTTATTGCATCTCTGGTCTAGATTGAAGGAAGAAGCTTATCCATCTCTTCCACACAGGGCTTGGTGCTCTGTAGGGGAGCTCAACTGGCAGTGGGGAGGGGCGAGGCGGGTGGCTGTTGTCATTGCTCCTTCTCCTCCTTCTCCTTCTCCTTCTCCTCCTCCTCCTCCTCCTCCTCCTCCTTCTCCTCCTCCTTTTCCTTCTTCTCTTCCTCCTCCTCTTCCTCTTCCCCCTCCTCTTCTTCCTCCTTCTCCCCCTCCTCCTCTTCCTCTTCCTCCTCCTCTTCCTCCTTCTCCTCCTCCTTTTCCTTCTTCTTCTCTCCTTCTCCTCCTCCTCCTCCTCTTCCTCTTCCCCTCCTCTTCTTCCTCCTTCTCCTCCTCCTCCTTCCTTCTTCCTTCTCCTTCTCCCCCTCTTCCTCTTCCTCCTCCTCTTCCTCTTCCCCTCCTCCTCTTCCTCCTTCTCCTCCTCCTTTCCTTCTTCTCTCCTTCTCCTTCTCCTCCTCTTCCTCTTCCCCTCCTCTCTTCCTCCTTCTCCTCCTCCTCTTCCTCCTTCTCCTCCTCTCCTTCTCCTTCCTTCCTCTTCCTCCTCCTCCTTCCTCCTTCCTCCTCCTCCTTCTCCTTCTCCTCCTTCTCCTTCTCCCTCTTCCCTCCTCCTCCTCTTCCTCTTCCTCCTCCTCTTCCTCCTTCTCCTCCTCCTTCTCTCCTTCTCCTTCTCCTCCTCCTTCTCTTCCTCCTTCTCCTCCTCCTTCTCCTTCTCCTCCTCCTCCTCTTCCTCTTCCCCTCCTCTTCTTCCTCCTTCTCCTTCTCCTCCTCCTCCTCCTCTTCCTCTTCCCCCTCCTCTTCTTCCTCCTTCTCCTCCTCCTCCTTTTCCTTCTTCTCTCCTTCTCCTTCTTCTCCCCCTCCTCCTCCTCTTCCTCTTCCTCCTCCTCTTCCTCCTCCTCCTCCTCCTCCTTTTGCTTCTTTTCTCCTTCTCCGTCTCCTTCTCCTTCTTCTTCTTCTTCAATAGAATCTCACTCTGTCGCCCAGGCTGGAGTGCAGTGGCACTATCTCGGCTCACTGCAAGGGGGGTTATTGTCATTGTTTCTTCTTCCTCTCTCTTTTTTTTGAGACAGAATCTCACTCTGTCACTCAGGCTGGAGTGCAGTGGTGCAATCTCAGCTCACTGCAACCTCTGCCTCCTGGGTTCAAGTGATTCACCTGCCTCAGCCTCACAAGTAGCTGGGATTACAGGTGTGCACCACCACGCCAGGCTAGTTTTTGTATTTTTGGTAGAGACGCGGTTTCGCCACGTTGGTTGCCCAGGCTTATCTTGAACTCCCAACCTCAGGCGACCTGCCCGCCTCAGCCTCCCAAAGTGCTGGGATTACAGATGTGAGCCACCACACCTGGCCCATTGTTTCTTCTGTGTGTGAATCCAAACTCTGGAGACAGGTGTGTGTGTGTATGTGTGTGTGTGTGTGTGTGTGTGTGTGAGGTCTGGGGGCTTCTCCCAAGATGGATTTACGTGTACTTGACTTTGAAAGGAGAGGGAAACAGACAGATGCCTTAGACACCTGAATAGGAGGGACAAGACCTGGCTGCCACTTGTCATGTTCTTAGTGTTAGCTGTAGCCATGTACAACCTGCATACTATCGCTGGGTGTCTGGACCCACCAGGTAAGGCCCTGGCCGGGCTGGGGCTGGGTCTCAGGTGTGGTCAGGACCCAGGGTACAGAATTCCCATCATGGGGCAGCTGAGGCAGAGACCAGGGCTTGAGGGATGAAGGGAGGAGGGAATGACTGGGCTCTAACTTGCCGTTCCCCTGGAAGGAACTATGGAGGAGGAGGAGGAGGAGGAGGATGATGACTATGAGAACTCAACGCCTCCCTACAAGGACCTTCCTCCCAAGCCAGGTAAGAGGACTTTTTGGAGTGTCACGTGGGGGAATACAGGGAACAGGGTCTTCAGGGGGCATTGGCTGGGCATTGTAGACACACAGTCAGTCTCCTCTCTACCCAGCCCATGCCGGACACCGTGGAACCCACACCCTGCCAGGAGGATCTACTAGTCTGATGGGGGAGGCAGTTTTGGACACAGCCTTGTTGAGCATTGCTGAGAAAGGAGGGGTCAGGAGACTGGCAAAATCCTTGGGGGATTGAGGACTCAACTAGAGGAAGGGACTTTGGGGTGGGACTTGAGGGATGAGTGGACATTTCTTTTTTTTTTTTTTTGAGATGGAGTTTCACTCTGTCACCCAGGCTGGAGTTCAGTGGCACAATCTCCGCTCACTGAAACCTTGCCTCCTGGGTTCAAGCGATTCTTCTGCCTCAGTCTCCCGATTAGCTGGGATTACAGGTGCCCCGCCACCATGCACGCCTAATTTTTGTATTTTTAGTAGAGACGGGGTTTCACCATATTGGTCAGGCTGGCCTCGAACTCCTGACCTCAGGTGATCCGCCCATCTCGGCATCCCAAAGTGCTGGGATTACAGGCATGAGCCACCGAGCCCTGCCGAGTAGACATTTCTGAAGTAGAGAAGCACAGGAAAGAAGTCCCTGAGTCATAAAAGCTGGTGCTTGAGAAACTGGGAGTGGACTGTGGGATCCTCAATCTCCTCTCATTACCACTCAAAGCCCAGGGCTTTATTAGTCTTGGATCTCAATAAACCCAAGGCATAGCCCAGGGTTCAGCAAGAATCTGATCAGATGTAAAAGTGGAGGTTTGGGCTGGTTGCAGTGGTATGTGTCTGTAATCCCACTGCTTTGGGAGGCCAAGGTGGGAGGATCACTTGGCTATGAGTTCACTGGAGGCCAGGAGTTCCAGACCAGCCTGGGCAATAGATAGCAAGACGCCCATCTCTACCAAAGAAAAAAGAAAGAGAAAAGTGGAGGTTTGGGCCAGGAGGAGTGGCTCATGCTTGTAATTCTAGCACTTTGGGAAGCCAAGGTGGGAGGATCAATGTAGCCCCAGAAAAGAGACCATCCCAGGTAACACAGTGAAACCCCCAGCTATATGAAAACATTTTTTTTTTCAAATTAAAAAATTAGCCAGTTGTGGGATGTGTGCCTGTTGTCCCAGCTTCTCAGGAGGCCGAGGTGATAGGACTGCTAGAGCCCAGGAGTTCAAGGGTGCAGTGAGCTATGATGGCACCACTGCACTCTGGTCTGGGTGACAGAGCAAGGCACTGTCTTTAAAAATATATATATATATGGCTGGGCACGGTGGCTCACGCCTGTAATCCCAGCAGTTTGGGAGGCTGAGGTGGGTGGATCACTTGAGGTCAGGAGTTCGAGACCAGCCTGGCCAACATGGAGGAACCCCGTCTCTATTAAAAATATAAAAGTTAGCTGGCTGTGGTAGCATATGCCTGTAATCCCAGCTACTTGGGGGGCTGAGGCACAACTGCTTGAACCCAGGGAGCAGAGGTTGCAGTGAGATGAGATCACGCCACTGCACTCCAGTCTGGGCAACAGAGCAAGCAAGACTCTATCTCAAGGGAAAAAAAAAAATGGCCAGGCGCGGTGGCTCACGCTTATAATGCCAGCACTTTGGGAGGCCGAAGCGGGCAGATCATGAGGTCAGATAGAGACCATCCTGGCTAACACAGTGAAACCCCATCTCTACTAAACGTACAAAAAATTAGGCGGGCGCCTGTAGTCCCACTACTTGGGAGGCTGAGGCAGGAGAATGGCATGAACCTGGGAAGCGGAGCTTGCAGTGAGCTGAGATTGTGCCACTGCACTCCAGCCTGGGAGACAGAGCAAGACTCCGTCTGAAAAAAAAAAAAAATATGGAGACACCAAGCAATCCAGGTTGGTTGGTCATCCTAGCTTAATCCTATCTCCATCCCTAATCCCAATTCCATTCTCATGTCCCACCCCATCTCCAACCCAATCTCCAACCCTCCACTGCAGTCCTAACCCTGTTTCCATCACTTCCTTTTGACTCATTCCCATCCTCAGCCGAGCCCTCACGCTGAGCTTCTCTTCTCCAGGTTCAAGTGCTCCACCAAGACCTCCAAGAGCAGGTGAGTTGGGGCTGGGAGTGTAGGAGACCCAGAGCTGGCTTTGCCCTGCTCTGGGCCTCAGCAACCATTCCTCCCTCCTCAGAAAAGGAAACAGAGAAACCCCCACTTCCTTGCAAGCCCCGGAACATGACAGGTGAGAGCTGAGGGCTGGCGTTTTCCTGCTCACCTGGCTGAAGCCCTTCTTGAAATGACTTTCTCATCTCTTCTAGGACTGGACCTCGTCTCTGTCACCTGTCCACCTCCTCAACCGGGTGAGCAGTGGGAAGACCCTTTAAGATGCTTAAGAGGGGATACCTGGATGTTTCCTTTCAATTCCCCAATTTTTATTTATTTATTTATTTTGAGACAGAGTCTTGCTTTGTCATCCAGACTGGAGTGCAGTGGCGCGATCCTGGCCCACTGCAACCTCTGCCTCCTGGGTTCAAGTGATTCTCTTGCTTCAATCTCCCGAGTAGCTGAGACTACAGACACGAACCACCTGACTAAGTTTTGTATGTTTAGTAGAGACAGGGTTTTGCCATGTTATCCAGGCTGGTCTTGAACTCCTGACCTCAGGTGATCCACCCGCCATGGCTCCCAAACTGCTGGAATTACAGGCATGAGCCACTGCCCCCAGCCAGCCCCCTAAACTCTCACCAGAGAACAAAGCAGAGGTTGTTGATCTTGGAAGACAGAGTCTTTCGGCATCTTCTGAATAAACCTCTCTCCCCCTTTCTCCCAGCTGTGAATCTTGAGCCTTCTCCATTGCAGCCATCCCTGGCCGGTAAGTTATTATCCCCTGCAAGTGTCCTCCCATTTCCCCTCTGACAGTGGCTAGTGTATCTGATTGAGACCTATGACTCTACAGTGAGACCCTGAGTCAGAGGAACTTCTCCTTTAAGAAGTTGCTCCCTCAGGACCTGCTGCACTGTTCTGAGTTACTCTAGTGGGCACTGCTCTAAGTGAGAAAGCCATTCCTTGACATCAGAGTTTGCAAACATGTTTTCTTTTTTGTCCTTCTGAGGACCAGAGTTATGTGGTTGTTTTGTTTTTGATAATGATGATGGTACTTATGGTTCTGTTGGTGATTGTGATGGAAGGATGAAGAAGGAGATGATGGAAAGGAAGAGGATGGTTGGTGGTAGTAACGATGGTAGAGGTAGTGATGGCATTGTTGGGTGCTCATGGTGATGGTAGAGATACTAATGATGGTGGTGATGGTGGAGATGGTGACGGTGTTGTTGGTATTGATGATGGTAATGATGGTGGAGACAGTGATATGGTGGTGATGGGGGGTAGAGGTAGTGATGATGTTGTTGGTGATGGTGGTGGTGATGATGAAGGCAGTGATGGCGTTAGTGGGATGGTGATGGTGATAGTGGTGGTAGTGATGGTGTTGGTGGTGATGGTGTTGGTGATGATGGTAGAAGTAAGTGATGGTATTGTTGACAATGACAATGTTGTTGGTGATGATGATGGTGATGGTGAAGGCAGTGATTGTGTTGGTAATGACAGTGCTGTTGGTAGTGATGATGGTGGTAATGGTGGAGGTGGTGATGGTGCTGTTAATATTGATAATGGTAGTGAGATAGTGTTAGGGTGGTGATGGTGGGTGGAGGTAGTGATGGTGTTGTTGGTACTGATGGTGGTGATGGTGGAGGTAGTGATGATGTTGGTAGTGATGATGGTGGTGATGGTGGAGGTAGTGATGATGTTGGTAGTGATGATGGTGGTGATGGTGGAGGTAGTGATGATGTTGGTAGTGATGATGGTGGTGATGGTGGAAATAGTGATGATGTTGGTAGTGATGATGGTGGTGATGGCAGAGGTAGTGATGATGTTGGTCATGATGATGGTGGTGACGATGGAGGTGGTGATGGTGTTGTTGGTAGTGATGATAGTGGTGACGGTGGAGGTAGTGATGGTGTTGTTGGTAGTGATGATGGTGGTGACGGTGGAGGTAGTGATGGTGTTGTTGGTAGTGATGATGGTGGTGACGGTGGAGGTAGTGATGGTGTTGTTGGTAGTGATGATGGTGGTGACGGTGGAGGTAGTGATGGTGTTGTTGGTAGTGATGATGGTGGTGACGGTGGAGGTAGTGATGGTGTTGTTGGTAGTGATGATGGTGGTGACGGTGGAGGTAGTGATGGTGTTGTTGGTAGTGATGATGGTGGTGATGGTGGAGGTAGTGATGATATTATTGGTAGTGATGATGGTGGTGACAGTAGAGGTAGTGATGATGTTGGTAATGATGATGGTGGTGATGGTGGAGGTAGTGATGTTGGTAGTGATGATGGTTGTGATGGTGGAGGTAGTGATGATGTTGGTAGTGATGATGGTGGTGATGGTGGAGGTAGTGATTATCTTGTTGGTAGTGATGATGGTGGTGGTGGAGGTAGTGATGGTGTTGTTGGTAGTGATGTGGTGGTAGTCACGATGGAGGTGCCGTAGTGATGATGTCAATAGTGATGATGGTGGTGATGGCAGAGGTAGTGCTGATGTTGGTAGTGATGATGGTGGTGACGGTGGAGGTAGTGATGGTGTTGTTGGTAGTGATGATGGTGGTGATGGTGGAGGTAGTGATGGTGTTGTTGGTAGTGATGTCAGTAGTGATGATGGTGGTGATGGTGGTGGTGATGGTGGAGGTAGTGATGATGGTGGTGATAGTGGAGGTAGTGATGGTGCTGTTGGTAGTGATGATGGTGGTGATGGCGGAGGTAGTGATCATGCTGTTGGTAGTGATGGTGGTGATGGTGGAGGTAGTGATGTTGTTGATAGTGATGATGGTGGTGATGGTGGAGATAGTGATGGTGCTGTTGGTAGTGATGATGGTGGTGATGGCGGAGATAGTGATCATGCTGTTGGTAGTGATGGTGGTGATGGTGGAGGCAGTGACGATGTTGGTAGTGATGATGGTGGTGACGGTGGAGATAGTGATGTTGTTGATAGTGATGATGGTGGTGATGGTGGAGATAGTGATGGTGCTGTTGGTAGTGATGATGGTGGTGATGGCGGAGGTAGTGATCATGCTGTTGGTAGTGATGGTGGTGATGGTGGAGGTAGTGGCGATGTTGGTAGTGATGATCGTGGTGATGGTAGAGATAGTGATGGTGTTGTTGGTAGTGATGATGGTGGTGATGGTGGAGGTAGTGGCGATGTTGATAGTGATGATGGTGGTGATGGTGGAGGTAGTGATGGTGTTGTTGGTAGTGATGATGGTGGTGCTGACGGTGGTGTTGGTAGAGATGATGGTGGTAGTGGAGGTGGTGATGGTGTTGTTGGGAGTGACGATGGTGGTGGTGGTGGAGGTAGTGATGGTGTCAGTGATGACCGTGTTCAAAAAAAAAGAAGCTGCTCCTTTCCGAGTCTAGGCCAAATCTCCAGAAGCTCAGGTGTCTGCTTGCATGCGATATGGGCAATGCTCTGCTCTAGAAGCCGTGGTCCACAAGCGCCCCTGACCCAGGAGCAACTTGGGCAAGGGCTTCTGGAGAGTCGAAGATGATGCATCGTAGATATGAAGAACAAAGCTGTGTCCAAGTCATGCCTAACCTCACCAAACCTCACTTTACTCACTTGCAAAATGGAGACGATACTTATAACCTACATCATAAGGATGAGACTCCAATAAGATAAGAAGGATGTAGGTTGGGCACAGTGGCTTACGCCTGTAATCCCGGCACTTTGGGAGGCTGAAACAGGGAGGATCTCTTGATGCCAGGAGTTCAAGACCAGCCTGGGCAACATGGCGAGATCCCCATCTCTACAAAAAAATAAAATAAATTAGCTGGGCCTTATGGTACACACCTATAGACCTAGCTACTTGAGAGGCTGAGGTGGGAGGATTGCTTGAGCCCAGGGGTTAGAGGTTGCAGTGAGCTATAACTGCGCCACTGCCCTCCAGCCTGGATGACAGAGTGAAACCTTGTTTCAAGAAGGAAAAAGAGAAGGATGCAACATGATGCTTAGCGCACAGTAAATGCATCAAAAAGATCCTGAGCCTCCCCAGGGTTTACTCTCCCTAACCCTCTCTTGCTGCCCTTGTCTGCTGAAACAGTCATGACTCCAGAATTCTGCCCCCTGCTCTTGGAGAAAGACTTAAAGTCTCTTCCTCACTCTCTGAAGCCCCAGTATTAGTTTCTTTGTCCCCATGCCCACTCCCCAGCAACTCCAGCGCCCTGGCTCAATCAGACATCTGAAGGTCCTGGCTGCTGCCAGAAGAGGTGCATGATGTATCTGTGTCTGCCGGTGGTGATTTCCCTGATCCTGGGCTGCGTGGGTCTCACCGTGACCCTGATTAAATGTGAGTAGGGCCATGATGGGACATGGGGAGAGATTGAGGAGGGAGCACAGGAGGACCTGGGCTCAATGTGGACTCGTCTTCATAGACCAGGAGTTGATGGAAGAACTGAGAATGTTAAGCTTTCAGCAGATGACGTGGCGAGCAAATAGTGAGTACTTTCAGTCATTCCTTCATGCCACTCCTATTGAGCCCTAACCCAATCCTCAGATCCAACTCCAAAATCCAACCTCATCCCCATCTTTGCTGGGCACTGTGCTAGGTACCAGGGGGATAAAATGGTAAACATGTCAGACACAGTCCCTGTCCCTGTGAAGTGTGCATGTGTATATGTGTCTAGACCTCCACCATCCAATATGGTGGCTACAAACCACATGTGGCTGTTGAACACTTGAAATGTGGCCAGTCCAAATGGAGATGTGCTCTAAGTATAAAATACACACTGGGCCAGGGGCAGTGGCACATGCCTGTAATCCTAGCACTTTTGGAGGCTGAGGCAGGAGGATTGCTTGAGGCTGGAAGTTCAAGACCAGCCTGGGCAATACAGCAAGACCCCATCTCTAAAAAAAATTAGCAGGGTGTGGTGGTGTGTGGTGTGTGCTTGTCATCCCAGCTGCTCAAGAGGCTGAAGTGGGAGCATCTCTTGAATCAGGGAGTTTGAGGTTGATCATGAGCCGTGATCGCACTCAAGAGATCCTCCTGCCTCAGCCTCTTGAGTAGCTGGGACACAGGCGCGTGCCATCACACCCGGCTGATTTTTATTTTTTTTTTTTTTCTAAAGAAGAGGTTTCACTATGTTGACTAAGCTGGTTTCAAACTCCTGACCTCAAGGGTTTCTCCTGCTTCAGCCTCCTGAAGTGTTCTGGCCTAAAACCTGTGTTTCCGTTTTATCCAACTGAAGGACCAGCTACTGAGCTAGCGAGTACTGAAAAAGGGAAGAGTTCGTGGGGGGAGTAGTGATAATACACACATTAATTCCAGAAGAATCTTCTGACCTGGCATGGCTTTCATCATGACTGCTGAAGTCTGAATATTTCTCCATTCCACACTGCCTCACCCTATGCTTCATAACAAGCAAGCTCAAATCCCATCAATGGCTTCTCATTGTCCAGAGTCCAAGGTGAAACCTTTAGCCTGGCATTCAAGGATCCACATACTAGGTTGGGCACAGTGGCTCATGTCTGTAATCCTAGCACTTTGGATGGCTAACTTTTCTTTCTTTCTTTCTTTCTTTCTTTCTTTCTTTCTTTCTTTCTTTCTTTCTTCCTTTCTTCCTTTCTTCCTTTCTTTCCTTTCTTTCCTTTCTTTCCTTTCTTTCCTTTCCTTCCTTTCTTTCCTTTCTTTCCTTCCTTTCCTTCCTTCCTTCCTTCCTTCCTTCCTTCCTTCCTTCCTTCCTTCCTTCCTTCCTTCCTTCCTTCCTCCCTCCCTCTCTCCCTTCCTTCTTTCCTTCCTTCCTTCCTTGTTACTTTCTTGCACTCTTGCTTTCTTTCTCTCTTTCTTTCTTTCTTTTGACAGAGTTTTGCTCTTGTTACCCAGGATGGAGTACAGCGATGCGATCTCGGCTCACTTCAACCTCCCCCTCCTAGGTTCAAGTGATTCTCCTGCCTCAGCCTCCTGAGTAGCTCAGATTATAGGCATTTGCCACCACTCCCGGCTAATCTTTTGTACTTTTAGTAGAGTTGGGGTTTCACCCTGTTGGCTAGGCTGGTCTCGAACTCCTGGCCTCAGGTGATCCATCTGCGTCAGCCTCCCAAAGTTCTGGGATTATGGGTATGAGCCACTGCACCCGGCCTAGCAAGACCCTGTTTCTATAAAAAATTTAAAAAAAATTAGCCAGTCATGATGTCGTGTACCTGTAGTACTAGCTACTCAGGAGGCTGAGGTGGGAGGATCACTTGAGCCCAAGATGTCGAGGCTGCAGTGAACCACGATTGCATCACTGCACTCCAGCCTGTGGGATAGAACAGGACTCTGTCTAAAAAAAATAAAATAAAGGATCCAGGCATCCGAGCTCATTCTACTTTGATCTCAAGCTTTTCTGAGTTTTCCCTTCACTCTTACAGGCTTTGCCAGGTTACCACAACATACTTGCCTCTGTATCTTTGCTTTTTTTTTTGAGACGAAGTCTGGCTCTGTTGCTCAGGCTGGAGCACAGTGTTGTGATCTCGGCTCACTGCAACCTCTGCCTTTGGTGTTCAAGTGATTCTCCTGCCTCAGCCTCCTGAGTAGCTGGGATTACAGGCATGCACCACCATGCCCGGCTAATTTTTGTATTTTTAGTAGAGACGGGGTTTTACCATGTTGGCCAGGCTGGTCTTGAACTCTTGACCTCAAATGATCTGCCCACCTCGGCCTCCCGAAGTGCTGAGATTACAGGTGTGAGCTGCCGCGGGCAGCCTGCATCTTTGCTTTTAAGATAGTCCCTGCCTAATATGCCTCTTCCTCACCTCACAGTTATCGAATAACTTTCTTCCTTTAAAACCCACTTCCTCCAGGGTGCCCACCACCCCTTCTCTTCCCCACGTCCCCGGGATTGATCCCTCCTCTGAGCCATTCTCGGATTCTGAGCACTGTACATGTGGTTTTTGGGCGCAAGCATGACCCACTGGAATGTGGACATAGTGGGGAGAGCAACCCTTGCTTCTCTCTCCGATGTGTCTGCAGTACGTGGTGGATGGGTAGGATGGGTTTTGAGTCTCTAACCCTCAGGTCTATCCCTTCTGATAGTGACTGGCATGTCAGGGCTAGCTGGCCTGAAGCATGACATTGACCGTGTAAGAGCTGACACCAACCAGTCCTTGGTGGAACTTCGGGGCTTATTAGGTGAGTGAGACTTGGGGAATTGCCCAGGGATGGGGGGCATGGCAGAGCTGGCACATTATATCACTCCATTGTGAAGTGATTCTCAGTGCAATCTATGCGAATGGTGTCTCCCTGCTGGAGTTGAGCAGTGTACAGCCTGCACAACTGTACATGGCATACTATGTACATGGCTCAGGTTCTGGGGCCATCCTGACAGCATTCTTTCTGGTTCCCAGGCTGCCGCCGAGTTACCTGTCCGGAAGGCTGGCTGCCCTTTGAGGGCAAGTGTTATTACTTCTCCCCAATCACCAAGTCATGGGATGAAGCTCGGATATTCTGCCAGGAGAATTACTCTCACTTGGTCATCATCAATAGCTTTGCTGAGCACGTGAGTTGTTCCCACTGAACCTTTGAGAACATTCAGGGACAGCCCGCTTCTCTTCCAGGGTGCACACATCCCTCCCTTCCCCGGATGGCAAGAAATTAGAATTACTTTTCAGTTACTAAAACTTTAACCGCAAGCTCTCCCTAAGATAGTATCATGCAGAGGTTAAGAAGACATGCTTTGTTTTTTGAGTTCGAATTCTGATTGTGTTGATTTCACCTCTGTAGGTTTCAAGTTTCAGTTTTATCTCTAACATGAAAATACAATAATGAATATCTGTTAGGTAGCACTTTCTGTGTTTCAGGTTGTATTCCAAATACTTTACATCTTACATTCATTAACACGTGCAATCCTCAGGACAACCTATAAATTAGTATGTCAGTCAGAAGAGGTTCTTTCTTTCTTTTTTTTTTTTTTTTTGAGATGGAGTCTCACTCTGTCACCCAGGCTGGAGTGCAGTGGCACAATCTTGGCTCACTGCAACCTCCGCCTCCTGGGTTCAAGTGATTCTCGTGCGTCAGCCTCCTGAGTAGCTGGGATTGCAGGTGTGTGCCACCACGCCTGGCTAACTTTTGTATTATTAGTAGAGATGGGGTTTCTCCATGTTGGCCAGGTTGATCTTGAACTCCTGACCTCAGGTGATCCACCCGCCTCGGCCTCCCAAAGTACTGGGATTACAGGCATGAGCCACTGTGCCCGGCCAAAACAGGGCTTTTGAAGAAATTAAATTAGGTAATGTAAATGAGACAGGTACAAATCATATTCCCTAACTCAGTTTCACAAGAAATACAACTAAATTTCCTTTAAATTACTCATTTTAGTTTCTCTCTTGAGTTTTCATTCTACTAGACTGGTGTACATTTACTCTCAGTCAATTGGGGTCCGCCATTTTACTTCTAAATGGGGACAGCTTTTATGGGGTCAAGGTGGAGGGAAGCACACATCGGGTCTTTATTGTCTTTACTCCAAACTGATATCTACTGGGACATCTACAGACTGAATGATCCTGGGAAGGTTATTTAACCTTTCTGTGCCTCAGTTTTCTCATCTGCAAAATGGGCATAATGATAATACTTGCTTCAATGAGTCGTGATAAGAATCCAGTGAGACAATTTGCGCAAAGTAGCATAGCTCACTTTTTTTTTGAGATGGAGTCTTGTTCTGTTGCCCAGGTTGGAGTGCAGTGGCATGATCTTGGCTCACTGCAGCCTCTACCTCCCAGGTTCAGGTGATCCTCCTGCTTTAGCCTCCCAAGTAACTGGGACTATAGTCACGTGCCACCACTCCCAACTAAGTTTTGTTTTTGTTTTTTTTTAGTAGAGTTAGAATATCATCATGTTGGCCAGGCCGCTGTCTAGTTAATGATCTCAAGTGATCTGCCCCTCTTGATTGACCTCCCAAAGTGTTGGGATTATAGGCGTGAGCCACCATGCCTAGTCCATAGCTCACTTCTTAATTCATTAAGTCAACCAACATTTCCTGAGCACCTACTATGTGCTAGAGAGCATTCTACATATTGGGGATCCAGTGATGACCAAGACATATGAGTTCCCTCTTCTTCAACTGTTCTGATTTTGGTGCCTAGAAATAGCAAGGACTCTCTAAATGTTAAACAGTCTTCTGATTTTCTGGGGCTCAGTCTTTGGACCACCTAGGCTGCCCCCGAGGCATCCCACTCTTCCATCAGCAAAGCCTTTGGGCCTGGAGGTCTTTTTCTGCTGTTCTTGGGCACAAGAGATCTTTCTGCTCCTCCTATCCCATTCTGGGGTCTAAGACACTGTGAGGCCTTCTAAGCCTCCGTCTAATCTGATGGGACAGGAAGCCCTTTCCACTCTCTGATTTTCTGACACCTCCCTGGGGCTTTACCCAGGAAATAGTGCCCAGGCCCCTTCTGCTTTTTAGTCTCCAAGCCCATCTGGGGTTTTTACCATCACCTGCTGCTCACCGGAAATGAGATGCCAGATTCTTCTCTCAGGGGCCTTCCATGTCTACACATTTATTATTTCCTTCCCATGGTGACCTTACCTCCCCACATTTTTTTTTTCCCTCAAAGCAGAAATTTTATTGCCCACATTCTTTGACCACAATGCTATAACGACAGAAATATTTTCTTTTACAAAAATTTCAATCACCTTAAAAATGTTTAAAGTCAGCCAGCTGCAGTGGCTCGCACTGTAATCCCAGCAGTTTGAGAGGCCGAGGTGGGCAGATCACCTGAGGTCAGGAGTTCGAGACCAGCCTGGCCAACATGGTGAAACCTGCTGTCTACTAAAAATACAAAAATGAGCTGGGTATGGTGGAGCGCGGCTGTAATCCCAGCTACTCAGGAGGCTGAGGCAGGAAAATCGCTTGAACCCGGGAGGCAGAGGGTGCAGTGAGCTGGGATCATGCCACTGCATTTCAGTCTAGGAGACAAAGCAAGACCCTGTCTCAAAAAAAAAAAAATTTTTTTTTTTTTTAAGTCACTAGATAACTTTGGGTTAAAGAAGAAATCAAAAGTGCAAGTAAATAAAAGCAAACATCAATTGGCATTGCCTATAGTAGAACACATGCAATAGATTATAGTCAAAAATTCTTAAAGCGCAAATAATTCCAGGATGTGGAAAGCTGGGATGAGTGTTACTCACACCCGTGTAGCACCAATAGCCAGATAAACTATAAAATCATAACTTTTCTTAACCTCATTAGCTAACTGATATCATAGGGCAGTCAAAAAGTCTAAAATGGTCCAGGCGTGGTGGCTCACGCCTGTAATCCCAGTACTTTGACCTCCCCACTTTTTTTTTTTTTTGAGATGGGATTTCGCGTTTTCTTGCCCAGGCTGGAGTGCACTGTCGTGATCTCGGCTCACTGCAACCTCCGCCTTCCGGTTTCAAGCAATTCTCCTGTCTCAGCCTCCCGAGTAGCAGGGATTACAAGCATGCCACCAGGCCTGGCTAATTTTTGTATTTTTAGTAGAGATGGGATTTTGCCATGTTGGCCAGGCTGGTCTCCAACTCCTGACCTCAGGTGATCCACCCGCCTCAGCCTCTCTAAGTGCTGGGATTACAGGCGTGAGCCACCGTGCCTGGCCACCTCCCCACATTTTAAGAAATCTTGGTTTGGTGGTAAGTTGGGTGAGTTAAATGTGATTTGCATACAGTAAAATGCGCAGGTCTTTGGTGTATGTTCAGTGAACTTTGACAAATGCATACGCCTGTGTAACTGTCAAACTAACCAATATTTATAATCTTTCCACCACCCTAGAAAGTTTTTTCATATCCTTTTTCTAGTTAATCCTTCCCTGCCGCCACTTGCAACCACCAGTCTAATTTCTTTCGCCATAAATTAGTTTGCCTGGAGAGGAGTTGCTTCTAACTATATTTTCTTCCCTATCTTTTATCTTTGTCATAAGTCTTTTCTTTTCTTCCAGAGGCCTGGGATTTTGATTTTTTTCGGGACAGGGTCTTGCTCTGCTGCCCAGGCTGGAGTGCAGTGGTGCATTCATAGCTCACTGCAGCCTTGAACTCTTGGGCGTAAGGGATCCTCCCACCTCAGCCTCCTGAGTAGCTGGGACTGTAGACACGCACTACCATGTATGGCTAATTTTTTACAAATTTTTGTAGAGATGGGGGTCTCAGTATGTTGCCCAGGCTAGTCTCGAACTCCTAGGCTCAAGTGATCCTCCCTCCTTGGCTAAAGTGCTGGGATTACAGGTATGAGACAGCATGTCAAAGGCCTGAGCTTTTGAAATACCAAAACCAGGAAACCTACTTTCCATCTTCCTTCTTTCTTTTCCTGGAACAATGAACTTCTGTGCTGTTTGGATGCAGATTAAGGCTACGGAGTGGCACAAAAGTGCAAGAGAAACCAAAAAACATCAGTTACTATTGCTAAAAATGTCACTTAAATGCTATAATGCTAAATACTAAGACGTCACAGTATGAGGCCCTGCACAGTGGCTCATGCCTGTAATCTAGCTCTTTGGGAGACTTACAGTGACCTTTGGGACATGCAGTGAGCCATGATTGCACCACTGCACTCCAGTCTAGTTGACAGAGTGAGACTTTGTCTCAAAAAAAAAAAAAAAAAAAATTAGGCCAGGTGTGGTGGCTCATGCTTATAATTCCAGCACTTTGGGAGGCTGAGGCAGGTGGATCAACTGAGGGCAGGAGTTTGAGATCAGCCTGGCCAACATGGCGAAACCCCATCTCTACTAAAAAATACAACAATTAGCCGGGCCTGGTGGCAGGTACCTATAATCTCAGCTACTCGGGAGGCTGAGGCAGGAGAATCTCTTGAACCCAGGAGGCAGAGGCTGCAGTGAGCTGAGATCGCACCACTGCACTCCACCCTGGGTGACAGCAAGACTCCGTCTCAAAAAAAAAAAAAAAAAAAAAAAAAATCCTCACACCACCACCAGGAGATAGCTACTGTTAACCCATTTTACAGGTGAGGAAACTGAGGCACAGAGCAGTTCACAGGTTGCATGAGAAAAAGTAGCACGATTATTCCCACCACACACACTACAGTAGGAGGAAGACATCGATCCTGTTCTGCGTACCATGGGGATATGGACGGGTTGTGGGAGGTGACGTTCCCAAGCCCTAAATGTGTGGGACAGGGTAGAGGGCAGGTCCTCACCCTGAGGGTCATGCAGAGGAATGGCTGTCTGAATGGAGTTTGTATTTGCAGAATTTTGTGGCCAAGGCTCACGGCTCTCCACGGGTGCACTGGCTGGGGCTGAATGACAGGGGCCAAGAAGGGGACTGGAGGTGGCTGGATGGGTCTCCTGTGACGTTAAGGCAAGTGCTCAGGTTTCCTGGGGTCTCTCTGCTTCCTCTGTGGGCCCTGACCATGGGGAGGGGAGAAGGTGATGGAGTACATGGTTGAAGGAGTCAGGAGCTGTTTCTTTTCTTTTTCTTTTTTTTGAGAGGGAGGGAGTCTTGCTCTGTCACCCAGGCTGGAGTGCAGTGGCATGGTCTCGGCTCACTACAAGCTCCACCTCCCGGGTTCAAGGAATTCTCTGCCTCAGACTCCCGAGTAGCTGGGATTACAGCTGCCCGCCACCACACTCAGCTAATTTTTGTAGTTTTAGTAGAGATGGGGTTTCACCATATTGGTCAGGCTGGTCTCGATCTCCTAACCTCAAGCAATCCACCCGCCTCGGCCTCCCAAAGCGCTGGGATTACAGGTGTGAACCACTGCACCTGGTGGAACATTGGCTGCTAAAGGCTCACAGGAGTGCCATTTCTGGAAAGCTGTTCTCAGCTGAATGGCAGCCTGCTCACCTAAGATGTTACCCAACTCCACTGGGGTCAGCTCACAACCAGTGACAGCCTAAGAGAAGCCTGTACCCCTTGTGACAAATTGGGATGACCCTGGTGCTGTTCACATCCCAGTGGTCTCCGCTGGGGTCGGGCTGAGGCTAGAGTCATCTGAGTCCACGCTCCTGCTCAATTCCTTCCCCATTCCGTCTGGCTTCCCTCACCTCTCTCCTAAGAACATCCTTTAATAAATCCTACACGCTCGAGTTCCTGAATCAGGCCCTGCTTTAAGCAAGACCCTACATGATCTAAACAATTCTTAGAAGGTTGGGAAGGTTGGGTTGGGAGGTTGTAAAAGAAAGAGTCTTTGGAAGACAAGACAGAAACTGACCAGATTCAGAAACTGATCACAGGTGTAAACCTCCGCGCGCTGCTTAACACGGGTTTTGACAAATACGTAGTGCCAGGTATTCATCGTTACGGTATCATACAGAAGAGTTTCACCACCCCTAAAGATCCCCGTCCCTCTGCCCACTTTTTCCTCCATCCAGCTTCTGGGAGCCAGAGGAACCCAATAACATCCACAATGAGGACTGTGCTGCCATGAACAAAGATGGCACCTGGAATGATCTGTCTTGCTACAAAACTACGTATTGGATTTGCGAGCGGAAATGTTCCTGTTGAAGCCCAGACCGAGGCTGGGGGGTCCATATTCGAGCGTCCCTCACTCTTTGAGATGAGAATCTCCTGCCCTTTCGTGGACGGCCTTGCCTCTTCATGAGTGGACACAGATGTGCCCCACGCAGGATTGGCACCCTGGATGCAGCAAATTCCCAGGGATGCAAGTCAGGCTGCCTCTAGAGTGAAGACTTGGGCTTGTCCTAGTAGATGGTGAGCTGGGAGGACGCTCAGAGCTTGGTGGTGGGAGGTCTCCCAGTTCTGGGGTTGAACGGATCTTCACTAAATTCCTGATCATGACTCTTGGGAAGTGATACTAGCCCTGAAGACCCTGGGGCTGGTATTGAACCTGGGATGAAATATCCTGGCGCCTCTGAACCACAAAGAGCTGGGACTGGGCTCCTTTTTCTGCAGCCTCAAACTTCTGGGCTCAGGCCATCCTCCCATCTCAGCCTCCTGAATAGCTGGGACTATACATGTGCACCACCATGCGTGGCCAATTTTTTGTAGTGTTTAAAGAGAGGGAGTCTCACTATGTTGCCCAGGCCAGTCTCAAACTCCTGGCCTCAATTGATCCTCCTACTTGGGCCTCCCAAATTGTTAGAATTACAGGTGTGAGCCACTGTGCCTGGCTCAAAATTATTATTATTATTATAGAGATGAGGTCTCACTCTGTTGCCCAGGCTGGTCTCAAACTCCTGGGATCAAGCAATCCTTCTGCCTTGGCCTCCCAGAGTGCTGGGATTACAGGCATGTGTCACCACACCTGGCCGATATTTTTATTTTTATTTTTACTTTCCCCATCTTTTCCTTTTTTTTTTTTTTTAAATGAAAGCTTTGAAAGTGGTGACAGCAAAATTTCCCTTAGAACTAGACCTCTAGATCTGCCTTGCACAGAAATACATTAAATGGACTGGTCTCATGTAGTCCCCGCCATCTTTGCAAATTACAAACCTAAAAATTACAGAACATCAGCAGAGAAGACAGGAGAGCTTCTATACTTACCCCATGTTGTCCTCTGCGGACACTGCTTCCTTCCTGGTCTCAAACAGCACAAATAACCCAGAAACTATCAAAAGTATTTTGGACCAGCAGCTTTCTCAATGTCTTGGGTAAGGTTTGCACAAGCTAAGTGGCAGAATCAGACCTTTGCCAGAAGACTTGGCCCATGGAAATTCTATCCTTTTTTTTTTTTTTTTTTGAGACAGGGTCTCATTCTGCCACCCAGGCTGGAATGCAGTGGCACAATCATAGCTCACTGCATCCTCTGCCTCCTGGGCTCGAGTGATCCTCCCGCCTCAGCCTCCCAAGTAGCTGGGACTACTGGCATTCACCTTCATACCTGGCTGGTCCATGGAACTTCTAGAAAGGCATACCAGCTGAAAAGCAAGACCCCTACATCGTGTGGCCAGGCAGGCCATAACCTGGTCATATCCAAACAGGACAACGCTGGACATATCCGCCAACATGTGCCCTTGAGCTGTCTGTGGGTTGTAACATCTTTGATGATATAATTCACTTTATTTGCCGGGCACAGTGGCTCACGCCTGTAATTCCAGCACTTTGGGAGACTGAGGTGGGCAGATCACCTGAGGTCAGGAGTTCGAGACCAGCCTGGCCAACATGGTAAAACCCTGTCTCTACTAAAAATACAAAAAAATTAGCTGGGCGTCGTGGCATGTGCCTGTAATCCCAGCTACTCAGGAGGCTAAGGCACGAGAATTGCTTGAACCCAGGAGGCGGAGGTTGCAGTGAGCCGAGATCGCGCCACTGCACTCCAGCCTGGGTGACACAGCAAGACTCCATCTCACAAAAATAAATAAATAAATAAATAAATAAATAAATAAATAAATAAATAAATATAAAAATTCACTTTACTTCTGTGTGGACTTTCTTGGGCTATTAGCTCTTGCAATGTTAGTGCTTCTCAAAATGCCACTTTGTTGGGTGTTCCTTGTCTACTGTGTGTTAGTTTGCTGGGGATGCCATAACAAAGGACCATAGACTGGGTGGCTTCAGCAACAGAATGCATTTTCTCAGTTCTGGAGGCTGGATGTCCAAGATCAAGGTGTTGGCAGGGTTAGTTTCTTCTGAGGCCTCCTGTCTTGGCTTGTAGATCATCCTCTTCTCTCTGTATCTTCACCTGGTTCTCCCTCTGTGTCTGGGTCCTAATCTCCTCCTCCTCTTCTTTTTTTTTTGAGACAGGGTCTCGCTCTGTCACTCAGGCTGGAATGCAGTGGCGTGATCTCAGCTCACTGCAACTTCCACCTCCCAGGCTTAAGCATCCTCCCGCCTCAGCCTCCCGAGTAGCTGGGATTACAGGTGTGCACCACTGTGCCTGCCTAATTTTTGTATTTTTTGTAGCAACGGGGTTTTACCATGTTGCCCAGACTGGTTTTGAACTCCTGGGCTCAAGCGATCTGCTCACCTTGTCCCCGCAAAGTGCTGGGATTACAGGCATGAGCCACTGTGCTGGGCCTACAATGACCTCTTTAAAGACCCTGTCTCCAAATATAGCAATATTATGAGGTCCTGGGAATTAGAATTTCAACATATGCATTTGGGAGGGGTGGCACAATTTTGCCTATAACATTCACAAACTGTCAGAGTGACCCCCGCCTGACCCTCCTGCCCTGGCCATGTGACAACCAAAAAATATCAATTAGAGGGCTGGTACTACCCCCAGCTAGGCATAACTCAACATAATATTCCCTTTGAACAATCCTTGAATTGCATCCAAGGGTGGGTAGACATTCTCCAAACCAACCAATTTGTCATTATTGTTTTTTGAGACAGAGTCTTGCTCTGTCGCCCAGGTTGGAGTGCAGTGGCGTGATCTCGGCTCACTGCAACGTCTGCTTTCCAGGTTCAAGCAGTTCTCCTGCCTCAGCCTCCTGAAGAGCTGGGATTATGGGCGTTTGCCACCACGTCTGGTTAATCTTTGTATTTTTAGTAGAGACAGGGCTTTGCCGTATTGGCCAGGCTGGTCTCGAACTCCTGACGTCAAGTGATCCGCCCACCTCAGCCCCCTAAAGTGCTAGGATTACAGGTGTGAGCCACCATGCCTGGCCTTATTTTATTTTTTGAGACAAGATCTCACTCTGTCAGTGCAGTGTTGTAATCATAGCTCACTGCAGCCTCAAACACCTGGGCTCAAGCGATCCTCCCTCCTCAGACTCCTGTATAACTAGAACCACACCCAGATAATTTTATTTTATTTATTTTTTGTATAGACAGGGGTCTTGCTTTGTTGCCTAGACTGGGCAACAAACTCCTGGTCTCGAACGATCCTCCTCCTTCAGCCTCCCAAAGTGCAAAGATTGCGATCAATTTATTGACCAACAAGCACCCTTAATTAATAGCAGAGTCTTGCCTGTTTTGTCTGAGAACAAGTGATTATAGCAAGGAGACTGTGAGGAGAGGAGGTGGTGGGGGAGGTCAGAGCTGACTTCACTTCCTGTTTCTTTGATTTGTTCTTTTATTTCGTTATTAAATCTTTTGTTTTTTGTTTTTGTTTTTTGAGATGAAGTCTCACTCTGTCACCTAGGCTGGAATACAGTGGCAAGATCTCGGCTCACCGCAACCTCCTCCTCCGGGGTTTAAGCGATTGTCGTGCCTCAGCCTCCTGAGTAGCTGGGATTACAAGCACGCACCACCACATCCGGCTAATTTTTGTATTATTAGTAAGACAGGGTTTTGCCACATTGGCCAGGCTGGTCGTGAACTCCTGACCTCAAGTGATCCGCCCTCCCTGGCCTCTCAAAGTGCTGGGATTACAGGTGTGAGCCACTGCACCCGGCTTCCTTATTTATTTTTAAGAGATGGGTTCTCAAGATGTTGCCCAGGCTGGAGTGCAGTGGCAATTCATAGGCAGGACCCCACTACTGAGTTTTGATCCTCTCTGTCCTCTCTTCTCACCTCCGCCCACCTCTGCACCTGCCCCGTACTGTCTGCAGCCTGCTGAGTGGGTGGGTGTCTCGCTGTAAACCCTCCACCCAGGGGACTGTTGTTCCAAGCAACTTTATCTGGGGTCTGGGGAAGTTCCCATATATCAGAAGAGGGAAGTTCAGTGTTTTCTGATACGCGTATTGAGAAATGGGGAAGCGGGGTCTGTGGTCACATCTCTAGGAGGCCCCTGGTGGAGCTGGTCCCAACCTATCTTCCTTCCACATCTCTCATGATTATCTAATTGCAGAGAGGTAAACATGAAAGAGGTCACTTTTTACCACTTTAGGTCCAGGGGAGCAACAGTTGGATAAAAATGATAACCATGGTTTATCAAACATATATTGGGTAGTAGATACATGCAGTGGCTCTTATTGAATCTTCACCATAACCTTGTGAGGTTGGAATATTTACCAACCCCTGCCAATCTTTTTATTTTATTTATTTTTTTATTTTTTTTTAGACAGAGTCTCACTCTGTCACCCCGGCTGGAGTGCAGTGGTGTGATCTCGGCTCACCGAAACCTCTAGCTCCTGGGTTCAAGCGATTCTTCTGCCTCTGCCTCCCAAGTAGTTGGGATTACAGGTGCACCCTGATGCCCGGTAAATTTTTGTATTTTTAGTAGACATGGGGTTTTGCCATGTTGGCCAGGCTGATCTTGAACCCCTGACTTCAAGTGATCTGTCTACCTTAGCCTCCCAAAATGCTGGGATTACAGGCATAAGCCACTGTGCCCAGTCCCCATTTTTTTTTTTTTTTTTTAAAGACAGAATCTCACTCTGTCACCCAGGCTGGAGTGCAGTGGTGCAATTATAGCTTGTTGTGGCCTCAACCTCCCGGGCTCAAGTGATCCCCCCACCTCAGCCTCCCAAGTAGCTGTGGCTACAGGTGTGTGCCACCACATTTGGCTAACCAACCCCATTTTATACCTGGGCAAACTGAGGCCCCGGGGGGTCTCATGGCTTGTTCATTGTCATTTAGTGGGTAAGTGGCACAACTGGGATTCAGATTCCATCTGTGCCTCCCACTGTTGATCTCTTTCTACAGCTGCCTTCTTTTTATTTTTATTTATTTATTTTTTTTTGAGATAGAGTCTTGCTCCGTTGCCCAGGCTGGAGTGAGTGTGCAGTGGTGCAATGGTACAATCTTGGCTCACTGTAACCTCCATCTCCCTCCCCAGCTCCCTTGTTCCTCAGGAGAGACGACTCTGAGATGCATGTTCCACATTATCTCCTGAAAGTCCCCACTGGGGTAAAGCTCCACCTGCCCAGAGCCTGCTCAACTAACACATTTTTGGTTAATTAAAAAAAAGTTTTTTTAGAGAGACAGCGTCTCTGGCCAGGTGTGGTGGGCCACGCTTGTAATCCCAGCACTTTGGGTGGCCGAAGCGGGTGGATCACTTGAGGCCAGGAGTTCGAGACCCGCCTGGGCAATATGTCAAAACCCCATTTCTACTAAAAAATACAAAAATTAGCCAGGCGTGGTGATGTGTGCCTATAATTGCAGCTACTCAGGAGGCTGAGGCAGGAGATTTGCTTGAACCCAGGAGGCGAAGGTTGCAGTGAGCTGGGATTATGCCAGTGCACTCCAGCCTGGACAACAGAGCGAGATTCTGCTAAAAAAAAAAAAAAATTACAGAGACAGGTTCTCACACAGTGTTGCCCAGGCTAGAGTGCAGTGGTGCAATTACAGCTCACTGCAACCTTGAACTCCTGGGCTCAAGCGATCCTCCTGCTTTCGCCTCCCTAGTATCTGGGACTACAGATGTGTGCCATTGCACCCATCAATAACACATCTTTTAGCATATCTTGTTCTTTCTCTGCCTCACTTCTTCTTCTTTTTTTTTTTAATGGAGTCTTGCTGTGTCGCCCACTGTAACCTCCGCCTCCAGGGTTCAAGTGATTCTTCTGCCTCAGCCTCCTGAGTAGCTGGGACTACAGGCCTATGCCACCATGCCCTGCTAATTTTTGTATTTTTAGTAGAGACGATGTGTCACCCTATTGGCCAGGTTGGTCTCGAACTCCTGACCTCACGATCTTTCCATCTCGGCCTCCCAAAGTTCTAGGATTACAGGTGTGAGCTACCGCGCCCAGCCCTGCCTCATTTCTTCACACCCCTATTGGTGTTTCCTGGGATCATCTCCAAAATAATTTACCTGCATGCACTAAACTCCTTGTCTCAGAGTCTGCTTTTGGGAGAACACAAACGATGACGCTATGGGATGAGTGTCATCATCAAAGATGAGTTTGCGAAATGGTTCTGGTTTGCCTGGAACTGAGGGACTCCTGGATTGTGGGACTTTTGGTACTAAACCTGGGAAAGTCCTGGGAAAACCAGAATGACTTGACTGTCCTTATAGGAGGACAGTGTGGCATGAGGGAAGCCAAGAGAAGGGAACGCTTCAAGAAGAAAAAAAAATGATCAACGGAGTCAGATGTTGACCCAATGGTCAAGTTTGGTGAGACTGAGAAACAACCAGTGGACTTTGCACCGAGGAAGCATTTGGAACGTTGATTCATCCTTTGGTGTGTTGGAAGCAGAAGTTAAATTGCAGTGGTTGAACAGTGAGGAGGTTGGAGGAAGTGAAGGCCACACAGTGGAAACAACTTCTTTTTTCTAGAATTTTTTTTTTTTTTTTGAGATGGAGTTTCGCTTTTGTTGCCCAGTCTGGAGTGCAATGGCACGATCTCGGCTCACCGCAACCTCCACCTCCCGGGATCAAGTGATTCTCCTGCCTCAGCCTCCCGAGTAGCTGGGATTACAGGCATGAGCCACCAAGCCTGGCTAATTTTGTATTTTTAGCAGAGAGGGGTTTTCTCCATGTTGGTCAGTCTGGTCTTGAACTTCTGACCTCAGGTGATCCACCCGGCTTGGCCTCCCAAAGTGCTGGGATTATAGGCGTGAGCCACCACACTCGGCCTTTTTTTCTAGAATTTTGGCTGTGAAGAGGAGGAGAGATAGAGTGGCTATTGTAGCAGGAAAGCAGATTAAGGGAGACTTTTTGGATAGAAGGGGCCTGAACATGTGTCCTCTCTTTTCTTTCCTTCTTTCCTTCTTTCCTTCTCCCCTCCCCTCCCCTCCCCTCCCTTCCCCTCCCCTTCCCTTTCTTAGAGTCTTTCCCTCTGTTGCCCAGGCTGGAGTGCAGTGGTGCGATCTTGAATCACTGCAACCTCTGCTTCCCAGGTTCAAGTGATTCTCCTGCCTCAGCCTCCCAAGTAGCTGGGATTACAGGCACCCACCACCATGCCTGGCTAATATTTGCAGTTTTAGTAGAGACGGGGTTTCACCACGTTGGCTAGGCTGGTCTCAAACTCCTGACCTCAGGTGATCCACTTGCCTTGGCCTCCCAAAATGTTAGGATTACAGGCGTGAGCCACCGTGCCTGGCCGTGTCCTCTCTTTTCTTTCAAAATCCCTATTATTCTCATATTAAACACCCCAGTCTTCCTTTTATTCTTCCAAGATTTTAATCTTTTGGCCTTTTTTCCCCAGTGCTTTGAGCTGTTTCTCCCATGTGGTCTTCAAAGACTCAAATTTGGCTTTTGAGAGTGATGACTTAAAAAAAAAAAATATCACCCTGCATCAATAGCAGACAGGTGCTAAAGAAAAATAAAAATCATCCAGCAAAATTTCTTCTTAAATGTATTCCTTTTTTATTAAGTTCCATAGAACTAGAACTTTTGGGTATGCACTTAATCTTCTTACATTCTTTAATTATTTTTTTACTTTTTGCAAAATAAACTTTTATTTGGAGGGACAGCATAATTTAGAGTCCAGGCTCTTTTACACTTTAAATATTTATTCATTTATTTGTTTTATATAGACAAAAAATGTATATATTTATCATGTACAACAGGATGTTCTGAAATATGTCTACATTGTGGAATTACTAAGTCAAGCTAATCAATATATGATTGCCTCATATAACAATGTATATATATATATTTTTTGGTGGTGAGAACGCTTAAAATCTCTCATCAGGTGCGATGGCTTATGTCTGTAATCCCAGCACCTTGGGAGGCCCTGGCAAGTGGATCACTGCTTGAGGTCAGGAGTTTGAGATCAGCTTGGCCAACATGGTGAAACCCTGTCTCCACTAAAAATACAAAAATTAGCTGGGCATGGGGGCATGTGTCTGTAGTCCCAGGTATCAGGAGGCTAAGGTTGGAGAATCACTTGAACCCAGGAGGCGGAGGTTGCAGTGAGCCTAGATCTCATCACTGCACTCCAGCCTGGGCGACAGAGTGAGACTCAGTCTCAAAAAAAAAGAAGTTAGCCTGGGTCGGGCACGGTGGCTCACGTCTGTAATCCCAGCACTTTGGGAGGCCAAGTCAGGTGGATCACCTGAAATTGGGAGTTCGAGACGAGCCTGACCAACATGGAGAAACCCTGTCTCTACTAAAAATACAAAATTAGCCGGGCGTGGTGGTGCATGCCTGTAATGCCAGCTACTTGGGAGGCTGAGGCAGGAGAATCGCTTGAACCCAGGAGGTGGAGGTTGCACTTGCACCATTGCGCTCCATCCTGGGCAACAAGAGCGAAACTCTTATCTCAAAAAAAAAAAAAAAAGTAAGTTAGCCTGTTTCTAGCAAGGAAGTAAAGCCAGTAGGAAGCTAATGGTTTGAGGGAATGAGTGAGTTTAAAGAGCAAGTTTAGGCCAGGCGTGGTGGCTCATACCTGTAATCCCAGCACTTTGGGAGGCCAAGGTGGGAGGATCATGAGGTCAGGAGATCGAGACCATTCTGGCTAACACAGTGAAACCCTGTCTCTACCAAATATACAAAAAATTAGCCGGGCGTGGTGGTGGGTTCCTGTAGTCCCAGCTACTTGGGAGGCTGAGGCAGGAGAATGCTGTGTACCCAGGAGGCACAGCTTGCAGTGAGCCGAGATCGTGCCACTGCACTCCAGCCTGGGTGACAAAGCAAGACTCCATCTCAAAAAAAAAAAAAAAAAAGAAAAAAGAAGAGCAAGTTTATGGCTGGTTGCAGTGGCTTATGCCTGTAATCCCAGCAGTTCAGGAAGCTGAGGTGGGAGAATCATTTGAGCTCTGGAATTTGAGGCTGCAGTGAGCTATGATCATACCACTACACTTCAGTTGGGTGACAGAGTGAAACCCTGTCTTAAAAAAAAAGGGGGCAAGTTTAGGATGAGTGGGACTAAGAACTTGAGGTAAAGGACCTCTTCATTTACAAAAAGTCAAGGAAATATTTGCAGTGGTCACGTTTTGGGTTTCCAGGGATAAGCATTGACAGAATACAGCATAGTGAAGAGAAATGCAATTTACCACACATTTTTTGAGAGCCTATTATGCAGAACAAACACTTCGGGAAGTAAAGGTTGATTACTTCCTCTCCAAGGATGATATGTCTAATGAAGTCCCTTGTCCTTAGCTTCATTCTTCATAATGCCAAAAAGATCCATGGGTATGATATTCCATACGGAGTTGAATGTTCTAGTTCTATTATTTTCTCTTCACTTGTCCTGGAAAAACATCCCCCTATAAAAGAGGTTTAGATTAAAGGTGGATGTAAGGGTAAAATAAAGCAAACAAACAAAAATCAACAACATGGAGAGAGAGCAGGAGTGATTTAAACCCAGCTTGAACCAGCAGGCAAGGATGGCATGATCTCCTAGCATTTAAAAATCCTAGGGCAGATGTGGTCTTCTTTGGCTTAGAGTGGGAAGACTTATCAAAAATTCAGCAGGAAGAATTATTCTTTTTGATAAATTTTCAGACATAATATTCCACTCTGGAATTTCAGTCCCCTGGATGTTTTTTGTCTATGAAGAAAGGTTAGAGTCTTGTTGGCTTTGTTCCTCTTTGAATGCCCGTTATCCAACATAGTGCCTGACACACTGTAGAAGTCAACAAATATTCTCTTTGCACTCCACAACTAACAGCTTGGTTTAGCAGCCCCAAGATCCACAGAGGAACCAACATCTCCTGAAGAAGCCTATGAGGTTAGTGGTTCCTAGCCTAGTTATAAGAGCTGTGTGCAAGAAGTTCAAAGTTATGTCTTCCTTCCTGGTATTTATGGTTCATTCACAGATGCAATTTACAAGTCAAGCATGATTTTTCCCATAGGGAACATTGCCCAGCAACCTAACTGATCTTCCAACTTTATCAAGTTTCTTGGGAGCAGAGTTAGAAAGTGAACCCAAGGTCAAATTTGTCCATAGAAGAAGAGTTTCATTAGCTTTTTACTCAAACTTTGTGCCTAAAAAATAGAAGCACAGAGATTTTTCTATAGAGATGGGGTCTTACTTTGTTGCCCAGGCAGGTCTCAAGCTCCTGACCTCAAGCAATCCTCCTACCTTGTTCTCTCAAAAGTGCTGGGATTACAGGCATGAGCCACCATGTCTGGCCAAAGCTAATATATTCCTTAAAGAGAGATTCATATATATATGCATACGTGTGTGTGTATATATATATATAATTTTTCTTTTTTTTTTTTTAGACAGGGTTTTGCTCTGTCACCCAGGCTGGAGTGCAGTGGCATGATCTTGGCTTATTGCAACCTCTGCCTCCTGGGCTCAAGCAATCCTCCTGCCTCAGCCTCCTAAATAGCTGAAATTACAGGCATGCACCACCACACCTGGTTAATTCTTTGATGTTTCTGTAGAGACAGGGTCTCACTCTATTACCCAGGTTATATTTGATATTTTCCCCATCCAAAGATACACTCATATTATTCAATTTCCACAATGTTAAGTGATAATAATAAAAACGATTTTCCTTATTCCATTATGGAGAACCAGTATCTAGAATGCTGGCAGCTTTGGGAATTATTTTGGATTATCTGGGAAACCTTTCATAGGTCACAGTCAACAGTCAGCACTTCTACTCTTGTTGAGAATAATTAAGGACAGAGTTTCACTCTTGTTGCCCAGGCTGGAGTGCAATGGTGCGATCTTGGCTCATCATAACCTCTGCCTCCCAGGTTCAAGTGATTCTCTTGCCTCAGTCTCCTGAGTAGCTGGGATTACAGATGCCTGCCACCACGCCCAGTGGCTCACACCTGTAATCTCAGCACTTGAGAGGCCAAGGTGGGTGGATCACTTGAGGTCAGGAGTTCGAGACCAGCCTGGCCAATATGGTGAAACACCATCTGTACTAAAAATACAAAAAAATTAGCTGGGTGTGGTGGTGGGCACCTGTAATCCCAGCTACTGGGGAGGCTGAGGCAGGAGAATCACTTGAACCCAGGAGGTGGAGGTTGCAGTGAGCTGAGATTACACCACTGGACTCCAGCCTGGGCAACAGAATGAGACTCTGTCTTAAAAAAAAAAAAAAGGAAAGGAAGAGACAGGGGTCTCACTATGTTGCCCAGGCTGGTCTCAAACTCCTGGACTCAAGTGATCCTCCTGCCTTGGCCTCCCAAAGTGTTGGGATTATAGGTGTGAGCCACCACGCCCAGCTTCTTTTTAAACATCTATTCTGTCATTTATTCAAAAAGCCAAATATGGAACGAAATGTCACATAGTGCAGGAAGCTCATTCTGTGGTACACTGAGCCTGAGTTAGTGCAATGGAAGAACAGAATACCAGCAACCAGATTCCAGAAATGTCATCTTTCTAACAGGGCCATTTCCTCCCCCAGGAAGGTCCCATGATTCCCTGCACTCATCCTCTGTAATTATGCAGAGCAACTGGGGCAGAATCCGTATCCTGGAGCCTCTTCCATGGCGTACCCTCACTCTGTGGGGCTCACATCCACATCTTTATGTACAGGGGGCATTTGGGGGAAGATCACTCTGCTATGCCTATGCTTGTAAATTTCCCCCAGTGGGAGTCTGTGTTAGATTGCATTGGTTCTTGATACGTTTTACTCATATATCTTTGCACAACAAGAATACATATGAAAACCAGCCTAAGTGCTGTTAGTGAGTAGAGAGGAGTCACTGAGGAAAAATATAACAAGAATGAGGAATTCAAACCGGGTTATCAGGAAGAGGACTCTTCCTCATACCCTCCAGGAAAGCGAGTTTGTACTCAGACTAGCTCCTCAAAGCTACCCTATGTTTCCCAGGCTGGTGTCAAACTCCTGGGCTCAAGCGATCCTCCCATCTCAGCCTCTCAAGTAGCTAGGACTACAACACCACAACACCTGGCCTCTTTTTTTTTTTTTTTGAGATGGAGTTTTGCTCTTGTTGCCCAGGCAGGAGTGCAATGGTGCGATCTTGGCTCACTGCAACCTCTGCCTTCCGGATTCAAGCGATTCTCCTGCTTCAGCCTCCCAAGTAGCTAGGATTACAGGCATGTGCCACCATGCCCAGCTAATTTTGTATTTTTGGTAGAGATGGGGTTTCTCCATGTTAGTCAGGCTGGTCTCGAACTCCCAACCTCAGGTGACCTGCCCACCTTGGCTTCCCAAAGTGTTGGGATTATGGGCATGAGCCACTGCACCCGGCCCCGGTTTCCTTTTTATTATTGTTATTTTACATTGTGGAAATTTATTTATTTATTTTTTTTCTGAGGCGGAGTCTTGCTCTGTCTCCCAGTCTGGAGTGCAGTGGCATGATCTTGGCTCACTGTAAGCTCCGCCTCCCAGGTTCACTCCATTCTCCTGCCTCAGCCTCCCAAGTAGCTGGGACTACAGGCGCCCGCCACCACGCCCAGCTATTTTTTTGTATTTTTAGTAGAGACGGGGTTTCACTGTGTTAGCTAGGATGGTCTCAATCTCTTGACCTCGTGATCCACCTGCCTCGACCTCCCAAAGTGCTGGGATTACAGGCGTGAACCACTGTGTCAGGCCTACATTGTGGAAATTGAATAACATGAGCATATCTTTGAAAAGGGAAAATATAGGCCGGGTGCAGTGGCTCATACCTGTAATTCCAGCACTTTGGGAGGCTGAGGTGGTAGGACTGCTTGAGCTGGGAGGTCAAGACCAGCTTGGGCAACATAGGGAAACCCCATCTCTCTCTATATAAAAACAAATTAGCAGGGCATGGTGGTGCACACCTGTGGTCCCAGCTCCTCGGGAAGCTGATATGGGAGGATTGCTTGAGCCCAGGAGATCGAAACTGCAGTGAGCTATGATTGTGCCACTGTACTCCAGCCTGGGCGACAGAGCAAGACCCTGTCTCTTTAAAAAAAAAAAAAAAAAAAAAAAAAAAAGGGCCGGGCGCGGTGGCTCACGCCTGTAATCCCTGCACTTTGGGAGGCCGAGGCGGGCGGATCATGAGGTCAGCAGATCGAGACCATCCTGGCTAACACGGTGAAACCCCGTCTCTACTAAAATACAAAAAATTAGCCGGGCGCGGTGGCGGGCGCCTGTAGTCCCAGCTACTCCAGAGGCTGAGGCAGGAGAATGGCGCGAACCCGGGAGGCGGAGCTTGCAGTGAGCCGAGATGGTGCCACTGCACTCCAGCCTGGGCGACAGAGTGAAAACTCCGCCTCAAAAAAAAAAAAAAAAAAAAAAAAAAGGAAAATATAAATTAAAAAACTAGAAGAAGTTCAGCAAACTAATACAGGAACAGAACACCAAACACCACGTGCTCTCACTTATAAGTAGGAGCTGAACAATGAGAACAAATGGGAGGGGAACAACACTCACTGGGGCCTGTGGGGAGAGGTTGGAGGGGGAGAACATTAGGGAAAAGAGCTAATACACGCTGTTTTTGTTGTTTTTTTTTTTTTTTTTTTTTGGATGGAGTCTCGCTCTGTCACCCAGGCTGGAGTGCAATGGTGCAATCTTGGCTCACTGCAACCTCGGCCTCTCAGGTTCAAGTGATACTCCTGTCTCAGCCTCCCCAGTAGCTGGGACTACAGGTGCGCACCACCATGCCCGGCTAATTTTTGTATTTTTAGTAGAGATGGAGTTTCACCATGTTGGTAAAGCTGGTCTTGAATTCCTGACCTCAGGTGATCCACCCACTTCGGCCTCCCAAAATGCTGGGATTACAGGCATGAGCCACCACGCCCAGTCAATGCTGGGCTTATTACCTAGGTCGTGGGTTGATAGGTGCAGCGAACCACCACGGCACACGTTTACCTGTGTAACAAACCTGCACATCCCATACATGTAACCTTGGAACTTAAAACAAAAACAAAAACAAAAACAAACAAACAAACAAAAACCCCCAAACTAGAGGAAGTTTGCAGTGTCAAGAGAGGAGTATATAAGACATTAGAACAATTCACATGTTCACTTACCTCACTGGGTTTTGAGTCAGGACCCATCTTGCTGGAAAGTGTGTATGTCTCAGACTCAGATTTTGATTTTACAATCTCTCTAAACCACTTTTGATATTGTTTCTGGACCTGGAACATCAAAGGAAATACCTGGATGGGTTTTGCTAACATTGGTGAAGAGCAGAAAGGTCAGTGAGTCAGGAAGAGGATAGAGATGTATTATTATTTGTTTATTTTCACAAAACATGGTCTATTCGTACAATGGAATATGATTCAATTTTATAAAGGAAGGAGATTCTGACACATATTCTACCACATGGATGAACCTTGAGGACATCAGCCTAAGTAAAATAAACTGATCACGAAAGGCGAATACTGTATGGTTCTACTTATATGAGGTACCTAAAGTAGTCACATCCATGTAGACATAAAGTAGAATAGCGGTTTCCAGGGCCTGGGGGGAAGGAGAGTGGGGAGTTAGTGTTTAATGGGGATGGAATTTCAGTTTGGGAAGATGAATAAAGTTCCGGAGATGGATGTTGGTGATGGTTGCACAAGATCGCGAATGTGATGCTACTAGTGGTACGCTTAAAAATGATTTAAAAGGTAAATTTTATATTATATATATTTTACTACAATACAAATTTTCCATTACAGCATATATAATTGTTGTAGAAAATTTATGACCAGGTATGGTGGCTCACACCTGTAATCCCAGCACTTTGGGAGGCCAAGGCGGGCGGATCACCTGAGGTCGGGAGTTCAAGACCAGCCTGACCAATATAGCAAAACCCCATCTCTACTAAAAATACAAAAATTAGCCAGACATGGCGCATGACTGTAACCCCAGCTATTCCAGAGGCTGAGGCAGGAGAATTGCTTGAACCTGGGAGGCGGAGGTTGCAGTGAGCTGAGATCGCAGCACTGCACTCCAGCCTAGGAGACAGAGTGACACTTCGTCTAAAAAAAAAAAAAAAAGAAAGAAAAAGAAAAGAAAAAGATAGAAAATTTATAAGATATGCATATGCAAAAGAAAGAAAATAGAAGTTACATATAATTCCTCAATCTAGTGAAAATCACCAATAATATTTTGGTAGTACCCTTCAATGTGTCTTGGTTTTGGGCACCTCAGAAGCAGACCCTGCAACAAGGGTTGAAGTGTAAGGAGTTTATTTGAGGGGTGATCCCAAGAAGCACCAGTAGGGCAATGAGGAAGCAGCACAGGGAAGAGAAGGCAGCTGGTAAAGAATGCATAATTAAGGATATTTCCATTGTGGAAATCTGGGGCTCAGTCCCATTCAGGAGCTCTGGGGTGCAGCATGGAACTACCTTAGAGTCAACTTGCCTGAAGGAGGTGGGAGCTGGGGTATTTATCCACCAGCTCCCATCAGTCATGGGTTGATGGCCACTCTCAAGGGCCATTACTCTTTGGCATCACCAGTTTGCCCTGTGCATGGGCCAGGCATGTCCTGTGGGCAGTATGAAGCCTTCAGGCACAGTTATATGTGTTCGCAACAAGTAACTCCAAGCATGTAGAGACAGAAGCCAAAGGGATATGAGAGGGCCATGGACTTTGGGAGGCCGAGACGGGTGGATCACGAGGTCAGCAGATCGAGACCATCCTGGCTAACACGGTGAAACCCCGTCTCTACTAAAAATAAATACAAAAAACTAGCTGGGCGAGGTGGCGGGCGCCTGTAGTCCCAGTTACTTGGGAGGCTGAGGCAGGAGAATGGCGTAAACCCGGGAGGCGGAGCTTGCAGTGAGCCGAGAGCCGGCCACTGCACTCCAGCCTGGGCGACACAGCGAGACTCCGTCTCAAAAAAAAAAAAAAAAGAGAGGGCCATGGACAGCATCTGCCATATCATGATACCCCGACATTGACACTATTGACGTCTTGGGTTGGATCATGTTTTGCTGGAGAAGGCTATCCTGTGTGCATTGTTTAGGATATTTAGCAGCATCCCTGGCCTCTACCCACTAGACGCCAGTAGCAAACCCCACTCCAGTTATGACAAACATTTCCCCAGACATTGCTAACTGTCCCGTGGTAGGAACACAATTGCTACTGGTAAGAACTATTCTGATATGCCATAAACACTCATACCTACACATAAATAAATACATAACAATAACACAAGCAATGAATGCTTATACTCGTTATATAAACAAAATGAAACCCTCTGGAGTAATTTCTTTTTTTTTTTTTTTTTTTTTTTTGAGACGGAGTCTTGCTCTGTTGCTAAGGCTGGAGTGCAATGGCATGATCTCAGCTCACTGCAAACTCTACCTCCCAGGTTCAAGTGGTTCTCTAGCCTCAGCCTCCTGAGTAGCTGGGATTACAGGCATGTGCAACCACACCTGGCTAATTTTTGTATTGTTTAGTAGAAATGGGGTCTCACCACGTTGGCCAGGCTGGTCTTGAACTCCTGACTTCAGATGATCCACCTGCCTCGGCCTCCCAAAGTGTGGGATTACAGGTTTGAGCCACCACGCCTGGCTGGGTTCCATTTTGGAGACAGCATGCAGTCTAGATTATCCCTGAGCACCCCTTAGTAAGGGACATTCTTGGAAGACACACACTACTGTTCAGTTGCAGACAAAGTGTTTTGAATTTAGTAGCCATACGAAATAAAACTATATATATCTTTAAAAACTGAATGCTAGGCCAGGCGCGATGGCTCACGCCTGTAATCCCAGCACTTTGGGAGGCTGAGGCGGGCGGATCATGAGGACAGGAGATCGAGACCATCCTGACCAACATGGAAAACCCTGTCTCTACTAAAAATACAAAATTAGTTGGGTGTGGAGGCGTGCACCTGTAATCCCAGCTACTCGGGAGGCTGAGGCAGGAGAATCGCTTGAATCCGGGACATGGAGGTTGCAGTGAGCCGAGGTTGTGCCATTGCACTCTAGCCTGGGCAGCAAGAGCAAAACTCTGTCTCAAAACAAAAAACAAAACAACACAAAAACAAGTAACAAACAAAAACTGGATGCTATGATATGCCTCAAAAACTGAGATAAACTGAGGGAAGAGTACACATAAGTGTTTTTCGTATGCTCATGTGAAACCCTGTCTCTACTAAAAATACAAAAAAAAAAAAAAAAAAAATTAGCCAGGCGTGGTGACATGTGTCTGTAGTCCCAGTTACTCAGGAGGCTGAGGCAGAAGAATCGCTTGAACCTGGGAGGCGGAGGTTTCAGTGAGCCAAGATTGAGCTACCGTACTTCAGCCTGGGTGACAGAGCGAGACTCTGTCTCAGAAAAAAAAAAAAAAAAAGGATGATGATGATGATGATGAAGAAACAAATGCTCTGCCAGTGGTGCCTTCGAACCAAGTGGAGATGAGTTCTGCCTCCCTTTTCAGCCTCCTGAAGTGTTGGGATTATAGGCATGAGTCACTGTGCCTGGCCCCAGTTTCTCTTTAACAAGGCAGTTAACCTGCAGTACAGTGAAGTTCAAGACCTCATCGTGCCCACTGCTGTTCCATGGTTTGAGATGCGAGTTGCAAAAACTGCAATAGCAGACTGGGATGGATCTATGAGTTTGCCCCTGAAGACAGCCAGTGTTACAAGGAAGGCTGTGTGATTCTGGAATGTGACCTAGTTCGGGACAGTGAGGGCTCTGAGAGGCATGTATCATCTGATATGTGTTGAAGAAAAAGAGATAAATCAGCCCAGCATGGTGGCTTATGCCTGTAATCCCGGCACCATATACTTGGTATTGACTGGAAGCTTTTCCTTTTTCTCTTTTTTTTTTGAGACGGAGTCTTGCTCTGTTGCCCAGGCTGGAGTGCAGTGGTGCGATCTTGGCTCACTGCAACCTCTGCCTCCTGGGTTCAAGTGATTATCCTGTCTAGCCTCCCGAGTAGCTGGGATTACAGGCACCTCCATCATGCCTGGGTAATTTTTTTGTAGTTTTTAGTAGAGATGGGGGTTTCACCATGTTCATCAGGCTGGTCTGGAACTCCTGACCTCAAGTGATCTGCCCATGTCAGCCTCCCAAAGTGCTGGGATTACAGGCGTGAGCCACTGCACCCTGCTGATTGGAAACTTTTTCTGAAATAAGGCAGAACTGCTTGGGTGTCTTTTTCCATGTAACTTAAGACAGTAATGTAAATAAAATAATAGTTGGAAAAAAAAAAAGAATTCAGGTGAAGCGGTGTGTTAGCTGCATTGTTGATCTCCATGATTCACTCCTTTCTAGTTGTATTACAGTCTGTCTTAGTCTCTTGGTGGGTTGAGTGTTCTTTTCCCATTAACTTTGGGCTTGACCGTGTGACTTGCTTTGGCTAATGGGATATTAGTGGAGGCGATGTAAGAAGAATCACAGGCTTGAGTGACCTTGCCCAGTAGGGTCTGCCTCTTTGTGATTTCACCATTGTTAGGAGAAGAATATTCGCTGGGGAGTTGCTCCCACTTCTGCCTAAGCCTCAGGATGAGTCACAAGGAGCAGGCCTAAACCTGATCTGCGTCCTGGAGCAAAGGCAAGCTGAGCTCAGCTAAGATCATGTGAACCCCAACAGACCCATCGACCCATGAATAAAAAAAGCAAATATTTGTGTTTAAACCAATGGGATTTTTGAGGTTGCTTGTTACACAGCATTAGCTGACTATTACAAGTGGGAAAACTGAGAAAAAGGCATTTTTTTTTGACATAGCAATTATTTATATTCTGAAATATGTTAATAAATGATGTATCTTAACAACTAGTAGCATTTTTAAAGTAGAGAAAATAGAGAGTGTTTATAGGTGGATTATAATCTCATATGGAACATTTAGAGAATGTTGACTTAAATCCCCATTAAACTCCATTTCCAAAATTTTCTTAAGTTTAAAGTAACAAAGAAAGGGGTCAGTGTTTACCTGTTGGCTGAGAAGGCAGTAGACCAAGAAGATGAAGAAGCCCTGGAGGCTATTGATGATGGTGAAGAGGTAGGCCACGACCTGGGCAGCTGGACCCACCTGTAGGAAGCCTAGACACCATGTGCAACCCAGGATAAAGAGCTGAGCTGTTGCTTTGAAAGCCAGCATCCTGGGAGGAGGAAGTCAGAGATTAGGATGTTGAAAAACTAATAAAGAGCATGAACACTCCTCTAGTTAGCTGTTAATAGTGAGAACTCTGGAGTTAGACTACCTGGGTTTAAATGGAAGCCAGCACTGGCTACCTGTGTGATCTTGGGAAAGCTGCTTTACCTTCTTGCAACTCAGTTCCCTCATCTTATTTTTATTTTATTTTATTTTATTTTTGAGATGAAGTCTTGCTCTGTTGCACAGGCTGGAGCACAATGACATGATCTCGACTCACTGCAACCTCTGTCTCCAGGGTTCAAGCGATTCTCCTGCCTCAGCCTCCCCAGTAGCTGGGACTACAGGCATGCACCATCATGCCCTGCTAATTTTTGTATCTTTAGTGGAGACGGGGTTTCACCATGTTGACCAGGCTGGTCTCGAACTCCTGACCTCAAGAGATCCACCCATCTCGGCCTCTCAAAGTATTGGGATTGCAGGTGTGAACAACCATGCCCAGCCTCAGTTCCCTTATCTTAATAATTGTCCTATTTCATGGGGTTGCCATAAAGATTACGTGAGACTTTAACATGGGAAAGTATTTAGGACAATGTATGAGACAAAATTAGTACCACACATACATAAGGCATTTAAAAACCTGGATGCTTTTTCTCTCTCTCACTCTCATCATTTATAGACAGGGGTCATATAATTTTTTTTTTTTTTCAGATGGAGTCTCGCTCCATTGCCCAGGCTGGAGTGTAGTGGTGTGATCTCAGCTCACTGCAACCTCCGCCTCCTGGGTTCAAGTGATTCTCCAGCCTTAGCCTCCCGAGTAGCTGGGATTACAGGTGTGCCGCCACGCCCAGCTAATTTTTGTATTTTTAGTAGAGACAGGGTTTCACCATGTTGGCCAGGCTGGTCTCGAACGACTGACCTCAAATGATCCACCCACCTTGGCTTCCCAAAGTGCTGGGATTACAGGTGTGAACCACCCCGCCCGGCCGGGGTCATATAATTTGTTATTCAAACAGGAAGGCTTTTGTGATCAAAAGGAGGTGTAATGTTCCTAACAGAAAGAAATAATAAATGTTTGAGGTGATGAATACCTTAAATACCCTGATTTGATCATTGCACATTTTATGCATGAATCAAAATATCACAAATACTTTGTAAATGTATATAAATATTATGTATCAATAAGGATAAAAATAATAATAATAAATAAAAGGGGTACTATTAATAATTACATTGTGTCAACAGACGTAAACTGAGACTGTTCCAGGTAAGCTGAGATATGAGGCCATCCTACTTATAGTCTTTACAGCATATATACACATAATATATATACATATATATTTTATATATGCTATCATAATATATAATTACTATATATTGCATATATAAAATATGTATATTTATATATGTATCTATAAAATATGTATATTTATATATGTATATATAAAATATCATATATTATGTTATATATGCATAGAATATATTATATGTATGCATATATACACATATATATTATATGTATATGTACATTATATGTATCCCTAATTATTAAGGAGATTACATAAATGAGTAAAGCTAATTGAGGAACAGTTTGTATAGTGTGATCCTATTGTGTGTGTGTCGGTCTGTTCTACTTAAAGTGCACAGAGAAAGCTCTGGGAAAATGTCATAGATATTTTATCTCACATATCATACAGGCTCTTAATTCTGGCTTCCTGGGAAGTGGAAGTAGCAGGAAAAGAGACAATCACTTTCACTTTTTACTGTATATATTTCAAAAGACTATGAAAAAAATTTAACAAACTTGTCTTATTTTATTTTATTTTTTTTGAGACGGAGTCTTGCTCTGTCGCCCAGGCTGGAATGCACAGGCGCAATCTCGGCTCACTGCAAGCTCCGCCTCCCGGGTTCACGGCATTCGCTTGCCTCAGCCTCCTGAGTAGCTGGGACTACAGGCGCCCGTCACCGCGCCCGGCTAATTTTTTGTATTTTCAGTATAGACAGGGTTTCACCATGTTAGCCAGGATGGTCTCCGTCTCCTGACCTCATGTGTGATCTGCCCACCTCAGCCTCCCAAAGTGCTGGGATTATAGGCGTGAGCCACCGCGCCGGGCCAAACTTGTCTTATTTTTATGATTAAAATGAAAACAACAACAAATTACAAGCTCAAATTAAAATGGATACTGCAACATAAAAATACTCATACCTTAAGATATTTTGAAATATTATACAAAATGTATTTTAATCTAGATTCTTATTGAACCTATTACACACAATTGGAGATAAACATTTAAATTGGTATGTGTACAGAGAGTTTAATTTGTAATTTAAGCATGTGATTTAATACAGCTAGATTGATCTCTATTGGCTGGGGTGGATATAGCTTTGTGACATTACCAGATTAATTTTTAGGGTTTCTATATGATTTAAGCTTTTTAGTAACTGTTGGATTAGCAAATCTGAGTTGGTTGCTTTTGATAAAAACATACTCCTGTGTGCATTTTGTGTAGTGTGGCGGTAACAAATGTTTTTCTCCCTTTTCATCTTCCTTTCAGTGTTAGATCTCTTCCCCTTTGAGTTTTAAAACAAGGCACACGGTCACTTGGTTAGAGACTACATTTCCCACCTCCCTTGCAGCTGGGTGTTATCATGTGACCAAGATCAGCCAATGAGATATGAGCAAATGTGGCAAGTGCAACTCCTATATAACCTCCTTCCCATGGATGGGATATTGACAAGGGCAACATCCTTCTAGAGGATGATGGAGCAACAAAGTAGAAAGAACCTGAGATCCTGAAACACTGTGTGGAGCAGAGCTTCTTTATTAGCCCTGAACTGCTCACTTCTGGGTTGCAACATGAGAGTGAAATAAAGTTCTATTTTATTCTTTTTTTTTTTTGGACATCTTTTTCTCATAGCAGCTTGGCTTGTATTCTAGCTAATACAGGTTCTCGTTAATTGTGATGGTGGGAGATTACAGTGGTCTTGCTAGTCCTGGGAGCATGGCTGTTGAGTGTACGTGTGTGTGGATATGTAGGAGGGATTGGCAGAAGGAAAGGGAGTAGGAAGTACCATTTGTCACATCCTACCTTGTGTTCTGGATGGTTGACACTTCACTATTGAGGGAGGAAAGTTTTCTTTTCAAAATCCAAAAGACCAAGATAAAAAATACTAAATTCACCTGCAGGACCAATACAAACAAGGCAGAATGCAAGTTAAAATAATGTATGGTTTCCACTTTAAATTGCACACAGGAGTCCAGCCTCCCTGTACATGGGATTGAACTGGTAGCAGGTGGAAAATCGATCCACCCAACAGTGGAAATGCAAGCCCTTTGTACCATCTTGTACCCAGCACTTCTCTTGGTTCTTGTTAGTTTGGGAAAATCAAAGGCACATACTCACAGAGAAAATGGCACAGACTGGGCCAAGGAAACCCCAGATAAATCCCTGGTCCAGGTGGAGCCAGCATCTAGGAACAATGGGAAAAGAGATACAAAGAAAGATCAGAGAAAGTGCATGAGATCAACATAAAGTGACTCTTTTCCTACCAGAGAATTGTTTCCAGTTTCTCTTGAAAGTCAGCTGATGACAATCAGCAATTTTTTTTTTTTTGAGACAGGGTCTTGCTCTGTTGCCCAGGTTGGAGTGCAGTGGTGCGATCTCTGCTCACTGCAATCTCTGCCTCCTGGATTCAAGTGATTCTCCTGCCTCAGTCTCCTGACTAGCTGGGATTACAGATGTGCACCACCACACTGGCTAATTTTTGCATTTTTAGTGGAGATGTGGTTTGGCCATGTTGGCCAGGCTGGTCTTGAACTCCAGATCTCACGTGATTTGCTCCCCTAGGCCCCCCAAAGTGCTGGGATTACAGGCGTGAGCCACCACCCCTAGCCAACAATCAGCTTTGATTACACATTTTGATTGCAACTTTGATCCACACATCACATGTGACAGCCACTTTCACTTTTTACTTTATATATTTCAAAAACTATGAAAAAAATTTAACAAACTTGTCTTATTTTTATGATTAAAATGAAAACAACAACAAATTATGTGCTCGAATTAAAATTGATGCTGCAACATAAAAAGTACTCATAGCTCAAGGTATTTTGAAGTAGAATTATACAAAATATATTTTCATTTAGATCCTTATTGAACCTATTACACACAATTGGAGATATACATTTAAATTGGTATGTGTACAGAGTTTAATTTGGAATTTAAGTATGTGATTTAATATAGCTAGATTGATCTCTATTGGCTGGGGTGGACACAGCTTTGTGACATTACCAGATTCTTAGGGTTTTTATAGAATTTAAGCTTTTTAGTAACTGTGGTGTGATTCTAGGATAATAAGCTAGGAGAAACATCGTCCTGTTAAGCATTTTAGGAGCACAGTCCTGTTAAATTTTCACACCAGCACTGTGAGGTTGGAACAATGGGGACAACTATTATTCTTATCTCGCTAATGAGGGGACTGAGACCTGAGAGCTCAAATCACAGGAAGAATGAAGTTGGGACTGGCCAGGCGCTGTGGTTCACACTTGTAATCCCTGCACTTCGAGAGGCGGAGGCGGACGGATCACGAGGTCAGCAGATCGAGACCATCCTGGCTAACACAGTGAAACCCCGTCTCTACTAAAAAAAAAAAGACAAAAAAATTAGCCGGGCATCGTGGCGGGCGCCTATAGTCCCAGCTGCTCGGGAGGCTGAGGCAGGAGAATGGCGTGAACCCGGGAGGCGGAACTTGCAGTGAGCTGAGATCGCGCCACTGCACTCCAGCCTGGGTGACAGAGCGAGGGTCCGTCACAAAAAAAAGAAAAAAAAAAAAAAAAAAAAGTTGGGACCTAACTCTTGTGATCCAAGAGACTATAATAGACACTTTTTTTTTTTTTTTGAGACGGACTCTCGCTCTGTCGCCCAGGCTGGAGTGCAGTGGCCGGATCTCAGCTCACTGCAAGCTCCGCCTCCCGGGTTTACGCCATTCTCCTGCCTCAGCCTCCCGAGTAGCTGGGACTACAGGTGCCCGCCACCTTGCCCGGCTAGTTTTTTGTATTTTTTAGTAGAGACGGGGTTTCACCGGGTTAGCCAGGATGGTCTCGATCTTATGACCTCGTGATCCGCCCGTCTCGGCCTCCCAAAGTGCTGGGATTACAGGCTTGAGCCATCGCGCCCGGCCCGGAATAGACAGACACTTCTATATCCACTAAGATGGACCCTAAGGTTAAGGAAACCAAGTTACCTGTGGGTCGAGGGTTCAGGCCCTGGCTGGTGAAGCAACTCTCTAAATTCCTCTGGCTACAAGAAAATGCACACTTGCTAAACTCCAGAACAATAGGCGCCATCAGTCCCCTCCTACCTCTTTTTTTTTGGACCTATTCTTTTTTTTTTTTTTTTTTTTAAATACTTTAAGTTCTAGGGTACATGTGCACAATGTGCAGGTTTGTTACATATGTAACCATGTGCCATGTTGGTGTGCTGCACCCATTAACTTGTCGTTTACATTAGGTATATCTCCTAATGCTATCCTGAATTGAACAATGAGAACACTTGGACACAGGAAGGGGAAAGTCCCCTCCTACCTCTGATATACGATCCAGACCACGTAACTGACTGGAAAGGGAACCAGTCAAAGCAGTTATGGATCTTAAGCCAGTTTCAGTTAGTTTATAGAGGATGTGCACAAACTGTCTTTGTGTCCTGTGGTTCAACTTTTGGTGTAGAGCCACGTTCCTCCTCATTATTTATTTTATTTTATTTATATAGTTTTTAGAGTTGGATCTTGCTCTGTCACTCAGGCTGTGGTGCAGTTGCTCTGTCACAGCTTACTGCATCCTTGAACTCCTGTGCGCAAGGGATCCTCCTGCCCCAGCCTGGGACTATAGGCATGCATCACCATGTCCAGCTAATTAAAACAATTTTTTTTTTTTTTTTTGTAGAGATGGGGTTTTGCTATGTTGCCCAGGCTGGTCTTGAACTCCTGGGCTCAAGCAATCCTTCCTCCTTGACTTCCCAAAGTGCTGGGGTTGCAGGTGTGAACCACCATGCCTGGTCTTCCATCTTATTTTTTTTTTGAGATGGAGTTTAGCTCTTGTTGCCCAGGCTGGAGTGCAATGGCATGATCTCAGCTCACTGCAACCTCCACCTCCCAGGTTCAAGTGATTCTCCTCCCTCAGCCTCCCAAGTAGCTGAGATTGCAGGCACACACCACCACGCCCGGCTAATTTTTTGTCTTTTCAGTAGAGATAGGGTTTCACTGTGTTGGCCACACTGGTCTCCAACTCCTGACCTCAGGTCATCCACCTGCCTCAGCCTCCCAAAGTGCTGGGATTGCAGGCTTGAGCCACCGCGCCCGGCTTTTCCATCTTATTTTAATGCTAAAATCCTGCCCCAAAGTGAACATGGGATGCATGTTTTATATATATATATGTTTATCCACTGTGCATGCACTCTGCTCTCATCTTAAATAGGTACAGCTTTTCCAAACCTCCTGAATGTTTATGACTCTGTTGTGTAATACAGATCTAGTGAGGCATAAAACCTAACTTGTGCTTCCCCTTTTCAAAGAGGGAGCACCTTTGGCTCATGCTGCAGTTTCTTTTTTTAGTTTGCAAACCAGTATTGCCAATAAAGCTCTCTCTTTTCTTTTCCTTCCTTCCTTCCTTCCTTCCTTCCTTCCTTCCTTCCTTCCTTCCTTCCTTCCTTCCTTCCTTCCTTTCTTTCTTTTCTTTTCTTTCTTTCTTTCTTTCTTTCTTTCCCTCCCTCCCTCCCTTCTCTTCTTTCTATTATTTATTCATTTTGACGATCTTTTGAACAACACCCAAAGCCCTCTCCTTCTGAAGCCATCCCTATAAACTTTATACAAATAATCAGAGAAGAAGAAAGGGGTCGAAATGAAAACAAGCCGAGCTTGCAGTCCATCCAGGATTCACCACCAGGTCAGCTTGCTCTCTGACCTGCTTCCTCCTAGCTGTTTGGTGCCTGCTATCCTAGAATCACACAGATCCCAGAAAACAGTTTCCCTTTACTGCTCTATAGGTAAAAACTTAAACACGATAAAACAAGAAGTTTCAGCTGGGTGCTGTGGCTCACGCCTGTAATCTCAGCACTTTGGGAGGCCGAGGTGGGTGGATCTCCTGAGGTCAGGAGTTCCAGACCAGTCTGGTCAACATGGTGAAACCCCATGTCTACTAAAAGTACAAAAATTAGCCGGGCGTGGTTGTGGGCACCTGTAATCCCAGCTACTGGGGAGGCTGAGGCAGGAGAATCGCTTGAACCCAGAAGGTGGAAGTTGCAGCCAGCCAAGACCATGCCATTGCACTCCTGCCTGGGCAACAAGAGTGAAATTCTGTCTCAAAAAAACCAAACCAAAACAAAACAAAAACCATTAAGTTTCCTCTTGAGATATTCTTTCAGGTCCTGTGTACCAGCAAAACTACTGGCTTCAGCTGCTCTAAAGGACCACAGGAGGAGCTGAGTCACCAAAGAAGGCAGTTTCCGTCTCCCGATGATTTCATCTGCTGTACCCTGAACAATCAATGACCCACACTTTCCAGCCTCCACATCCTCCATGATCCCTTTAAAAGCCCCAGTCCAGAACTCCTTGAGGAGATTGATTTGAGAATCTTCTCCCATTTCCTTGCTTGGTGCCCTGAGATTATTAAACTGTCTTTCTTTTTTTTTTTTTTTTTTGAGACAAGGTCTTGATCTGTCACCCAGGCTGGAGTGTAGTGGCCTGAGCATAGCTCACTGCAGCCTTGAACTCCTGGGCTCAGGCAATCCTTCCATCTCAGCTTCTTGAGTAGCTGGGACTACAGGTGTGTACCACCATGCCTGGCTTTTTTATTTTTTTTAATTTTTAGTAGACACAAGGTCTTGCTATGTTGCCCAGGCTGGTCTTAAACTCGTGAACTCAAGAGATCCTCCTGCCTGGGCCTCCTGAAGTGCTGGGATTAGATGTGTGAGCCACTGTGCGCAGCTAATTTTTAATTTTTTTTTTGTAGAGATGAGGGTCTGCTATATTGCCCAGGCTGGTCTTGAACTCCTGGCCTCAAGTGATTCTCTCACCTTGGCCTCCCAAAGTGTTGGGATTACAGGTGTGAGCCACTACACCTGGCCTCATTAAGCTCTTTCTCTGCTGCAAACCTTGCTGTCTTGGTGGATTGGTATGTTACTATGCAGTGGGCATATGAACCTGTTGGTTGTATAAGACTTCTAGAACCTTGCAAACTCTTACCACCATCTCACCCTGCCTTGCTGGGAAAGAGGTTAGAGCTGTTATAAAGGGGAACATAGAGTGCATTGGTTACATATAGTCCCACCATCATCATGAATGCTGCCCTCAAAAGCTTTCTTAGGAAACTGTCCATGACACAGGGTGGGATTCAAGCTCACCGATCAGCGGTTCCATAAAGGTGAGGCCTGGAGGCTGCAGAAATGGCCACAGTCACAGCGGGAACGCCATAGCCCACTGGAAACATGATCCACTTCATGAGTCTGTTGATGCTTGAGTAGTTGACCACCGTCAGGTTCCGTGCAGTGAGGAAGAGGTGCAGGCCCTCCAGCAGCATCCAGGTGAAGGCAGCCAGGTAGAGATAATGCAAGGCACCGGCGATGATGGCGCACAGCACCTCAGGGAGGAGAAAGGAATGCCTGAAGGGGTTGTCAGGGTGGAGTATGGCCCTAGGACCTCTCCTTGACATTGGCTTTGGGTTCAGAGCACCTGACACCAGACCAAGGGCATTAAAAGTAAAGGGGAACTGGACGCAGTGGCTCATGTCTATAATCGCAGCACTTTGGGAGGCTGAAGTGGGAGGACTGCTTGAGCCCAGGAGTTTGAGACCAGCCTGGGAAACTTAGTGAGACCCCATCTCAATTATATTTAAAAAAATAAAGATAGTTGATAGTCAAGGCTAGCATTGTCCATCTGGGCACCAACCCCTTCAACCTGCCCTTGGGACTGAAAGTGGTGCCACCTCCACCTATGTCACTTTGCAACAGATCACCAGAATATATCCCTCCTTTTTAACTAAGACTTTGTATACTTTGAGCAATGTCTCCTTTCCTCATCCACTTCCCCACTCAACCTCTGGGAACCTCCTTTCTATTCTCTACTCCTACTGTACTGCCTGGTGACTATAGTTAATAATAATATATTATGAATTCCAAAGTTGCTAAAAGAGTGGATTTTGTTTTATTTTATTTCTTTCAGACAGGATCTCACTCTGTCACCCAGGTGGAGTGCAGTGGCATAATCATAGCTCATTGCAGCCTTGACCTCTCAGGCTCAAGTGATCCTCCTACCTCAGCCTCCCAAGTAGCTGGGACTATAAGTGTGTACCACCATACTTGCTAAGTTTTGCAGAGACGGGGTCTCACTATATTGCCCAGGCCAGTCTCCAACTCCTGGGCTGAAGTGATCCTCCCGCCTCAGCCTCCTAAAGTGCTAGGATTACAAGCATGAGCCTTCACCCACAGTCCAAAAAGAGTGAATTTTAAATGTTTTCATCACAAAGAAATGATAAGTATGGAAGTGATAGATATGTTCATTATCCTGGTTTGATCATTTCATAAGGTGTACGTCTATGGAAACTTCACATTGTACCCCATAATTTTATACAATTATTATTTTTCAATTAAGAATAAAATTGAGGGAAAAAGTTTCACTTTAGCATAAGAGATTGTGATTATGATTCTTTTTTTTTTGAGACAGAGTCTTGCTCTGTCACCCAGCCTGTAGTACAGTGGTTGCAATCAAAGTTCACTGCAGCCTTGAACTCCTGGGTTCAAGTAATCCTCCTGCGTCAGCCTCCCAAGCGGCTGGGACTACAGATGTGCACCACTATGCCCAGCTTATTTTGTTATTTTTTTGTTTTTTGTAGAGACAAGGTCTCACTATATTGCCCAGGATGGCCTCGAACCCCTGGCCTCGAGTGATCTTTCCACCATTGCCTCCCAGTGTGCTGGGATTACAGATGTGAGTCACTGTGTCTGGCCCAAGGGATTATTTGAAGCTGAAGGCAGTTGAGAAGAAGCAGAGACAAAAAAAGCTCTCTGCCCTCCCCCTATTTGCCTAAAAGCAGGACATAACTTTATGTACTTGTCTTTTTTGGGGGGTGGTGAGAACACTTAAAATCTACTTTGTTAGCAATTTTTCAATACACAATATGTTGTTCTTGACTATGGTCATCATGCTGTACAACAGCTCTCTTGAATTTATTCTTCCTGTCTAGTTGAAATTTGGTATCCTTTGACCAGTAGCCCCCTAAACCCCTTCCCTGCTGCCCTAGTCTCTGCTAACAACCATTTCTGCTCTTTGCTTTTGTGAGTTTGGCTATTTTAGATTCCACACATAAGTGAGATCATGCACTATTTGTCTTTCTGTACCTTGCTTATTTCACCCAGCATAACACTCTCCAGGTTCATCCATGTTATCACAAATGGCAGGATTTCCTTCTTTTTCTGAAGACTGAGTAGTACACCAGGACATTAATTTACAAAGGTATTCCTCCTACCTATTCTCTTCTTTCTACCCTTCTACCCTTGCTATGGAGAGGATGAAAGTTGATCACCAAGACAACTTATTTATTTATTTAAGATGGAGTTTTGCTCTTGTTGCCCAGGTTGGAGTTCAATGGCACAATCTTGGCTCACTGCAGCCTCTGCTTCCCGGGTTCAAGCAATTCTCCTGCCTTAGCCTCCCAAGTAGCTGGGATTACAGGTGCTCACCACCATGCTCAGCTAATATTTTGTATTTTTAGTAGAGACGGAGTTTCGCCAAGTTGACCAGGCTGGTCTTGAATTCCTGACCTCAGCTGATCTGCCCACCTCGGCCTCCCAAAGTGCTGGGATTACAGGCGTAAGCCACTGTACCCAGCCACCAAGACAACTTTAGTTCCTCATGGGTCTGGAGCCAACGCTGGAGGAATCTACAAAACCAATGATATGGTTTGGCTCTGTGTCCCCACCCAAATCTCATCTTGAATTGTACTCCCATAATCCCCACGTGTTGTGGGAGGGACCCGGTGGGAGATAATTTGAATCATGAGGGCGGTTCCCCCCCATACTGTTCTCGCGGTAGGGAAAAAGTCTCACGAGATCTGATGGTTTTATCAGGGGTTTCCGCTTTTGGATCTTCCTCATTTTTTTCTCTTGCTGCAACCGTGTAGAAAGTGCCTTTTGCTCGGGAGGCCAAGGCGGGCAGATCACGAGGTTGGGAGATTGAGACCATCCTGGCTAATACCGTGAAACCCAGTCTCTACTAAAAAAATACAAAAAATTAGCCGGGTATAGTGGCGGGCGCCTGTAGAGGCTGAGGCAGGAGAATGGCGTGAACCCAGGAGGTGGAGCTTGCAGTGAGCCGAGATGGCACCACTGCACTCCAGCCTGGGCGACAGAGCAAGACTCCGTCTAAAAAAAAAAAAGTGCCTTTTGCCTCCCGCCATGATTCTGAGGCCTCCCCCGCCATGTGGAACGGTAAGCCCATTTAAACCTCTTTTTCTTCCCAGTCTCGGGTATGTCTTTATCAGCAGCCTGAAAATGGACTCATACAATCAGTGATACTAATTATCTATCGCTCATTTCTCAGATATTTGCCTTCCCATACTTTGCTGCCCCTAAAGACCGAAGATCGTTTTCCCTTCTCCAAAAATTTATCATTCTTTGTCAAAAATGCTGTTGTTCTAAACTACCTCTTTGAGAATGCCTCATTCCCTGGGTATCTCCCATGTATATATGAAATATACATGTTAATACACTTCTGTTTGCTTTTTCTCTTATCTGTCTTTTGTTATACGGGTCCCAGCTACCAGAATGGTAGCAGGAGAATTATATTTTTCTCCTCTACAGACCCAAAGATATTTTATTAAGGAATCCAGCGCAGGCTTGCTCCATGAGCTCAGTGTCCCTTGGGGCAGGGCAGGGCATCCTCTGAGACACTGTCAGTACCTTGGATTCAGTTTGGTCAATCCCCACGAGGAAGAGGAGGTGGGCCACGAAGAGGCAGAGCGAGAGCTGCAGATGCAGCGAGGTGCTGGTGTTCTGGATGGTTTTACACAGGAGGAAGGTGAGGGCCGCCAGGAGGAGGCACAGCAGAGACAGGCTCAGCCCCACATAGGTGATGATAGTCAGCACAGGATCCTCCTCCTGGGACCGAGAAAAAGAGTTCACAGTTACGCTTTCCTGCACTGGGATTATGGCTCCCTCCTTGAACTGCGGCATCCTAGACACAGGCACCAAGCCCGGTAGTAGTGTGGGGCCGTTAGACTGCTAATGTAGATTGCTAATGTAGGCTGCTAATATAGATTGCTAATGTGGATTGTTAACGTAGACTGCCAATGTGGATTGTTAACGTAGACTGCCAATGTAGACTGTTAACGTAGACTGCCAATGTAGACTGTTAACGTAGACTGCCAATGTGGACTGTTAACGTAGACTGCCAATGTAGACTGTTAACGTAGACTGCCAATGTGGATTGTTAACGTAGACTGCCAATGTGGATTGTTAACGTAGACTGCCAATGTGGATTGTTAACGTAGACTGCCAATGTGGATTGTTAACGTAGACTGCCAATGTGGATTGTTAACGTAGACTGCCAATGTGGATTGTTAACGTAGACTGCCAATGTGGATTGTTAACGTAGACTGCCAATGTAGATTGCTAATGTAGACTGCTAATGTAGATTGCTAATGTAGACTGCCAATGTAGATTGCTAATGTAGACTGCTAATGTAGATTGCTAGACCGTCTTTTTTGTTTTCAGCTTTATTGAGGTGTATACTTAATGTACCAAAAATTGCACATATTAAATGTATACATTTTGATGAGTTTGGACATATGCATAGGTAGGGCGGCAGAATATGTCACCATCCCCTCAAAAAAAGTAGAATGGCAGTTACCAGAGGCTGGGGAGAGGAGAGAGAGAGAATAGGAAGCTGTTTAAGGAGTGGAGTTTCAGTGTTGCAAGATGAAAGAGTTCTGGAGATGGATGGTGGTTGATGATTGCACAATATGAATGTACTTTACTGAACTGCATATACATTGAAAAATGGCTAAGATGGTAAATTTTATGTTCTGCGTATTTTGCCACAATCTTTACAAAGTGTTTTTTGGGCCATGGTATCTCACACCTGTAATCCCAATAGCTTTGGGAAGCTGAGGTGGGAGGATTGCTGGAGGCCACGAGTTCAAGACTGGCCTGAGCAACAAGTGAGACCCCGTATCTAAAAAAAAATAAGTATTTTTGTATGCAGAGGGCTTGTGCTATGCAGTACCAGTTTGATCCCAGAGCTCATACTAATGATGGGATTTTAAAAACTTTTTTCAGTTCAGAGATACATATGCAGGTTTGTTACACAGATAAACCCCTGTTGCGGGGGTTTGTTGTACAGATTATTTCGTCACCCAGGTATTAAGCCTGGTACCCATTAATTATTTTTACTGGTCCTCTCCTTCCTCCTACCCTCCACCCTCCGATAAGCCCCAGTGTCTGTTGTTCCCCTCTTTGTGTCCATATATTCTCCTAATTTAGCTCCCACTTATAAGTGAGAACGCAAGTATTTGGTTTTCTGTTCCTGCGCTCGTTCACTAAGGATAATGGCCTTGGTCTCCATCCATGTCCCTGCAAAGGACATGAGCTCATTCTTTTTTATGGCTGCATAGTATTCCATGGTGTGTATGTACCACATTTTCTTTATCCAGTCTACCATTGATGGCCATTTAGGTTGATTCTGTGTCTCTGCTATTGTGAATAGTGCTGCAGTGAACATACATGTGCATGTGTCTTTATGATAAAATGATTTATATTCCTTTGTGTATATACCCAGTAATAGGATTGCTGGGTTGAATGGTAGTTCTGTTTTCAGCTCTTTGAGAAATTGCCACGCTGCTTTCCATAATGGTTGAACTAATTTACAATCCCACCAACAGTGTGTGTTCCTTTTCTTCTGCCACCTCACCAGCAACTGTTATTTTTTCACTTTTTAATAGTAGTCATTCATGATGTGGTTTACAGTAATCATGTTTTTTTTTGAGACAGAGTCTCGCTCTTTCACCAGGCTGGAGTGCAGTGGCACGATCTCGGCTCACTGCAACCTCTGCCTCCCAGGTTCAAGCAATTCTCCTGCCTCAGCCTCCCGAGTAGCTGGGGCTACAGGTGTGCGCCACCACACGTGGCTAATTTTTGTGTTTTTAGTAAAGATGGAGTTTCACCATGTTGGCCGGGATGGTCTTGATCTCCTGACCTCGTGATCTGCCTGCCTCAGCCTCCTAAAGTTCTGGGATTACAGGTGTGAGCCACTGTGCCTGGCCCAGTCATCATGTTTTTGCCCTGGGGTCCTACAGTCTGAGCAACTGAGGTCAGCCATGTAGACACTGCGTACCTATGTGAATGATCGCCCAATACATACCCTGAACACCAAGGCTCAGGTGAGCTTCCTGGCTGACAACACTTCACATGCGTTGTCATAAGTCATTGCTGGGAGAATTAATTGCATCTGTATGACTTTCCTGGGAGAGGACACTGGAAGCTTGCACCAGGTTTCTCCTGGACTTCTTATCTTGTGTCTTTTCCATATGTTGATTTTTTTTTTTTTTTTTGAGACGGAGTCTTGCCCTATCACCCAGGCTGGAGTGCAATGGCATCATCTCAGCTCCCTGCAACCTCCGCCTCCCAGGTTCAAGCTATCCTCTTGTCTCAGCCTCCCGAGTAGCTGGGATTACAGGCATGTACTACCATGTTCAGCTAATTTTTGTATTTTTAGCAGAGATAGGTTTTTGCCATGTTGGTCAGGCTGGTTTCAAACTCTTTTTTTTTTTTTTTTGAGACGGAATCTCACTCTGTCACCCAGGCTGGAGTGCAGTGGCACGATCTCGGCTCACTGCAAGCTTTCCCTCCCGAGTTCACGCCATTTTCCTGCCTCGGCCTCCCGAGTAGCTGGGACTACAGGCTCCCGCCACCACGCCCGGCTAATTTTTTTGTATTTTTAGTAGAGACGGAGTTTCACCATGTTAGCCGGGATGGTCTCGATTTCCTGACCTCGTGATCCGCCCGCCTCGGCCTCCCAAAGTGCTGGGATTATAGGCATGAGCCACCGCGCCTGGCCTCAAACTCTTGATCTCAGGTGATCTGCCCATCTTGGCCTCCCAAAGTGCTGGGATTAAAGGCATGAGCCACCATGCTTGGCCTTTTTTTCAGTTTTTTAAAAAATAGCACTTATTACCATTTAGTAGGGGCTCAGAAAGTATTTGCTGGAAGAATAAAACATTTACATCATACCTGGCTGGTGAAGGCCATCAGGACAGCGAAGCTGGACAGGTGACTGCAATTACACATGGTGTGACTCTTGTTCACGTGTATCAGGAAGCAGCCATCCCTGGACCACAGGCCTCCCTGCTTTGTGTTCTCCCAGTAGACACAGAAGGCCTTTTTGATACTGTGGTTCATCTGAAAATAGAAAGGGCTCATTGTCTTTGCCTTTTTTTTTTTTTTTTTTTGAGACGAAATCTCACTTTGTTGCCCAGGCTGGAGTGCAGTGGCTCAATCTCGGCTCACTGCAACCTCCGCCTCCTGGGTTCAAGCAATTCTCCTGCCTCAGCCTCCCGAGTAGCTGGGATTGCAGACGTGCACCACCACACCGGGATAATTTTTGTATTTTTTGTAGAGACAGGGTCAACTATGTTGCCCAGGCTGGTCTTGAACTCCTGTATTCAAGCAATCTGCCTTCCTTTGCCTCCCAAAGTGCTGGGATCGTATGGGCATAAGCCACCGCATGCAGCCAGCTCATTGTCTTTTTCCTCAGGAGGGACAGTTCTCAGTGTTGGCCTATGCCAGGGTGCCACCTGCTAAGGCATCTGTGCGAAGTGTGACTCAGGTGATTTCTGTTTTGTTTGTTTATTTTTGAGTCAGGGTCTCATTCTGTCGCCCAGGCTGGAGTGCTGTGGTGCAGTCACAGCTCACTGCCGCCTTGACCTCCCTGGCTCAAATGATCCTCCCATCTCAGCCTCCACAGTAGCTGGAACTACAAGTGTGCACCACCATGCCCAGCTAACTCTTGTGTTTTGAGTAGAGATGGGGTTTCAACATGTTGCCCAGGCTGGTCTTGAACTCCTGGCCTCAAGCAATCCTCCTGCCTTGGCCTCCCAAGATGCTGTGGTTATGGGCATGAACCACTGCACCTAATTTCTATTTTATGTGGCCACCAGGACTCCCGATCAATAACCGCAGCTCTTTTGGGTTTTCATGTAACATAAAATAAAGCGAAGTCTCCCTGGGAATGACAGTTTCAAGAGATTTCATTGGTTTTAGAACCTTGCCCCAACCATGGGAGTAAAACAAAAACAAACAAACAAAAAACCAGTGGAGTCTGAAGCTCACATAATGTTTTTCCCTAAAGTCTCTCTAAGCCAAATGTCCCCGGTTGTTGTATAATCGATTTTGTCTCTGACTCCCTTACATCACAGTAATTGCTCATGCGATGAGAGGCACAGTAATTGCTCATGCGATGAGAGACATGTTGCCCAGGCTGGTCTTGAACTCCTGGCCTCAAGCAATCCTCCTGCATTGGCCTCCCAAGATGCTGTGGTTATGGGCATGAACCACTGCACCTAATTTCTATTTTATGTGGCCACCAGGACTCCCGATCAATAACCGCAGCTCTTTTGGGTTTTCATGTAACATAAAATAAAGCGAAGTCTCCCTGGGAATGACAGTTTCAAGAGATTTCATTGGTTTTAGAACCTTGCCCCAACCATGGGAGTAAAACAAACAAAAACAAACAAACAAAAAACCAGTGGAGTCTGAAGCTCACATAATGTTTTTCCCTAAAGTCTCTCTAAGCCAAATGTCCCCGGTTGTTGTATAATCGATTTTGTCTCTGACTCCCTTACATCACAGTAATTGCTCATGCGATGAGAGGCATGGTATAGGAAAGAAATGTCATGAGGAGAGAGATTAAAATTAGCCTTTGAAGCTGGGTGCAGTGGCTCACGACTGTAATCCCAGCACTTTGGGAGGCCAAGGTGGGTGGGTCACCTAAAGTCAGGAGCTGGAGACCAGTCTGTCCAACATGGCCAGACCCCGTCTCTACTAAAAATACAAAAATGAGCCAGGCGTGGTGGCACTCGCCTGTAATCCCAGCTACTTGGGAGGCTAAGGCAGGAGAATTGCTTGGGCCTGGGAGGTGGAGGTTGCAGTGAGCTGAGATCGCACCACTGCACTCCAGCCTGAGCGACAGATTCTGATTCCAAAAAAAGAAAGAAAGAAAGAAAGAAAGAAAGAAAATAGAAAAAGAGGCCGGATGAGGTTCATACTTACAATTTCAGGGTTTTAAGAAGTTGAGGTGGGAGGATTGCTTGAGGCCAGGAGTTTGAGACCAGCCTGGACAACACTATGAGTTCCTCTCGCTACCAAAAATAAAAAAATTAGTGGGGCGTGGTGGCACACACCTGTAGTTCCAGCTGCCGGGGAGGCTGGGGAGGCTGAGGTGGGAGAGTCCCTTGAACCTAGGAGTTCGAGGCTGTAGTGAGCTATAACTGTGCAACTGCACTCCAGCCTGGGCAACAGAATGAGCCCCTTTCTCAAAAAAGGTAAAGATATAGGTCAAATTAACTTTAATAAGAAATTTTATTTAACCCACTTATTCAACATAGTATCTTTTAAATAGATCACTATAAATTAATATAATCAACATAGATATTATCAAGGAGATAGTTGACATTCTTTTCTTCTTTTCTTTCTTTCTTTCTTTTTTTTTGAGACGGAGTCTGGCTCTGTCGCCAGGCTGGAGTGCAGTGGCGCGATCTCGGCTCAGCGCAACCTCTGCCTCCGGGGTTCAAGCGATTCTCCTGCCTCAATCTCCCAAGTAGCTGGGACTACAGGCATGTGCCACCACGCCCGGCTAATTTTTGTATTTTTAGTAGAGATGGGGTTTCATCATGTTGGCCAGGATGGTCTCGATCGCTTGACCTCATGATCTGCCCATCTCAGCCTCCCAAAGTGCTGGGATTACAGGCATGCCCTTTCTTCTTTTCTTTTTTTTTGTTTTGATTTACTTCTTTTTAAAAATTTATTTTTAATTTATACATTATAATTGTATATATTTATGGGATACAGTGTGATGTTATAATTCTTGTATTTGCATACAATGTAGAATGATTAAATCTAATTCTTTTTTTTTTTTGCATTTATTCTTATTGGTTCTCTGAACCTCCTGGATCTGTGGTTTGGTGTTTGACATTGGTTTGGGGAAATTCTCAGTCACTTCCCTCCCTCCCTCCCTCCATCCCTTCCTTCCTTCCTTCCTTCCTTTCCTTCCTTCCTTCCTTCCTTCCTTCCTTCCTTCCTTCCTTCCTTCCTTCCTTCCTTCCTTTCCTCTTTGTTTCTTTCTTTCTTTTCTTCTTCTCCTTCTTGTTTTTCTTCTTCTGATAGTGTCTTGCTCTGTGCTCCAGGCAGGAGTGCAGTGGTGCAGTCATAGCTCACTGCAGCCTCCAGCTCCTGAGCTCAAGCGATCCTCTTGCCTCAGCCTCCCAAGTAGCTGGAATGATAGGAGCATGCCAGTCTGCCTGGTTTAAATCAAGCTAATTATTTTCTTCTTATTAAGTCTTCAAAGGCTGATTTACAGGATGTAAATCTGGAAATACTGTCTTCAAAATCTCGATTCAGACCAGCCACATTTCAAATGCTCAATAGCAACAGGTCCTCCTGACTATGACCCTGAACAGGGCGGGTCTAGAACCACAGCCTGGGATGATACATACATTGTTTGGCCTGCCTCCTTGAGACCTGACAAGCTCAAATCACACCTGTGACCCACCTTCACGTGCTGGAAAGTCAGCGTCACAGACTTGGAGAGCGACATGTTCCTTTTGGGTCCAATGGCAGCACTCACTACCTGAGAGTTCAGAAACACTCGATCCTTCTCATCCGTCTCTTCAAAAAAAGTTGCATTTATGATGTTTCCAAGAGAAGAATATGAGATAAAGGCAACGGCACTGGGACCTGAGGAAACAGAAAAATGGAATCATTTTTCTTTTCTTTTCTGTTTCTTTCTTTTTTTTTTTTTTTTTTTTTTTTTTGAGATGGAGTCTCGCTTTTGTCGCCCAGCCAGGCTGGAGTGCAGTGGCGCGATCTCGGCTCACTGCAACCTCCGTCTCCCAGGTTTAAGTGATTCTCCTGCCTCAGCCTCCAAAGTAGCTGGGATTACAGGCACGCACCACCATGCCTGGCTAATTTTTTGTCTTTTTAGTAGAGACGGGGTTTCACTGTGTTGACCAGGCTGGTCTGGAACTCCTGACCTCAGGTGATCCACCTACCTTGGTCTCCCAAAGTGCTGGAATTACAGGCATGAGCCACCGCGCTCAGCTAATTTTTGCATTTTTAGGAGAGACAAGGTTTCACCATGTTTGCTAGGCTGGTCTTAAACTCCTGACCTCAGGTGATCTGCCCACCTTGGAAAGTGTTGAGATTACAGGCATAAGCCACCATGCCCAACTCAAAAACTGAATCTTTAAAAGCGTCTCCAAAGCCAGGCAAAGTGGCACTGCCAGTGACTTGGGAGGCTGTAATCCCAGTGACTTGGGAGGCTGAGACTGGAGGATCACTTGAGCCCAGGAGGTTGAGGCTGCAGTGAACCATGATTACACCACTGCACTCCAGCCTGGGTAACAAAGCAAGATCCTGTCTCAAAAAAAAAAAAAAAAGAATTGTATTCGGTGGCATTGAGTACATTTGTAATGTTTTCATCACCTCTATGTTGTTTGAAAACATTCTCATAATCTCCAAAAGAGAGCCCATTCCCATAAGCAGTCCTCACTGAGCCCCTGGGAACAACCAGCCTGCTTTCTGTCTCTATGAGTTCACCTATTCTAGACATTTCATATAAATGGAATCATACACTGTGACCTTCTATATCTGCCGTGTTTCATTCAGCATCATGTCTTCAAAGTTCATCTGTGTTGTAGCATGCGTCAGTGCTTCATTCCTTTTTCTGACCAAATAATATTCCATTATATGGATATACCACCTTCTATTTATCCAGTCTTTCACTGATGGACATTTGAGTTATTTTCATTTTTTGGCTATTTTGAATAATGTTGCTGTGAGGACAGTGTGTTCTTACGTATATTAATTTTTTTTTTTTTTGAGACAGAGTTTCCCTTTTTTTTGTCCAGGCTGGAGTGCAATGGCGTGATCTCAGCTCACTGCAACCTCCACCTCCAGGGTTCAAGTGAGTAGCTGGGATTACAGGCACCCAGCACCACACCTGGTTAATTTTGTATTTTTTAGTAGAGATGGGGGTTTATCCATGTTGGTCAGGCTGGTCTCGAACTCCCAACCACAGGTGGTCTGCCTGCCTCGGCCTCCCAAAGTGCTAGGATTACAGGCGTGAGCCACCACACCCGGTTTACCATTTTTTAGAAGAGTCGTTCTCAGCTGGAGCTTAAATCCTGCGATCCCTGGAGGGTTCGTTATAACAGAGTGTTGGGGCCGGGCAAGGTGGCTCACACCTGTAACCCCAGCACTTTAGAAGACTGAGGGGGTGGATCAACTGAGATCAGGAGTTCGAGACCAGCCTGGTCAACATGGTGAAACCCCCGTCTCTACTAAAAATACAAAAATTAGCTGGAGGTTATGGTGCATGCCTGTAATCCCAGCTACTTGGGAGGCTGAGGCTGGAGAATCGCTTGAACCTGGGAGGCGGAGGCTGCAGTGAGCTGCGATCACGCCACTGCACTCCAGCTTGGGCGACAGAGTGAGACTCCATCTCAAAGACAAAAACAAAAAAACAAAAACAAAACAAAAAAAAGAATTTTCATACAAGCAACCCACTTTTTGCATTTTGTGGAAACATCAAAGTCTGGTAACACTGAGATGATGAATAATAATCTATTTCTTCTTACAAAGGCTGTGGGTACTGTGGACACCCTGACTTGAATCCCTGGGATTCTTGGTTTCTTTATTTTTTTTAATTTATTTTTTATTTTTAAATTTTTATTATACTTTAAGTTCTAGGGTACATGTGCACAATGTGCAGGTTTGTTACATATGTATAGTTGTGCCATGTTGGTGTGCTGCACCCATCAACTCATCAGCACCCATCAACTCGTCATTTACATCAGGTATAACTCCCAATGCCATCCCTCCTCCTTTCCGCCTTTCCCCCCTCCCCATAATAGGCCCCAGTGTGTGATGTTCCCCTTCCAGAGTCCAAGTGATCACGTTGTTCAGTTCCCACCTATGAGTGAGAACATGCGGTGTTTCGTTTTCTGTTCTTGCGATAGTTTGCTGAGAATGATGGTTTCCAGCTGCATCCATGTCCCTACAAAGGACACAAACTCATCCTTTTTTATGGCTGCATAGTATTCCATGGTGTATATGTGCCACATTTTCTTAATCCAGTCTGCCACTGATGGACATTTGGGTTGATTCCAAGTCTTTGCTATTGTGAATAGTGCCGCAATAAACATACGTGTGCATGTGTCTTTATAGCAGCATGATTTATAATCCTTTGGGTATATCCCTAGTAGTGGGATGGCTGGGTCAAATGGTATTTTTAGTTCTAGATCCTTGAGGAATCGCCACACTGTTTTCCACAATGGTTGAACTAGTTTACAGTCTCACCAACCGTGTAAAAGTGTATGCTGATGAATTCTGCTGTAAGCATCGGTGGCTCTGCCTGGGAACGTCCATGGGCGTGAATTTGTGTTTGGCCTGCACAGAGGATAGGCTGGAAGAGCTTGAAAGTTCGGCTCCGAGAACAACTCTCCACCAATGATAGATCAGAGCAGATGGACAGACATCCTAGCTCCCTCTCCCTGAATGGACAACTCAATGGCATTGCACCTCAGGTACCCCAACAGCAACCTGCTCACTCAGGTACCTACCTCATTGGCTGCCTTTACTTGCCTGTCTTACTTCACCTCTTACCTACAGTGATGGTTCATTTTACATGTCCGCTTGGCTAGGCCGTGGTCCCCAGACATGTGGCATGGATGTTGCCGTGAAAGTGTTTTAAAGATGAGATTAATGTTTAAATCAGTAGACTTTGAGTAAAGCAGATTGCCTGCTATAATGTGGGTGGGCCTCGTCCAATCAGTTGAAGGCCTCAAGAGAAAACAGACTGAGGTCTCCTGAGAAAAAGGGAGTTCTGGCCTCAGACTATCTTTGGATTCAAGCTGCAGTATCAGCTCTTCCTTGTGTCTCCTGCCTGCCTGCCCATCCTGCAGATTTTGGACATGTCGCCCTTCCCTAGCTACGTGAGCCAATTCTTTAAAATGTCTCTCCGTGTCTCTCCTCATCTCTTCCTTTCCTTCTCTCTCCCCATCTCTCTCTTCCCATCTCTCTCTCCCTATTTCTCTCTCCCCCTCTGCCTTTCCACATCTCTTTCTCTCCATCTCTCTCATCTCTTGCTCTCTCTCTCTCTCTCCTTTCTTCCCACACCCCCACACCCTACACTCTTTAGCTCTTTAATTATGATTCTCTGGAGAAGCCTGAGGAATATACCCACTGTTGTTCCTGGGGATCGCCTCCCGAAGAAACTTCTCACACTTCTTTCAGGGTTTGCTTCTGGGTGAACCCAAACTGGGACACAGGGAGAACAGCACTCCCCCACCCTCCCAAACTGCAAAGAAGTCCCTCCCATACTGAATGATAGAAAAGTTGGAGGGTAACAAGCCCATTAGGGGAGAGCCCAGTGGGCTTCTTTCCCCACGCCTCACACAATGACATGGCTCTGTGTGAAGGATTCTGAATGCAGCCATCCCGCGTACCTTGTGTATCTTTCTGGATGACGTCATTGCAATGGATGTCCATTGAGTTCATTTGTACGTTCAAGTTGAATGTCTTTCTTTCTTCAGAGCAATTGTCTGTAATCACTCGAGTTTCAATAGCTGGTAAGAAAAGCAAGGGGCAGGCTTAGTGATATGGTAAGAAGCTTTAAAAGCATGCATAGGAACGGGACACGGTGGTGCATGCCTGTAATCCCAACTACTCAAGAAGCTGAGGCAGAAGGATTGCTTGAGCCCAGGAATTCAAGCCCAGCCAACACAGTGAGATGCTGCCTCTAAAAAAAATGTTCATAGCAACATAAATGGCTCACATTTACTGAATGTCTAGGATGTGTCGGGCACTGAGCTAAGAGCCTTACACATGTCACCTTATAATAACCTATAACCTCACGAGGGACCATTCTATAGATGAGGAAACTGAAGTCAGAAGTTAGGTAAGACTCTAACTCCTGAAACCAAGTTCTTAACTAACAGCTCCTAGCATACACCTTTGAAGAAGCAGTTCTATTTCTAGGAGTTTATTCTCAGAAAGCGATTGTGGACGGAGGGCAGATTTAGCTACAAGAAAGTTCATAGCAGCTTCAGTGACAATGGTGGAAAATGGAGGATTATCTAGATGTTCAACAAGAAGCAATTGATGAAATAAGTGATGACATGGGCTGGGCACAGTGGCTCACACTTGTAATCCCAGCACTTTGGGAGGTCATAGTAGGTGGATTGCTTGAGGCCAGGAGTTCAAGACCAGCCTTGCCAACATGGTGAAACCCCATCTCTACTAAAAATACAAAAATTAGCTATAGGGTGTGGTGGCATGTACCTGTAACCTCAGCTACTTGGGAGGCTGAGGCACAAGAATAGTTTGAACCGGGAGGCAGAGGTTGTAGTGAGCTGAGATCGTGCCACTGCACTCCAGCCTGGGTGATAGAGTGAGACTCTGTCTCAAAAATAAGTAAGTAAGTAAGTAAATAAATAAATAAGTGATGACATATCCCTATGGTGGGGAACCAGGCTTCAAAGAAAAATAAAGTCACAAATGAATTGCAATCAAGAAAAATTCATGAGAAAAAAGGTAACCATGTGAGTGATGGATGTGTTAGCTAATTTGATTGTGGTTATCATTCCACAATATATATCAAGTCATCCTATTGCACACCTTAAATATATACAATTTTATTTATCAATTACACCTTAATAAAGCTAAAAAGTTAAGCTCTTGAAAATATGTATCTTAAAAGCAGACAGCCCAAGACTGGCTGTGTGTTGGAAATTGTTGAATTGGGTGATGGGTACATCCGGGATTTTATTCTCCTATCTCCTTTCGTGTGTATTAAAAGGTTAAAAAAAAAAAAAAAAGAAGCAAGCAACAAAATAGCACATCAAGAATGACACTATTTTATGGCTAGGTGCAGTGGCTCATACCTGAATTCCCAGCACTTTGGGAGGCTCAGACTGATTGATTGCTTGAGGTCAGGAGTTCGAAACCAGCCTGGCCAACGTGGTGAAACCCCATTCTACTAATATACAAAAATTAGCTGGGCATGGTGGCAGGTGCCTGTAATCCCTGCTACTAGGGAGGCTGAGGCAGGAGAATTGCTTGAACCCAGGAGGCGGAGGTTTCAGTGACCTAGATCGTGCCACTGCACTCCAGCCTGGGCAATAGAGCGAGACTTCATCTCAAAACAAACAAACAAACAAACAAAAAAGAATGACACTATTTTAACATTCTAGAAACTATTACTGGCTTGTCTAATATTGACTCTCAGTTTTTGAACAGTTTACAAGTATTTAATTATGTATTAATGTTTTTGGCCTATTGTTTCATTCATTTAGTATGTTTTAATGAATAGAAATTCTTGAGCTCAGTATAAGTGAATTTATTGTTATTATTATCATTATTAGTGAGATGGAGTCTTGCTGTTTTGCCCAGGCCGGAGTGCAGTGGCACGCTCTCAGCTAACTGCAACCTCTGTCCCCCGGGTTCAAGCAATTCTCCTGCCTCAGCCTCATGACTAACTGGGATTACAGGCATGCACCACCATGAGTGGCTAATTTTTTTGTTTTTTTTTTTAGTAGAAACAGGGTTTCACCATGTTGGCCAGGCTGGTCTCGAACCCCTGACCTCAGATCATCCATCTGCCTCAGCCTTCCAAAGTGCTAAGATTACAGGCATGAGGCACTGTGCCTGGCCGAATTTATTATTATTATTATTATTATTTTTATTTTCTGAGACGGAGTCTCGCTCTGTCACCCAGTCTGGAGTGTAGTGGTGCAATCTTGGCTCACTGCAACCTCTGCCTCCGAGGTTCAAATGATTCTCCTGACTCAGCCTCCCGAGTAGTTGAGATTACAGGTGTGCACCACCACACCTGGCTAATTTTTGTATTTTTAGTAGAGACAGGTTTTTGCCATGTTGGCCAGGCTGATCTTGAACTCCTGACCTCAGGTGATCTGCCCACCTCGGCCTCCAAAAGTGCTAGGATTACAGGCGTGAGGCACCTCACCCTGCCCACAATGTTAATTTCATCATCCATTATATTATCGCTTGTTACTCTGTGTTATTTTTATAAAACCTTAATTTGACTTATTTTTATATTATTTAATATTTTCCAGATTAAACTATGTGTTTCACATAAAAAAGAATGACACTATTTTAGTAATATTTCATAATACTAAAGAGTGGAAAGATAGAATAATCATAATTATAGCAATTACTACTGTAGCTTTTTTTCTTTTTTAAAAGTTTGAGTCATTTAGCTTCTGAGGTATCCTAGTCCTAAGTGCATTACATGCACTTTTATTATCTCTATTAAATTTTTTTTTCGAGGCAGGCTCTCACTCTGTTGTCCAGGCTGGAGTGCAGTGGTGCAATCTCAGCTCACTGCAGCCTCAAACTCCTGAGCTCAAGCGATCCTCCCACCTCAGCCTCCCAAGTAACTGGGACCACATTTGCGCACCACCATGTCCAGTTAATATTATCCCCATTTTATTGACAGGAGAATGAAGCCCAATGAAGTGAGGGCACTGGTCTCAGATCAAACAATCAGGACATGGCAAAATCAGGAGAGATGAGATTTATTTGTATTCTGGAAAATAGTTTAATTTTGAACCAAAGTATCCAGATTCCAGTTTTCCAAGAAGAATAGGCACTGACTTTTTCAAAATCTGTTTTTTTTTTTTTTTAGGTGAAGTCTTGCTCTGTCACCCAGGCTGGAGTGCATTGATTTAGGGTCAATGCAACCTCTGCCTCCTGGGTTCAAGTGATTCTCCCACCTCAGCCTCCAGAGTAGCTGGGATAACAGTCGCGAGCCACCACGCCCGGCTAATTTTTGTATTTTTAGTAAAGATAAGGTTTCACCATGTTGCCCAGGCTGGTCTCAAACTACTGGCCTCAAGTGATCCACCCACCTTGGCCTCCCAAAATGCTGGGATTATAGGTGTGAGCCACCCTGCCCAGCCAAAAACTGTTTTTTTTTTTTTTAATGAGACAGGTTCTTGTTCTGTCATCCAGGTTGGAGTGGCAATGGCATGATCATAGTTCACTGCAGCCTCAAACTCCTAGGTTCAAGCCATCCTCTCCCTCAGCCTCCCGAGTAGCTGAAAGTGCACGTACAAGCCACTGCACCTGGCAAATTTTTAAAATTTTTTAAAAGGATGGGTTCTCGCTATGCTGCCCAGGCTGGTCTTGAGCTCCTGGGCTCAAGTAATTCTCCCACCTTAGCCTCCCAAAGTGCTGGGAATACAGGCGTGAGCCATCATGCCTGGTCCTCAAACTACATTTAAGTGAAAATTCCAGACCTGGGATTGGAAACTATTGCCAATCTTCTGAATAAACAACTTTATTAGGAATAATTGATGTCTAACCAGCTGCACATATTAAAGTGTACAATCTGGTGAGTTTTGTTTCATACACCTCTGAAACCAACACCACAATCAAGGCAGGACGATTTCCACCACCCCTAATAGTTTCCCCAGATTTTCTCATGCCCCTGCCACCCCTCCTTCCTGCCCCTTGCTGTCACTCTAGATAAGTTTGCGTTTTCTAGAATTTATATGCATTTATGTAATTTACATAAATGGACTCATGTGGTCTATTCAATTGTTTTTTTTCTAATTGCCTAACCCAGATCCCAGCTGCTAACCAGTCCCCAGTGTGTATCAGGCCTCATTATTGTCTTACCCACACTACTGTTTTGTATTTTCTGGACTTTTTGTTCTGGAGCTTTCAAGGCAGTTTCTAGAACTTTCGATTCCACATCCCGGAGAATAGTGGTAGCTGTGGATGAGATTTCTTGCCTCCCTTCTGTTCTCCATAAAGTCTGATTGGTGAGAAGTGACTCAAATGTGTCCACAATCTTTTGCAGCTTTGAAGACATAAAGAATTTTCATTTTTAAAAAATGTAATCTGGTAACTCCCATATCCAAAAGAGCAGTAGAAAGGATGAGAAAGCAGGCTCTGGAGCTGGAGGAACCACGTTCAAATCCTGGCACTTCACCATGTCCCAGCTGTGTGCCCTGGGGCAAGTCACTCAATCTCTCTGTGCCCCAGGACAGGAAAAGGAAATCCTAGGGTTTTCTGGAGAATTAAATGAGTTAACAGATGCTACGCTTTTAGGACAGTGTCTGTACTTGGCAAAAGCTATGTAAAGGTGAGTCATTACTATTATTTTTGAGACAGAGTCTTGCTCTGCCGCCCAGGCTGGAGCGCAGTGATGGGATCTTGCCTCACTGCAGCCTCCAGCTCCTGGGTTCAAGCGATTTTCACGCCTCAGCCTCTTGAGTAGCTGGGACTACAAGTGCAGGCCACCATGCTTGACTAATTTTTTAATTTTTAATTTTTTTTTGGTATAGACAGGGTCTTGTATGTTGCCCATGCTGGTCTGGAGCTCCTGGGCTCAAACGATTCTCCTGCCTTGGCCTTCCAAAGTAATGGGATTATAGGAGTGAGCCACCGTGCCCGGTTGGGTTAGTTATTATTAACATTTTTTGCCAACAAGGTAGTGATAAGTTTGTTAGAAATAGACCAGTCGTTCTCGATTGGGGAGTGATTCTTTTTTTTTGAGACGGAGTCACCCTCTGTCGCCCAGACTGGAGTGCAGTGGTGCGATCTTGGCTCACTGCAAGCTCCGCCTCCCGGGTTCACGCCATTCTCCTGCCTCAGCCTCCCTAGTCGCTGGGACTACAGGCACCCGCCACCACGCCTGGCTATTTTTTTTTGTATTTTTAGTAGAGACGGGGTTTCACCATGTTAGCCAGGATGGTCTGTATCTCCTGACCTTGTGATCCTCCCGCCTCGGCCTCCCGAAGTGCTGGGATTACAAGTGTGAGCCACCGCGCCTGGCCTGGGGGGCGATTCTTCTACTCCCTCCACAGGGCACATGTGGCGATGGCTGGAGACATTTTTGGTTGTCACTGTCACAACAAGGGAGTGGCTGCCACTACTGAAGCAGTGTCATTGTTTGGGGCAAATACCCGGAGTTTGTCATCTTGCGCCAAGATTAAGGACATGGACACGCATGAAGAGTAAGTTTAGGAGTGGAGGTTTAATAGGCAAAAGAAAGAGAAAAGAGAGCTGTGAGCAGTGGCTCATGCCTGAAATTCCAGAATTTTGGGAGGCTGAGGTGGGGGTGGATCACCTGAGGTCAGGAGTTCAAGACCAACCTGACCAACATGGTGAAACCCTGTCTCTACTGAAAATGCAAAATTAGCCAGGGGTGGTGGCACATGCCTGTAATCCCAGCTACTTGGGATGCTGAGGCAGGAGAGTGGCTTGAATCTGGGAGGCGGAGGAGGCAAAGGTTGTAGTGAGCCAAGATTGCATCGCTGCACTCTAGACTGGGCGACAGAGCGAGACTCCATCTCAAAAACAAAAAAAGAAAAAAAGAAAGAAAGAAAGTAGAACAGCTCCCTCCCTTGCGAGAAAGAGGGATGCCCGAAAGGAAAATCCCGCTCACTGACTAGATTTTACAGTCAGGCGCTAGATTTTATAGTCAGGCTGAGGAGGCGGTGTCTGAATTACGTAGGGCCCACAGATTGGTTGGGCCAGGTGTGACATTTACATACTGCTCGGGGAAGGCCGGTTGCCCTACCATCTTGTCTGCTCCTTACTGTACACATGACTGGCAAAGAGAAGGGAAGATGGAGCTGCCATTTTGATCATGTCTAGTCTCAGGTAGCTTTTTCGTATTGGCACAGCTGCTGGCATTGACCCATAAGCTTCCAGCTTGCTTGTCTATGTCTGCAGCTCGATTTTACAGGCTGCTCTTTGTTAGAAAATAAAATGATTCACTTTGGGAGGCCGAGGCAGGTGAATCACGAGGTCAGGAGATCGAGACCATCCTGGCTAACATGGTAAAACCCCGTCTCTACTAAAAATACAAAGAATTAGCCGGGCGTGGTGGCGGGCACCTGTAGTCCTACTTGGGAGGCTGAGGCAGGAGAATGGCGTGAACCCGGGAGGTGGAACTTGCAGTGAGCTGAGAGTGAGTGCCACTGCACTCCAACCTGGGAGACAGAGCGAGACTCCGTCTCAAAAAAAAAAAAAAAAAAAAAGAAAAGAAAATGATTTTGGAGCTGCTCTTTGTTAAAAGGAAAACCTCACTGAGGACTTCCTTACCCTCACTATCTGCCTAAGTAATTTCTTTTTAACTCCTATATCACTATTTATTTATCTGTTTTTGAGATGGAGTCTTGTTCTGTCACCCAGGGTGGAGTGCAGTGGCGTGATCTCGGCTCACTGCAACCTCCGCCTCCTGGATTCAAGTGATTCTCCTGCTTCAGCCTCCTGAGTAGCTGGGATTACAGGCATGCACCCCCATACCCAGCTAATTTTTGTATTTTTTGTACACATGGGAATTTCATCATGTTGGCCAGGCTGGTCTTGAACTCGACCTCAGGTGATTCACCCACCTTGGCCTCCCAAAGTGCTGGGATTACAGGTGTGAGCCACCATGCCCGGCCTGATTACTTAATTCTTTATTTGTTCATTATTTCAATGACAATTCCTTGAACTCCTAATTTGGGGTTGGTCTTCTTTCCTTCCTCAAGAAGCTCACAGTCTAGAGATTGATTACATGATGTAATTACATATTTATATAAATGCTGTCAGTTGGCCAGAGACAATAATGGATACCATTGGATACTTGGATCTCTTTTTTGCAGCAGTGTGGCAGGCCTTAATGTACTCTGTCTTGGTCTGTCTTTCTTGGTCTGGGATAGATTCCTGTCTTTAGATGGCAGCGCGCACACACACACACACACACACACACACACACTCACACACTGTCATATGTAGGTACCTACGCGCACACTGTGTGTGTCTATACCTATATCTATAAGTAGATATAGATATAGACCCCTCTTGGTATATGCACGGTATTGGTTCCAGGACCGTCCATATATGCTCAAATCCAATCCGTGCATACTCAAGTCCCATAGGGTCCTTTGGAACTCGCTCATGAAAAGTCAGTCCTTCCTCTTTGTGGGTTTTGCATCCTGACTATATATATATATATATATATTTTTTTTTTTTTTTTTTTTTTTTTTTTTTGAGACAGAATCTTGCTCTGTCACCCAGCCTGGAGTGCAGTGGCAGCATCTCCTCTCACTCTCACTGCAGCCTCTGCCTCCTGGATTCAAGTGATTCTTCTCCCGCAGCCTCCGGGGTTGCTGAGATTACAGGCATGCGCCACCATACCTGGCTAATTTTTGTATTTTTATTAGAGATGAGGTTTCACCATGTTGGCCAGGCTGGTCTCGAACTCCTGACCTCAAGTGATCCACCTGCCTCGGCCTCCCAAAGTGCTGGGATTACAGGCTTGAGCCGCCGTGCCCAGCCCGGCAGTACTGTATTTTTGATTCACATTTGGTTGAAAAATGTCCTTGTGTAAATGGATCCCCGCAGTTCAAATGTGTGCTGTTCAACTGTATATATAGTGATATGTCTATAGTGAGCTGGATAATGATACACATTTAGTGGTATACCTAATGGTATATCTATATCTATCTATAGGTATATGTATATATACCACAGATATATATATAATATATAAATATGTACTATTGTGTAGTAATATGATATATGGTAATCATATATATTTACATATAATATGTACTTTATCCTGAATAATATATATTTTTATATAATATATATTTTGTCCTAAATCCATCCCCATTTGCTCACTTTGGGCTTTGTAAATATTTGTTACTGATGTTGTTACCTGGGTAGGGTCCGGGGATCAGCCTGCACTCACCTCTTTCTTGCCTTGGGTTGTCTTTGAGGAGTTCGTGTCTGCAAAAGACATCATGATGGAGTTACTATTGGAACTGAGAGTGACCAGGCAGAGGGGTGGGCAGGTGGGGTAAGTAATGGGGTAGGCAACTTTGCACCTAGAAGGTGAAAGCCTGAACTCATAGTCTTTATCTGTTGTTTATTTTTTAAAAAATTTAAAAATTTTTAATTTAAAAATATTTATTTTTATTTTTATTTTTATTTTGAGACAGAGTCTCACTCTGTTGCCCAGGCTGGAGTGCAATGGTGCAACCTTGGTTCACTGCAACCTTCACCTCCTGGGTTCAAGTGATGCTTATGCCTCAGCCTCCTGAGTAGCTGGGATTACAGGCATGCACCTGCAGGCCCGGCTAATTTTTGTATTTTTAGTAGAGAGGGGGTTTCACCATGTTGGCCAGGCTGGTCTCAAACTCCTGACCTCGTGATCCGCCTGCCTCAGCCTCCCAAAGGGCTGGGATTACAGGCATGAGCCATTGCACCCGGCTTTGTTTTTTTTTTTTAGACAGGGTCTCATTCTGCTCATTCTGTTGCCCAGGGTGGAGTGCGGTGGCACAATCTTGGCTCATTGCAATCTCAGCCTCCTGGACTCAAGCAATCCTCTGCTTCAGCCCCCCGAGTAGCTGGGATTATAGGCATGTACCACCACACTCGGCTAATTTTTTTTTTTTTCATATTTTTTGTAGAGATGGGGTTTTGCCATGTTGGCCAGTCTGGTCTCAAATTCCTGACCTCAGGCGATCCACCCACCTTGGCCTCCCAAAATGTGAGGATTACAGGCGTGAGCCACCGCGCCTGGCCTCCAAATTCTTTTATTCCAGCTTGACTGGAAATTAGAACCGAAATAGCCAAGAAAACAGAAAATTAGAAGCCGCCTGTGTTTAAAGTCAGCCTGGATGGGAATGATAACCGAAACAGAAGCATCAACGTCTGATCAGCTGTTAATGAAGACTTTTGTGTTGGTTCCTGTGCTTAGTGAGGGCATCTCTACTTTAGAAATTCGAGGAAGGGTGCACCTGTAGACCCAGCTGCTTGGGAGGCTGAGGCAGGAGGATCACATGAGCCCAGGCGTTTGAGACCAGCCTGGCCAACATGGCAAAACCCTGTCTCTACCAAAAATAAAAAATTAGCTGGGCATGGTGGCGGGTGCCTGTAATCCCAGCTACTTGGGAGGCTGAGGCAGGAGAATCGCTTGAACCTAGGAGGCAAAGGTTGCAGTGAGCCGAAGTCCACCACTGCACTCCAGCCTGGTAGACAGAACGAGACTCTCTCTGAAAAAAAAAAAAGAACAAGGAAAGGCTAGCAAATGTTTACATATGTTTTATCATCATGCTGAGGTTAAATCTGTACTTATTCTACGTCTTGGTTTTCAGCTCAGTCTATTTGCTTGAAAGCACAAACAGCTTTGTTTTAATACTGAACATTTTATTTTAAGAGTTCAAGAACTTTGACTTACAAGCCTGAGTCTAGAATATGTTTGTTATAGGAAGCCGTATTCATTGTAGAGAATTGCCCTTTTGAACCAAAGCTACACACTTTATCACTGGGCGGGGATGTGGGTTGCTTAGAGCTGCCAGCCTTGGTAATAACGAGCCCCAAATGGGCTCAGTCTTTGTAAAAGGATGGTGCAGAACTCTTAACATTAGGAAAACAACCAAAGGCATTTTTCTTTTTTGTAAAATAAGACAAATTTAAGAGATTAACATCAGAACCCAGGTAGAATCACTGTCTGCCTCTACACTGTCAATAGAGGTGCACATTGCTTAGTAAAAGACAGATTTACGGCTGGGCGCTGTGGCTTATGCCTATAATCCCAGCACTTTGAGAGGCCAAGGCAGGAGGATTGCTTGAGACCAGGAGTTTGAGGCCAGCCTGGGTGACTTAGTGAGAATCCCATCTCTACAAAAAACGAAGAAATTAACCAGGTATGGTGGCTCACATCTATAATCTCAGCTACTCAGGAGGCTGACGTGGGAGGATTGAGCCTAGAAGTTCAAGGCTGTAGTGAGCTTTGATGGTGCCACTGCACTTCAGCCTGGGTGACAGAGTGAGACCCCATCTCTGAAGAATTTTTAAAAAGTCTCTCTTATTATCCCAACAGTAGCCAATACCTCATGGGTGGTCTACCAAGTCTCATCTCTTTTTCCCATATAGACTTTGCCCATCCGTGTTTTCCATGGGAGTGGTCATATTTATATGACACAGCATCTCTCCCTGGACACCGATCCACGGGTGCACATGAGGCTCAAACTGGGCCAACGTGTTCATTCCCGAGGAATTTGCAGTGGGGTCTCAGAGAGAGAGTCAACTGATCTATCTTTGGTTGGTTGGGGGAAAACAAAAACAAAAACAAAACAAAACAAAAACAAAAACAAAACAAAACAAAAACATGGTAAGATCTGGAGCGGTTGGTGGTCATATTTCCCCCCCCCCCTTTTTTTTTTTTTGAGACAGAGTTTCGCTCTGTTACCCAGCATGGGGTGCAGTGGTGCGATCTTGTCTCACTACCACCTCCGCTTCCTGGGATCAAGCGATTCTTGTGCCTCAGCCTCCCCAGTAGCTGGATTACAGGCACCCACCACCACACCCAGCTAATTTTTGTATTTTTAGTAGAAATCGGGTTTCGCTATGTTGGCCAGGCTGGTCTTGAACTCCCGGTCTTGAGTGTTCTTTTTTGTAAAATAAGACAAATTTAAGAGATTAACATCAGAACCCAGGTAGAATCACTGTCTGCTTCTACACTGTCAATAGAGGTGCACATTGCTTAGTAAAAGACAGATTTACGGCTGGGCACTGTAGCTTATGCCTATAATCCCAGCACTTTGGGAGGCCAAGGCAGGAGGATTGCTTGAGACCAGGCCTTGGCCTCCCAAAGTACTGGGATTACAGGCGTGAGCCAACCCTCCCGGCCGATGGACATATTTTCTGTCCTGTGGTCTAGGAAGCAGAGAAAGCCAGCCTGCAGTGAAAGAGAAGAAAGGAGTAGACCCAAAGACGATCAGAGACAGGGAATAGGAGATGCACACTAGGGGTGTCGAGTCCCAGTTTTAGTTAATTCCAGAAGCCCAGCTGCATTCCTGTCCTTGCAGGGCATGGCCATGCATCCTTTTCATAAACGCTTCTTTTCTGCCTGTTAGCCTGAGTGAGTTTCTCTTCCTTGCAATTCCAAGAATGTGGTCTCAATCACCACCTTATCACTTCCTCCATCTCCAAACTACAGTTCCCCTTCTCACCCCATTATTTCCCTCAACTTGAACTTCCTTCTTTCCTTCTAGTTCCCTGCAGAACATAAAAACCATATCGTGGCCCCACAACAAGTACATATTTTCTGATGTGAGAGTCAATAAAAAATGAGGAAGGACTCCTGTCTGTAAGAAGTCCCAGCACTTTGGGAGGTTGAGGCCGGTGGATCAAAAAAATTAGCTCGGAGTTGTGGTGCACGTCTATCATCTCAGCTACTCGGGAGACTGACACAGGAGAATCGCTTGAGCCCAGGAGGCGGAGGTTTCAGCCACTGCACTCCAGCCTGGGCTACAGAGCGAGACTCTGTCTCAAAACAAAACAAAACAAAACAAGCAAACGAGAAAATAGAGGAAGGAAGGAGGACACAAATGTTCTTTTTTTTTTTTTTTTTTTTTTTTTTTTTTTTTTCTTCCTTTGCATGATCAGTGGATTCCTCACTGAACTCTCCTTCGCTTCCTTCCCCCCGACTCAGGGACCACTGTGGAGTTTTTATTTTGTAACGTTTATATTACTGGTGATCTCTACCTCTGACCGCCCGTCTCCTCCAACTGGACAGCTTGACCCCCCCTGACATGTTCTTCCTGACAGGTACTGGAATCTGATGTCTCCATGGGTCAACCACAGCGACAGTAGAAACTTCCTTCGACATTGTGACATGCGGCGTTTGATCCACAATATACACTATAGGGTGGTCCACATTCATTAATATCTGGAACACGAAGAAGGAATTGTGTCATTCATTCAGCAAAGATTTATTGAGCATCTACTATGTGTCAGGAGTTGCGCTCTTTACCCCAGGGTCTGTCCTGGCTTTCCGAGACAAATCAGTTTAGGTAATGGTTATCTTGGTTTTTTGCCGTCTTCATTGACTTTGGTAGGGTTCTTCAAGAAGCAGACGTTGAGATGAGGATGTAAGTACAAGTACTTTATTTGGGAGGGGATCCCAGGAAACACTGGGAGGGAAGTCGTGAAATGAAACAAGAAACTCTCTTTTCTTTCTGATACACAGTCTCGCTCTGTCATCCAGGCTGGAGTGCAATGGCAGGATCTCGGCTTTCTGCAACCTCTGCCTCCTGAGTTCAAGCAATTCTCCTGTCTCAGCCTCCCAAATAACTGGGATTACAGGCAAGCACCACCATGCCTGGCTGATTTTTGTATTTTTAGCAGAGACAGGGTTTCACTATGTTGGCCAGGCTGGTCTCAAACTCCTGACCTCAGGTGATCCATCTGCCTCGGCCTCCCAAAGTGCTGGGATTACAGGCGTGAGCCACCGTGCCTGGCTGAAACAAGAAACGATCTCAAATGAACAGCCAAGTTTCCAAAACAGCCCCCGTTTTGCCTCCCTTTTGCTCCTGTCTCTGGATGACTGGCAAATTACCCCTGGACAGGTGCAGGGGTCACACCTGTAATCCCAGCACTTTGGGAGGCCGAGGCGGGAGGATTGCTTGAGCTCAGGAGTTTGAGACTAGCCTGGACAACATGGTGATAAACCATCTCTACAAAAAATAAAAAAAAAATTAGCTGGGCGTGGTGGCACGCCTGTAGTCGCAGCTACTTGAGCGGCTTGATTCCAGGAGTTGGAGGCTGCAGTGAGTGGCTTATTTATTTTGATCAGAGAGTCTCGATCTGTCGCCTAGGCTGGAGTGCAGTGGTGCAATCTCGGCTCACTGCAACCTCTGCCTCCCAGATTCAGGCTATTCTCATGCCTCAGCCTCTTGAGTAGCTGAGATTATAGGCGCCCACCACCATGCCCAGCTAAGTTTTGTATTTTTAGTAGAGATGGGGTTTTGCCATTTTGGCCAGGCTGGTCTCGAACTCCTGACCTCAAGTGATCTGCCCACCTCGGCCTCCCCAAGTGCTGGGATTACAGGCTTGAACCACTGTTTCCAGCCTGTGGTGAGCTTTGATCATGCCACATTAGTCCAGCCTGGGCAACAGAGCAAGACCCTGTCTCTAAAAATAATAATAAAATAATAATAATAAAATACTTTACCGTTACATGTCTCCAAGGGGAATGTGAATAGTTTCTGCCCAGATCCAGAAATATATCCACTGTTGCAGGTGCAGTGACTGTTACTGACACAGGAAGCATTTGGGGGGCAGTTACAGGAAGCTGCAGGGAGAAGAGAGGCAGGTTAAATGGACTGGGGTCAGAAACTCTCCTGTTATAATTAGGCCCTGCCTCTGGATCACCTGAGGTAAGGAGTTCAAGACAAGCCTGGTCAACATGCTAAAACCCCATCTCTACTAAAAATACAAAAAATAGCCAGGTGTGGTGGCTCATGCCTATAATCCTAGCTACTCAGGAGGCTGAGGCAGGAGAATTGCTCGAACTCGTGAGGTGGAGGTTGCAGTGAGCTGAGATTGCACCACCGCAGGAGAATTGCTCGAACTCGTGAGGTGGAGGTTGCAGTGAGCTGAGATTGCACCACCGCACTCCAGCCTGGGTGACAGAGGGAGACTCCGTTTCAAAACATATATATTTGTTACATAGGTATACGTGTGCCATGTTGGTTTGCTATACCCATCAACTCGATATTTACATTAGGTATTTCTCCTAATGCTATCCCTCCCCCAGTCCCCCACTCCCCTGACATATTATATACGTAAATAATAATAATAATAATGAGGCCTCGCCTCTGGGCAGGGCCTTTCAAGGCTGAGGAAACCTGTGTCTTTTCCTCTTGTGAGATCTAAGCACATTAAAAAATTAGAGTGTCCAGGCACGGTGGCTCACTCCACCTGGTGAGAATTTTCACATGGTGAAACCCCGTCTCTACTGAAAAATCCAAAATTAGCCAAGTGTGGTGGCAGGTGCCTGTCATCCCAGCACTTTGGGAGGCTGAGGTGGGTGGATCACCTGAGGTCAGGAGTTCAAGACCAGCCTGACCAACATGGTGAAACCCCGTCTCTACTAAAAATACAAAATTAGCCGAGTGTAGTGGCTCATGCCTGTAATCCCAGCTACTCAGGAGGTTGAGGCAGGAGAATTGCTTGAACCCGGGAGGCGGAGGTTTCAGAGAGCCAAGGTCATACCATTGCAATCTCACCGTGGTGAGAAGCATGGTGAGTGGCATGGTGAGCATGCCTATTAACATCTGTAATTCCAATGCTTTAGGAGGCCAAGGTAGGAGGATTCCTTGAGGTTGGAGTTGGAGAGCAGCCTGGGTAACATAGCAAGACGCTATTGCTATAAAAAATAGTTTAAAAATTAGCCAGGCATGGTGGTATGTGCCTGTAGCCCCAGCTACTCTGGAGGCTGAAGTGGGAGGATTGCTTGAGCCCAGGAGTTTGAGGCTGCAATGAGTCGTGGTCATGTCATTGCACTGTAACCTGGGTGACAGAGTGAGGCTCTGTCTCTAAAACAAACAAAAAAATTTGAATTTCTAGGGTACCATGGGAGATAGATTCTGATCATGGTATATGTTAAGGTATTTTTTCTTTAAGCTTCATGATCATGAAAATGATAAATTCACAGAATTGAAAAAAAAAATCCAACAATAAGTCTCTTATTACCCCAGATTCTGAGCTGTCTACTGCCTATTGTATACTTTTCAGAAAAATTCCAATCCATAAACACACATATGTGCATCCTTTTTTTTTACATTATAGGAACATAATACACATACCGCTCTGTTCTTTGGTTTTCATGTAAAATTTTGCCTGAGATTTTTTTCCACAGCTTCACGTGTGGAGAAACCTCATTATTTTAAAAGGCATTGCAGTGTTCATCCTGGGGATGGACAGTGCCAAATATGCAACTGAAGCAGGGGTGTAATTGACCATGCACGCAAGTCTTAATGCATTTTGGATTTTGTTTTATTTTACTTTATTTTTTAAGAGATAGGGTCTCGCTCTATTGCCCGGGCTGGCGTGCAGTGGCATGATCATAGCCCACTGCATCCTCAATCTCCTGGGCTGAAGTGATCCTCCTGCCTCAGCCTTCTGAGTGGCTCAGATTACAGGCATGTGCCAAAATGCCCAGCTAATTAAAAATTTTTTTTTGTAGAGATGGGGGTCTTGCTGTGTTGCCCAGGCTGCTCTCTTAACTCCTTGGGCTCAAGTGATCTACCTGCCTTGACCTCCCAAAGCACTGGGATTACAGGTGTGAGCCACCATGCCTAGTCTTTGGAATTTTATTTTTGGGTAAAAATAAAATTATATGTTATATAATTTGTATGTTATAATATAATATATAACAATATATAATTGTATATTATAATATATAAGTTATATATTTATACACATATATACACATACACACATACATATATATATATATATAGTGTTTTCTTTATCCACTTGTTGATTGATGGGCATTTGAGCTGGTTCCATAGTTTTGCAATTGTGAATTGTGCTGCTGTAAACATGCTTGTGCAAGTATGTTTTTGTATGATGGTTCTTTTCCTCTGGGTAGATACCCAGTCGTGGGATTGCTGGATCAAATGGTAGAGCTACTTTTAGTTCTTTAAGGAATCTCCACAGTGTTTTCCAAGGTGGTTGTACTAGTTTTAATTCCCACCATCGGCGTAAAGTGTTCCCTTTTCACTACATCCAAGCCAACATCTATTATTTATTTATTTATTTTTGGGACAGAGTCTCGCTCTGTCGCCCAGGCTGGAGTGCAGTGGCTTGATCTTGGCTCACTGCAAGCTCCGCCTCTTGGGTTCACGCCATTCTCCTCCCTCAGCCTCCCGACTAGCTGGGACTACAGGCACTCGCCACCACGCCAGGCTAATTTTTTTGTGTGTATTTTTAGTAGAGATGGGGTTTCACCATGTTAGCCAGGATGGTCTCGATCTCCTGACCTCGTGATCTGCCTGCCTCGGCCTCCGCTGGGATTACAGGCGTGAGCCACTGCGCCCGGCCATTATCTATTAGTTTTTTGATTATGGCCATTCTTGCAGGAGTAAGGTGGTATTGCATTGTGGTTTTGATTCGCATTTCCCACATAATTAGTCATGTTGAGCATTTTTTCATGTTTCTAGGCCATTTTTTTTTTTTTTTTTAAAGACAGAGTCTTGCCCTGTTGCCCAGGCTGGAGTGCAAAGGTGTACTTTTGCACTCCACTGTAGCCTCCACCACCCAGGTTCAAGCGATTCTCCTGTCTCAGCCTCCCGAGTAGCTGGGGTTACAGATGCACCCCACCACACCTGGCTAATTTTTGTGTTTTTGGTAGAGACGGGGTTTCACCATGTTGGCCAGGGTGGTTTCAAACTCCCGACTTCAAGTGACCCACCTGCCTCAGCCTCTCAGAGTGCTGGGATTACAGGCGTGAGCCACTGTGCCTGGCCTGTTGGCCATTTGTATATAGAAGAGGTGGTATTGTACTCAGTGGAGCAAAATAGTCATCCACTAAGTATGCACAATTCTCCTAGGGGGACAGGGAGAGGCGGTACCCTCTGCCACTCGTTTCTTTCCTATCCCTTCCCTTCCTGCCTAGGTTCTGCTTAGTCAAAGTCAGCTCTAAAAATCTACTCTTAATCTTTTCTAGGACTTAATACCTTACCATACTGAGTATGCTGGTTTACTCAGTATGGGGAGTGGGAGGCTGGGGGAGGGATAGCATTAGGAGATATACCTAATGTAAATGTCAAGTTGATGGATGCAGCACACCAACATGGCACATGTATGCCTACGTAACAAATCTGCACGTTGTGCACATGTACCCTAGAACTTAAAGTATCATTAAAAAAAAAAGAAAAAAAGGAAATTTACCATCTTAGCCATTACTAAGTGTACAGTTCAGTGGAATTTAATACATTCATAATGTTGTGGAACCATCTCCATAACTGTTTTCATCTTGTAAAACTGAAACTCTATACCCACTGAACATTTACTCCAGGCTGGGCTTGGTGGCTCATGCCTGTAATCCCAGCAATTTGGGAGGTCGAGGTGGGCAGGCGATTTGAGGCCAGGAGTTGGAGACCAGCCTGGGTGTCATGGTGAAACCCAGTCTCGACAAAAAATGCAAAAATCAGCCCAGCATGGCGTGTGTCTCTAGTCCCAGCTACTCGGGAGGCTGAGGCACAAGATTCACTTGAACCCGGGAGGCAGAGGTTGCAGTGAGCCGAGATAGCACTACTGCACTCCAGCCTGGGTGGCACAGTGAGACTCTGTCTCAAAAAAAGAAGAAGGCCTGGCGCGGCGGCTCAAGCCTGTAATCCCAGCACTTTGGGAGGCCAAGATGGGCGGATCACGAGGTCAGGAGATCGAGACCGTCCTGGCTAACACGGTGAAACCCCGTCTCTACTAAAAAATAACAGAAAAAGTAGCCAGGCGAGGTGGCGGGCGCCTGTAGTCCCAGCTACTCGGGAGGCTGAGGCAGGAGAATGGCGTGAACCCGAGAGGTGGAGCTTGCAGCGAGCTGAGATCCGGCCACTGCATTCCAGCCTGGGCGACAGAGCGAGACTCGTCTCAAAAAAAAAAAAATTTAAAAAATTAAAAAAAAAGGAAGAAGAAGAAAAAAAGAGACTCTCAGGCTCCACCCTACACCTGAGTCCTTCCCAGATTCTTAACCCGCAGAAACCAAGAGTGATAACCAGACAAACTTCTTTTTTTTTTTTTTTTTTTCTTAGATTCAAGAGGTACATGTGAATCCAGAGAGAGAGTCCCAGGGGAGTAACATTAAACAGAAATGACCTTATTTCATTATTTGTTGACTTGTTTATAATCAGAATGATAATAATTACCGTTCCTTTGTCTCTTCCCACTAGAATGTCTGCTTCATGAGACCTTGTGCGTTTTATTTTCTGTTCTATCTCCACGTTGTACCCATTGTGGTTAGCAAAAACAGACAGATTAAAAATCAAACAAGAAGATAAATAAAAGGCTATATCAATTAAGCAAACAAGTAATGAAACACAGGAGCAAGCCTTCCCAAATATTGCTCTCAGAACAGGCACTTTTCTCAAGCCCATTGGAGAAAAGTAGATCCAGGTCCAGCTCTGGGTCCACACCTTCCCTGTCCTGGCTCTGAGCACTCACCTTTGATTTTCGGAATCACAGCTCCAAAGAAGCTCAGCAGAAAGCAGAGGCCTGGAATAGATGGGAAACAGAAGGGAGAGACACGAAACAATTGAGGAATGATTCCAAGAAATGCCCCAAGGGCTGTGTGTCAGTTATCTATCACTGTAACAAATCACAAAAATGTAATGACTTAAAAAACATTTTTGTTGAGTATGGAGATCTCTCAAAGAACTAAAAATAGGACCGCTGTTGGACCCAGCAATCCCACTACTGGGTATCTACCCAAAGGAAAAGAAATCATTATATCAAAAAGACACCTGCACTCATATGTTTACAGTAGCATTATTCACAATAGGCAAGTCATGGAGCCAACCTAAGTGTCCACCAACAGTTGACTCGATAGGGAAAATATGCCATATATGCACCATGGAATACTATGCAGCCATAAGAAAGAATGAAATCATGCCCTCAGCAGCAACACTGATGGAGCTGGAGGTCATTATCCTAAGTGAACTAACTCAGAAGCAGAAAATCAAATATTGTATGTTCTCACTTATATGTGGGAGCTAAACAACAGGCAGACCTGGACGTGAAGATGGAGACAATAGACTCTGGGGATTTCATAATAGCCATGACTTGGCTATTGTGAATAGTGCTGCCATAAACATATGAGTGCAGGTGTCTTTTTGATATAACGATTACTTTTTTTTTTTTTTGGAGACAGAGTCTTTTTCTGTCACTCAGGCTGGAGTGCAGTGGCGCAATCTTGGCTCACCGCAACCTCTGCCTCCCAGGTTCAATCGATTCTCCTGCCTTAGCCTACCAAGTAGCTTGGATTACAGGTGCTCGCTACCACTCCCGGCTAATTTTTCTATTTTTAGTAGAGAGGGGGGTTTCAACATGTTGGCCAGGCTCGTGTTGAACTCCTGACTTCAAGTGATCCACCTTGCCTCAGCCTCCCAAAGTGCTGAGATTACAGGCATGAGCCACTGTGCCTAGCCCAGTGATTATTATTATTATTTTTTTGGGTAGATACTCAGTAGTGGGATTTCTGGGTCCAACAGTAGTTCTATTTTTAGTTCTTTCAGAGATCTCCATACTCAACAAAAATGTTGTTTTAAGCCACTAAAAAAGGGGAGGATGTGGGGTGGTGAGAGTTGAAAAATTACCTATTGGGTACAATGTTTAATATTTGGGTGATGGGTACATCAGAAACCCAGTCTCCACCATTATGCACGTAATATCCATGTAACATTCAAGCACATGTACCTCTTGAATCTAAGAAAAAAATGTTTGTTTTGTTATCACTCTTGGTTTCTGTGGGTCAAGAATCTGGGAAGGGCTCAGCTGGGTGGTTCTAGCTTGATGGTCTCATATGATTGTAGTCAATTAGTGGATGGGGCTGCAACAGCTGAGAACTAGCTGGGCATTGTTGTCCCTTCACCTGTTGTCTCAGGGTGATGGGCTGCTTTGGGCTTCCTTCCAACATGGAGACCTGAAGCACATCTAAGCTCTAAGCATGAGTGTCCCAGCCAGTGAGGCTGTATCTCCTCTTGACACTCATCCCTGAAAGTCACCCAGCTCTACTTTCATCATATTCCCTTGGTTACAAGCAAGTTACAAGCTCATTCATATTCAAGTGGAGAAGAATCAAGTTCTTCCTCCTTATGAGAGACCAGCAAGATTCTAGAAACACATTTTGGATGGGGGATATTATTTCCGCCTTTTTGGAAAATAGTCTGCTCAGGCTGGCTCTGTTGTGTCTGGTAAAGAGCCCTTTGCTCTTCCCCATGCCTTTCCAACATCAGGAGGTGTCATCAGTCATGTTCCTGCTTCTGCAAAGACCTAAAGATGCTGGACAGATGGACTGCTTTTTTTCTCTTCCTTTCCCAATCTTCCATCCCTCTGATCACTTGTTCTCACTGTACCTTCTTTTCATTCTCTTATGGCTTCCGTGGGTCAGGAATCTGTGAAGGGCTCAGTTGGGTGGTCCTGGAATGCTTATTTACAGAATTATTTGCCATTTGTAAGAATGGTATTAAAAATATTTAACAACTGGTATGGTGCAGGAATTGACCAATAGAATAAACCCGGGAGACCCTCTCTGATGCATCAGGCATTAGCCTTTCAGCTGCTCAGTTGGGGTCCCCAAGCAAGGTCTGGACTGGCAGGAGTGTCCCAGGAACTGGTTCTGGGTAATGATTATTTACAAATGGTGTGGAACTTTTTCAGTATAAACAACCATCATAGCCTTCTGGTGTGCACTACTTGAAATTGAGCTCTGGTGACTCATAACCTTATTTGCAACATTGGTTATCCCCTAAGAAGGTGGATCCTGATAACAAAAGGGTCTTTGTCTGCCAAATAGGGTAATGGGTATAGATGAGAGTGAACTATTTTGGTGGAGCTGGGATAAAGTTTGATTTCTGTGCATGATAAAGGACCGGGGTTGGAAGGATCAAGAGAAGATCTGAGGCTGAGAGTCTAGAGTAGGTGGAGAAGGGACACTGTGGCTACCCAGAGGAGGCTCAGCAGGGAGGAGATGTGGAAGCTGATGGCTAAGAAGCGAGACTTGAAGCAGGTGGGACTTTTTCTGAATAAAATGTAATGTAGCATCCCTCTATCTTGCCTATGAATGAGATAGTAAAATCTACCTTGCTCACTGATTTTTCCCCATGTTTAAAGTTATGATACAATACACATAACATGAAATTTACCATCTTAACCATTTTTAAGTGTACAGTTTAGTGGAATTCAGTATATTCATAATGTTTTGCAACCATCTCCGTAACTCTTTTCATTTTTTTTTTGAAATGGAGTCTCACCCTGTTGCTCAGGCTGGAATGCAACGGTGTGATCTTGGCTCACTGCGACCTCCACCTCCTGGGTTCAAGCAATTCTCCTGCCTCAGCCTCCTGAGTAGCTGGGATTGTAGGCACGTGCCTCCATGCCCAGCTAATTTTTGTATTTTTAGTAGAGATGGGGTTTCACTATGTTGGCCTGGCTGGTTTTGAACTCCTGACCTCATGATCTGCTCGCCTCGGCCTGCCAAAGTGCTGGGATTACAGGTGTGAGCCACTGCACCTGGCCAACTCTTTTCATTTTTTAAAACTAGAACTCTATACCGCTGAGTATATCTTACTCTCTCCTGTCCTGTGAGTTTCCCACTAAAAGGTTTGCTGCCAGACATATTGGATCTCCTTTACATGTTATTTGTTTCTTTTTTTCATGCTGCTTTTAGGGTCCTCTCTTTGTCCTTGACCTTTGAGAGTTTAATTATTATATGCCTTGGAGTCTTCTTGTTTTAATTGAATCTCCTTGGTGATCTTGGACCTATATGGATCCTATATGGATATTAATTTATTTCTCTAGATTTGCAAACTTCCCTGCCATTATTTCTTTGAATAAACCTTCTGTTGACAAAAAGAGTCAAACTCTGCAAAATATTTGAAGAGATTTGTTCTGAGCCAAGTATGAGTGACTAATGGTCCATGACACTGCCCTCAAGAGATCTTGAGAACATGTGCCTAAGGTGGTCAGGGTACAGCTTAATTTTATACACTTTAGGGAGGCATGAGACATCAATCAAATACATGTAAGATATACATTGGTTCTGTCCAGAAAGGTGGGACAACTGGAAGTGGGGCTTCCAGGTCATAGACAGATTGAAAGATTTTCTGATTGGTAATTGTTGAAAGAGTTGTTATTGTCTAAAGACTTAGGAATGTGGCTGGGTGCGGTGGCTCATGCCTGTAATCCCAGCACTTTGGGAGGCTGAGGCAGGCAGCCTGAGGTCGGGAGTTCGAGACCAGTCTGACCACCATGGAGAAACCCTGTCTCTACTAAAAATACAAAATTAGCCGGGCATGGTGGCACATGCCTGTAATCCCAGCTTCTTGGGAAGCTGAGGCAGGAAAATGGCTTGAACCTGGGAGGCGGAGGTTGCGGTGAGCTGAGATTGTGCCATTGCACGCCAGCCTGGGCAACAAGAGTGAAACTCCAACTCAAAAAAAAAAAAAAAAAAGACTTAGGAATGTTTGGGTTAAGATAAAGGAGTCGTGGAGACCAAGGTTTTATCACACAGACTGTAAATGTTTCTTTTCTTTTTTTTTCTTTTTTTTTTTTGAGACAGAGTCTCACTCTGTCACCCAGGCTAGAGTGCAGTGGCACGATCTTGGCTCACTGCAAACTCTGCCTCCCGGGTTCACGCCATTCTCTGGCCTCAGCCTCTTGAGTAGCTGGGACTACAGGTGCCCACCACCAAGCCCAGCTTATTTTTTGTAGTTTTAGTAGAGACAGGGTTTCACCATGTTAGCCCGGATGGTCTCGATCTCCTGACGGCCTCCGAAAGTGCTGGGATTACAGGCATGAGCCACCACACCTGGCTGATTGTAAATGTTTCTTATCAGACTTAAAGAGTTTGTTGGAATTCTCAGTAATTCCAAAAGGGAGGAGTGTATAAAGAGGTATGTTCCACTCCCTCCCATTTCCCATCATGAGCTAGTTTTTCAGCTTAGCCTTAGAATGCCCTTGTTGAGAGGAAGGGTCCATTCAGATGGTCAGGGGGCTTAGAATTCTATTTTTGGTTTACACTTCTACCCCTATCTATTTCTTCACTCCCTCTTTTAGGTCAATTACTCTTAGATTTACCATTTTGAGGCTGTTTTCTGTATCTCATAAGCATTTAAACATTTTTTTCTTTTTTTTCCCCTCTGACTGTATTTTTGAGTAGCCTGACTTTGAGCCAACAGAATTTCTTCTGCTTGATCAATTCTTCTGTTGAGACAGTTGATGCATTTTTTAGTTTGTCAATTGCATTTTTCAGCTCCAGGATTTCTGTTTGACTTAAACACTCACTCCTCATTGCTCACTAATGTCTTGGAGAGAAAATTTCCTTTGTGGGGGAATTGTGCAAAGGTCTCAACCCTATTTCCATAATGCCTAAGAGAAAATAGCTCTTACTGCATACTATGCACTTTACACACATACGCTTATTCAGTTTTGCAACGACTTTAGCAGGAAAGTGCTATTAGCATCATCTCCGGTTTTCAGATTAAGAAATGGAGACACGGGGAGGGTGAGTAGCTTGCTCCATTCCCTGGGGCTAGTCAGTGGCAGAGCTGAGGTTAAACACGGGTTCTGGGTTCTAGCTGATAACCCATTACACCACATAGCCTCTCCTTCAGAAATCCCACAGGGGACTACACGCACGGAAGTGCTGTTCAGATTGTAAATACTAGGTTGGCATGTTTATTGTGACAGTGACTTGTCCTTTTTCTCCCGGCAGATGCCACTCACCAGATCTGACTGGAGCCTCAAAGTCCAGTACAGAGTGATATGTGACTTGGTCATTTAGGGCAGTGCAGACCAATGGCAGGATTTTGGAGAAGAGGCCCTGGGGGCTAACTGTGTGACTCTTCAAGATTGGCAATGGGAGCAATCTAAATCTTTCTGGATCCCTCTCTTGAGTTTCCAATTGCTGCTGTCACAAATTACCATGAATGTAGTGGCTTAAAGCAACACTGATTTATTCTCTTGCAGGTCTGGAGGTCAGAAGTCTTAAATCAGCCTCTATAGGCTAAAATCAACAATGTTAGCAGGGCTGGTTTCTTTTGAAAGCTCTAGGGGAGAATCTGTCTCCTTGCCTTTTCCAGCTTCTAGAAGCTGCCTGCAATTCTTGGCTCATAAACCCTTCCCCCTTCTTTAAATCCAGCAGCACGGCATCTTCTTGTCTTCCTGATCTTCCACCTTCCTCTTAAGAGGACCTTTGTGATTATTATATTAGGCCCCCTGGAAAATTCAGGGTACTACCCCCATGTTAAGATTCTTAGCTTAATCAACATTTGCAAAGTTTCTTTTACCATGTAAGGTAACATATTAACAGGTTCCAGGGATTAGGATGTGGATGTCTTTGGGGGGACTGTTATTTTTCTTCCCATAATTCTCACTCTTCCCCTAAGAAGACGCCAGGTCCGGTTTGTTATCAGTTACTTATGCAATTGCATTCATAGAACATTTTGAATATTCTCAGCTGGGCTTAACATCAGGCTGATGTTTCCTTTAAAGTCTCCTTCCTCCTACATTTTTTATTTGTATTTTTATTTTTTTGAGGCAGGTTCTCTTTCTGTTGCCCCGGTTGGAGTGGTGCAATCATAGCTCACTATAGCCTTGCACTCCTGGGCTACATGCATGAGATACCACTTGTGGCTAATTAAAAGTTTTTTTTTTTTTTGGTAGAGATTAGTCTTAGTTTGGTAGAGATTAGTCTTTAGTCTAACCAGCAAATTACTCACTAATTTGGGCATGTGTCTTAAGTTAGGGTTTCTGAAGAGTCATTGGTGTGTCAGAATCCCAGAGTTCTAAGAAACTTTAGAAATCATCCACTGACTCATTTTGCAGATAAGGAAACGGGCCCCCTGGGGTTAAGTGGCTGGCACACTAGTTGGGGAAATTTGGGTAAGTTGTTTAACCTCACTAAGTTTCCTGATGTGAAATAGGGTGGCAGTATGACCTATTTTGTGGGGTTTTGTAGATGACCCAAATGAGGGACTGTATGGAGCACAATGTCAGGCAGAAAGTCCTACACTGACGCTGGCTGCCTCTGTCACCATTTGATTTCCTCCTTTCCCATTTGGATGCTTTTTCTTTCTTTCTTGTTGCCTAATTGCTCTGGCTTGCTGCCTATATTATCATTTGAGCTCTGTTGCTCAGGCTGGAGTGCAGTGATGCAATCACAGTTCATTGTAACCTTGAACTCTTGAGCTCAAGCAATCCTCCCACCTCAGCCTCCAGGGTAGCTGGGACTACAGGTGTGTGCCACCAGGCCTGGCTAATTTTTTTTTTTTTTTTTTTTTTTTTTAGTATTTCGTGGAGACAGAGTCTTGCTATGTTGCTCAGATTGGTCTCGAACTCCTGGCTCCAGCAATCTTCCTGCCTTGGCCTGCCAAAGCTCTGGGATTATAGGTATGAGCCACCATGCCCAACCCTAGAATCTTAATTCTTGACCCAATGCTCATGTCTTCACCCTTGCCTGTACCATCTAGTGATACGGGCTAAAAGTTCCTGGATGACGGAAATTCACTGATAATCCACCTCGGAAGTGTCGAGGACTCTGTCTCCAGTTGCAACAAGGCAGGCTTCATTCACGTTTGATTCCACATATACTGAAACACCTCTTATATATAAGATGCTATGCTAGGGGTTACAAAGGTGAGGGAGACACGGCATTAGGATTTAAATGTAGCTTGTATTATTTTGATCAAATTTATGGCCTGTCAACTGCCTCTGCAGCAGAATAGCTGTGAGGCTTTGAGCAATTCACACAACTTCTCTATGATGCAATGTATTATCTGTAATGTGGAGATGCTGTGTGACAATGTAAAGCAATTTAAGCCTAATGTCAGGCTAAAGTAGCTGCTTAATAAATATAAGCTTTGATTGATATTGGGACTGTCCATATTGTTAATTCATCTGGAGCTGGAAAGATGGATGGGATTTCATCTGTACAGAGATGGTGGTTGAAGCCATGGAATTAGGAGATTCCTATAGGGAGAGGGAGTGGAAAAACAGAAGACTCCCCAGGAAGGATCCTGTGGGAGGAGCATTATAGCAAAGATCCAGAGACAGATGGTTTGGGTTCAAATCCCAGTTATTTACTAGCTGTGTGATGTTGGACAAATAACATAACCTCTCTGTGTCCCGGTTTTCTCAGCTGTAAGATGAGGATACCCCATGAGCGTACTGATGATGCAACAGATTAGTGCATGTAAGATGCATAGTGAGTTTTCAAAAATGTTGATTATTATTATTTTGTTTGTATAAATTTATGGGATACAAGTGTAATTTTGTTGCATGCATTGATTGCGCAGTGGTGACTTTTAGAGTATCCACCATCCAAATGATGCACATCATACCCATTAGGTAACTTCTCATTTTCCACTCTCCTTCTACTCCCTCTGCCTTCCCAGTCTTCATCGTCTAATCATTCTACTCTCTCTGTCCATGTGTCCACATTATTTAGCTTCCACTGATAAACGAGAACATGAGGCATTTGTCTTTTGGTGTCTGAGTTATCTCACTTAATATAATGACCTCTAAAATTAATAATAAAATTATCATTTATTTTCTTGTCACAGGAAAATGATAAAGGAGGGAGAAGAAAGAATAGCAAGAGAAAAAGGAAAAAAGTCAGGGCAGGGCTAGGTTGCAGAAGTTATCAAGAAGGAGAGGACATCAGTTAGAAAACAAAACTCGCCAAGAGGAAGATGAACAACCTATTAGAGGCTGGGTGCGGTGGCTCATGCCTGTAATCCTAGCAGGCCGAGGCAGGCGGATCACCTGAGGTCAGGAGTTTGAAACCAGCCAGGGCAACATGGTGAAACCCCGTCTCTACTAAAAATACAAAAATTAGCCAGGTGTGGTGATGTGTGCCTGGAATCCCAGCTACTCAGGAGGCTGAGGCAGGAGAATCACTTGAACCCGGGAGGCAGAGGTTGCAGTGAGCCAAGATCGTGTCACTGTGCTCCAGCCTGGGTGACAGCAAGATTCCATCTCAAAAAACAAAACAAAACAAACAAACAAAACAAACAAAAAACCAAGCTACCAGATTGGGTAAGGAACATTTTAGGGATATTTGAGAGCATACTTTGAATAGGGTAGTCAGGAAGAAAACTATACTCCAAAGGGAAAAGGTGAGAATGTTCAGAGCAGAAGAAAGAGGAGGAGAAAATAACCAATTGTTGAACAAAGTGGCCCCTGACTGGGGGATAGGTTAAGTCTCAGTCACTGCTACAGTCACACATACCTGGAAGAAGGGATGACCCCTGCATTCCTGTGGTACAGGTATCCCACGCCAGCCAGCCCTGGAAGCTCCCTACTGTGCCGTAAGCCAACCACTTTTCCTTGCTGAAGAAATCTCATGAGGATTGATGTATGTATCTCAGGTCAGCTGACTCATGAAATTACTATCAGAAAAGCGAACTGCTTCCCCTCTTTCGCCATCAGACTCATGGTTCTGCTTTTCGTTTATTTGCCGTACCTTCTCTGCTTAGCTGTTGTTGATCACCTTTAGGATGATTGAGTTGGTAAACCCTAACAAAGAAATGCCCTGTAAGTTACATCACATTGCCTGAGGATGAGGAAGTGCCTTTGGGACCAAAATAAATCTTAAATAACCCTGTGGTTTTGAGCTGGGTAAACCAGATTTTAGGGCATCCGTGTTGGTATCCGAAGTTTCCAGAGGAGTCATTTTCACATATCTTTCTCTTCCCCCAGTAGATGATACTTACTGGTTATGATTGCTGAGCCAGAAGAAGTTAAGAGTCCCAAAGTCTCATAGAAGGTAATACATTATTTGGTTATTTGGACCAACCCTAACCAGTCACAGGAGTTGGGAGAAAAGGTCTCTAAATCTATCCTTCCTCCAACAAATATTTATTTATTTATTTGGGTCTTGCTCTATTACCCAGGCTGGAGTGCTGTGACACAATCATAGCTCACTACAACCTCAAACTCCTGGGCTCCAGCGATCCTCCCACCTCAGTCCTCTGAATTGTTAGGACTACAGGTGCATGCCACCACGCCTGGCTAATTTTTTTTTTTTAGTTTTATTATTTTTTTTGAAGAGAGACAGAGTCTCACTTTGTAGCCCAGGCTTGTCTTGAACTCCTGGGCTTAAGCAATCTTGCCTCAGCCTCCCAGTGTTGGGATTACAGGTGTGAGCCACAGCACCTGGCCTCCCCTGCTGCAAACTCTTCTAAAGTTCTCCATTAGACTTAAAACACCAGACTTCCTACTAAAGCAGTGTCATTGTCTCGGGTTCATCCTCTCATGTCAAGGAAATTAAGGATGTGGACGCACAAGAAATGAATTTAACGCCGAGCACAGTGGCTCACCCCTGTAATCCCAGCATTTTGAGAGGCTGAGATGGGTGGATCACCTGAGGTCAGGAGTTCGAGACCATCCTGGCCAACATGGTGAAACCCTGTCTGTACTAAAAATACAAAAATTAGCTGGGCATGGTGGTGTATGCCTGTAATCCCAGCTATTCAGAAGGCTGAGGCAAGAGAATTGTTTGAACCTGGGAGGCAGAGGTTGCAGTGAACGAAGATTGCGCCACTGCATTCCAGCCTGGGTGACAGAGTGAGACTTCATCTAAAACAAAAACAAAAACAAAAACAAAAACAGTGAGTTTAAGAGCAGAAGTTTAATAGGCAAGAGAAGAGAAAAAAGAGAAAAGCTCTATCCTGCAGAGAGAGAGGGGCTCCCAAGCGGGTCTTCCGGTCTCGTGGTGAGATACATGGGGTTTTACAGCCGAGCTTGCGGAGGAGCTGTCTGATTGACAAAGGGCCCGAGAGATTGGTCGGACTGGCTGTGCTGTTTGCATAGCACACAAAGAAGCTGGCCGCCCCATCCTCATCTTTTATTATGCAGATGGAGTCTCTGCCTGGCTGGCACCATGTTGCCTGCTTTTATACTGCACACATGGTGATAAAAGAAAAGGGAAGAGGGAACCTCCATGTTGTACCTGCCTGGCCTCCAAGGAGCCTTTTCCTATTGGCACAGCTGCTGCATTGACCTTCGCAAACTTCCAGCTTGCTTATTTATGTTTGTAGCTCGATTCTACAGATCGCTCTTTGTTGTGGTGGTGATGATGATGATGATGATGGTGATAATAACAGTCGCGGTGGTGATGGTGACGGTGGTAATCATGGTCGTGGTGGTAGTCATGGTGGAGGTATAGGTGGTGGTGGTGACGATGATGGAAGAGATGATGATGGTGATGATGGTTGCGATGATGGTGAAGGTGATGAAAGTGATGGCGATGGTAGTAGCGATGGTGGCGGTTACATTATGGTGATATTTTCAGAGATGGTGATGATGGTGATTGAAGGTGACAATTGCAGTGAAGGTGATTGTTGTGGTGATGGTGATGGTGATGAAGGCTGTGACAGCAGTGGTGATTGATGATGGGAGTGAAAATAGCAAAGGTGGTGGTTATATTGGTCGGGGAGGTAAAGATGAAAAGAAATAATTTGGGGGCTGCTTTTTTTTTTTTTAACAGGGAAGCCTTACTGAGGACTCTCTTACTTTCACCAGTTGCCTAAATAATGTCTTTTTAGCTCCTGTATCACTACTATGGCCTGTCAGCCCCTCCATGGTTTTTCCTCATCCACATCTTCAGCCTGATTTACTATGACTGTCCCTTGTGCTTCTTATACATGGGACACAGAGGTCTCTTCATTTCTTGAACACATCAAGTTTTTTCCCACCCCAGGGCCTTTGCATGTGCTGTTGATGCTTTCTAGAATGCTTTCCACCTTAATATTCACATTTGTCTCCTCTAGAGTCCCCCAGATTTTGACTTTTTCTCTGTCCCAACTTAGAAATCCAGAGTGCCTTGACTGCTCTGTGACATCGCCGGCTGTATGTTTTACCCTGCAGGCTCAAACCAAGCTGAGATCTTGAACATCTCCAGGCACTGGTAAAGCTGTTTAGGTTGTTTATCAAAACACTGCAAGAAGGCTGGGCATGGTGGCTCATGCCTGTAATCCCAGCACTTTGGGAGGTTGAAGTGGGTAGATCACCTGAGGTCAGGAGTTTGAGACCAGCCTGGCCAACATGGCGAAACCCTGTCTCTACTAAAAATACAAAAATTAGGCGGGCGTGGTGGCATGTGAAGTTGCAGTGAGCTGAGATCGTGCCATTGCACTCCAGCCTGGGCAAAAAGAGTGAAGCTCCATCTCAAAACAAAAACAAAAGAAACAAAAATGAACAAACAAGCAAACAAACAAAAAAACCACGGCAAGGAAGTAGCCCTGGTGGCAACTGAAGACACGGTCATGGATTAAATCATTTAGGGAGAGATTATAGAGTGGAAAAAGAACCCTGAGTAACTCATTTAAAAACTCAGGGAATGTCAATTTGTGCAAAGGCAATAGAAAAGAAATAAAAATAAAATAAAGGAATGGAGGTGTAGCTATTAGAGGAAACAGGAAAAGAATGGCCAGAGAGATGGGAGGTGAGGGTGGGAAATGAATGGAGTATGGTATTATGGAGGTAAAGGAAAGAGATCACACTGAATTAAGACTGAAAAATATCCACAGGACAGAGCTGCAAGGAGGTTGTTTGTATTCTTTTTTTTGAGAGGGAGTCTGGCTCTGTCACCCAGGCTGGAGTGCAGTGGTGCGATCTCAGCTCACTGCAAGCTCCGCCTCCCGGGTTCACATCATTCTCCTGCCTCAGCCTCCCGAGTAGCTGGGACTACAGGTGCCTGCCCCCATGCCGTGCTAATTTTGTTTGTTTGTTTGTTTGTTTATTTAGTACAGACGGGGTTTCACTGTGTTAGCCAGGATGGTCTCGATCTCCTGACCTCATGATCCGCCTGCCTCGGCCTCCCAAAGTGCTGGGATTACAGGTGTGAGCCACCACGTCTGGCCTGGTTGTTTGTATTCTTAGCAAGAACAATTACAGTAGTGAAGGTGCTGGTGGTGGCGATGATGATGATGTTGACGATAGTGGTTGTGGTAGTGGTTGCTATGTATAAAGTTTCGGTGCCACAAAAGAAATGGCACTCAAATATAAAATTTTCCTTTTAATTCTCAGCAAGGCAAGTTACTTCTACATAGAAGGGTGCGCCCTTACAGATGGAACAATGGCGAGCGGACATTTGGCCCAGGGAGGGGAAGGGGTTCTTATCTCTGACACACGTGGCCCCTGCTGCTGTGTTGTTCCCCTGTTGGCTAAGATTAGACCGCACAGGCTAAACTAATTCCGATTGGCTAATTTAAAGAGAATGACGGGGTGAGAGGTTTGGCGGGAGTCAGGGCAGAGCAGGTAGCAGGTAATCGGAATGAGTTAGGGTGGAGCAGGTGATCAGAATGCGTTAGGGTGGAGTAGGTGATTCGAATGAGTCCGGGTGGAGCAGGTGATCGAAAAAGGTTGCTTTACAAGGAAGTTAAATTTAAAAGTAGAAGGCAAAGAATTGAATGTACTGACATATTAATTCTTTGAGAAGAAATTTAGAACTCATATCTAATATGGCTATGATGATGATGATGATAATAACGGTTGTGGTGGTGATGATGATGGTCATAAAACGGTTGTAGTGGTGACGGTGGTAATCATGGTAGTGGCAGTAGCGATGGTGGTGGTAAAGGTCGTGGTGGTGATGATGATGGAAGTGATGATGGTGGTGATGATAATGGTTGCGATGGTGCTGAAGGTGACGAAAGTGACGGTGATGGTGGTAGTGATAGTGGTGGTAACATGATGGTGATGTTTTCAGAGATGGTGGTGATGATAGTGATTGATGGTGACAGTTGTACTGAAGGTAATTGTTGTGAGAGTGATGAAGTCTGTGATAGCAGTGGTGATGATGATGGGAGTGAAAATAGTGAAGGGGTTGGTTATGTTGATAGAGGAGGTGAAGATGGTGGTGATGCCAATAATGATAGGGAAGGTGGTGGAGGTTGTGGTTATAATGGTGTAAGCCCAAAGTGGATTGAGGAAATAGCACGAGGTGAAGAAGTGGAGACAGCAAGTGAAGTCACCTGTAAAGACAGTTGGAGAAAACAGTGTGCGAAAGCAAGATGAACAAGAGACCTCCTTGGGTGTTTGGAGCATGGTGGAATTAACTGGCTATTGGGATTGTCAAGGCCGTGAACGTACATAGTCGGTTCGTTGGGCTCTCAACATCCCACTGGCCCAGCCTGCATTCAGTGAGGCTTCCCGATCTTTCTCCCTAGTGATCTTCTAGGGGTGGGGTTGTAGAGGCAAGAGTTGATCAAGAGAGACAAGCGGTGCTACCTAATGCTCAGGCCAAAGTGGTTGACATAGTTTGGATGTTGTTCCCTCTAAATCTCATCTTGAAATGTAATCCCTGGTGTTGGAGGTGGGGCCTGGTGGGAGGTGATTGGATCATGGCAGTGGATTTTTTGTGGCTGGTTTAGCGCCATTTCCTTGGTGCTGTCCTGGTGATAGTGAGTGAGTTCTTGTGAGATCTGGTTGTTTAAAAGTGTATGACTCCTCCCCTCCTCTCTCTTGCTCCTGCCCTCACCATGAGACACCTACTTTCCCTTC